ATAAAATCTTAAAATATACCCGCGTATACGCGGGCCTTAATCTAGTAATATATAAATCGTGTGCTCCTAATGAACTTGTTACTTTTACGTAGGTTTTTTCCGCACACTGTAAAGCTGCATAAGATGAATCATATGGAACTCTGAAATATCCCCAGATCGATGGTGCACATACATCCCAATTCAGTCTTATCTCAGGTTAATAAGTTCTCACTCTATATAAACTAACAATATCTGATTAATTATCTGATAGCATAAACAGTAAAATAATAATATAAACCATGATTATATGAAACGGTGTTCTACCATCATTATTTGATTTATTTCACCTTCTGTCGGCTGTCCTGCCGGCGGAAGGATTCTTCCGGGTTCCTGGATTCCGGCCACCGCCTTTTATTTCATACCCTCGACTGCTTAGTGTTCTGCTGCATCGTTAATGATGTTTTCACGGCTGAGTTGTTAGAGCTACTTTCTGAACTTAGAGGACTTGCTCCTCCACCTATTCTGAGATCCGTCTCACCGAGCTTCTCTGGAGAAACTTTAATCATCTAATATTCAAACCTCTAGACCATGGGGGTCTATTCTTTTTTAATTTCTCCACTAAGGAGATAAATATTTTATCAACTTCCACTTTCCTCCCCGTGAATATTTTATCAAATTCCTCCACAAATGTCCCTCTCTATGATTTCTTCAGAGAATAACGAGAGCTTCTCGACTGAGTTTTTTATATTATTTGGATTGTATTTAGTCTTTGGGGCAGATTTGTGAAAGCATAGTATTTGAAAATTCGAAAAAAAAAATTTATTAATGTTTTTTAAAATATAAATGAGAGAGAAACAAGTAGTGGAAATGCTGCCATGCTGGTGGTTCTTTTTCGTTTTAAAAAAGATTGATTGAAATTTTGTTGATTTGATATAATATATAAATCGTGTGTTCCTGCTAATGAACTTGTTACTTTTATGTAGGGATTTTTCCGCACACTGCAAGGCTGCATAAGATGAATCATATAGAACTGTGAAATATCCCCAGATCGATGGTGCACATACATCCCAGTTCAGTCTTATCTCAGGTTAATAAATTCTCACTCTACATAAACCAATAATAGCTGATTAATTATCTAAAAACATAAACAGTAAAATAATAATATAAACCATGATTACGTGAAACGTGTTCTAAACCGTGTTCTAAACCATAATATAAACCGTGTTCTACCATCGTTATTTCACCTTCCGTCGGCTGTCCACGCCGGCGGAATGATTTTTCCGGATTCCTATCTGGATTCCGGTCACCGCCTTTTATTTCATATCCTTGACTGCTTAGTGTTTTGCTGCATCATTAAGGGTGTTTTCACGGGTGAGCTGTCAGAGGACTTGCTTCTCCGCCTATTCCGAGATCCGTCTCACCGAGTTTCTCGGGAGATGTTTCCATTGTTCCTCCATCCATACGCCTAAGATCTATCTTCTTCGATTGGTTCTTCGACCAGTCAATTATTAAGTTGCCAAGAGAAATTTAAGGTCTGTTCTTTTCAAATTTCTCCACTAAGGATATAAGTATTTTATCAACTTCCACTTTCCACCCCGTGAATATTTTATCAAATTTCTCCACAAATCTCCTTCTCTATGATGAGAGCTGGAATTTCTTCGTTTTCAAAGTCAATCCGATGTTCCATCTCCCAAACATGTACCGATTTTAAAAGAACCATAAAATGCAACGGTTTAGTTTTGGTGAGACTAAGACTTATGAGCAAATGTTTTCAGATTTACCGTCAATGTTAAGTAGATGCATCTTATGGAGATGGATTGTGCCACCCTCGTTTAAAGCCATGTCTATTCAAAATTAGCCCATCTGACAAATTGACAAAACCCTAGCTGTTCATCTACAAAGGAACAAGGTTAGCTAGAAGAAAGAAAATCTCCATGCAAAAACGGAAATCTGTGGAAAAAAAAATAAAAATAAGACGAAAACCAAAAAACTAAAAATAAAAATAAAATAAAGATAAGATCAAAAAGGAAAAAGAGACCATAATATGCAACAACTTAGGTTCGACGAGACTAAGGGCTTGAATGATATATAGTATATATAATTTTGCTATTTTTTTCACGTTTTTGAAAAGTGATCCTCCTATATAGAACTAGCGTAGGTGTTAAAATATAACTAGAAGAGAAATTTTATGAAATACACGTCTTGAGGTGCAAATTTTCAAAACTAAACCTATAGTGTGGAAATTTTCAAAAATACACTTTTTCCTAATTTTAGTACATATGTTTGGGTTCACTAACCCTAGATTAGGGTTTAGATTTTGGGGTTTAGGGTTTAGATTTAAGGGGTCAATGTTAGATTTTAGGGTTTTGGATTTATATTTTAGGGTTTAGAATTTTTTTACTCAATGAAAAATGTGTAGTTTTGAAAATGTACACTATAGAGGTGCATTTTGAAAAATTGGCACCTCAAGAGGTGTAGTTTTGAAATTTCCCCTAACTAAAAACAAATAAAACGTGATTAATATAGTAAAAAAATTATATTATGTCCAGTTTATTCGGCAAACAGTTATTCACTTATTCCGTTATTTGTCTATTCGTCTAACATAGCAATGAAACCCTAAGAAGTATGGACTGTCTTTCAACACCATTATTAGTCAAGTTATTGCTTTCCACCTCTATGTGAGAGGTATTGAATCTCTTTTATATAAGGTTCTCTCTTAAGTTCGCTTTCATTTACGTTTAATAGAAAAACAAACCTCCCATTCATAATTTACTACTATCATTTAACACTCTAATTAAGCTTTAACACCACCATCTTCCCTGGTTTCTCCTATTAAGTTGGGTTAACACAAACATGAGGGGCCAACTATTTGGTTAACATACTCTACTCTCATGCATGGAGTCACTTGAATCCATTTATTTCTTCAAAGCTACAAATGAGTGAGTGCAGAGATTCATTAGCCAAACCTGTATTTTCAAAGCTGAAGGCAATCTCACCACTCATCTTGCATCCATCAAACAGTAGCAGACAGAGCATACACGAATTCGTAAGCCTTAGGGACTGTAAGCACCGTATCACACCACTCGACATGTCCCCAAATCTCTCTATTTCTGAGCCTTTCATGCGAAATCTCTGTATACCAAACCACCGTTTCCTTTTTCCCAACATCCTGTTCCCACAAACCACCATATTTCTACCGTATTCCGCAAGTAAAACAGTCTTGCGATCACAAGAAAACTCTGTTAGCCCTTCTAAACCTTGTAATTAAAAGGTTTTGAAGGGCTACCAGAGATTTCCGCTAATCACGAGAATGTTAAACTGGCGAGACACGGTGGAAACATGTTGGTTTTTTTGGGACGAGTTTTTTTTGGGACGAGTTTGTTGGAAAAAAAATGGAAAAGATGGTTTCCTGTGTAGAGATTTCATTTGAAAGGTGCAGCAATGAAGAGATTTGGGGAAAAGTCGAGTGGTTCGATGCGGAGCTTACAGTCCCTAAGTCTTATGGGTTGTATGCTCTTTCTGCTAGTGTTTAATGGATCGAAGATGTCTCATGAGATTGCTTTCAGCTTTTAGGATGTGGGTTCCGCTTATGATTCTCTGCACTCACTCACTTTTAGATTAGTATTAAGCTTGTCTTGCAATTTTCTGATTATTTTTATTTTCGTTTTTTTCTAAACAGATTCTTGTGATTAATCTACTAAAACTAGCTTTTCTGTGTTTTATAACTTTTGGTAAAAATTAGATTCAGTCCAGTTTATTCCGCAAACAACTTTTCACTTATTATGTTATTTTGCCAATCGTACCCTAAGAAGTACGGACTGTCTTTCAACATCACTAGTCAAGTCACTGCTTTCCAACTCTACCTCAGAGGTTTTTAATCATTTTAATCATTTAATTATCTTTTTATATAAGGATCTCTCTTAAGTTCGCTTGCATTTACGTTTAATAGTAAAAATATACATCTCATTCATATATAATCTTCTACTATCATTTGACACTCTAAGCTTTAACACCACCATCTTCCCTGGTTTCTCCTATTATGGCACACAAATACGAGGAGACAACTATTTGGTTAACATATTCTACTCTCATCCATGGCGGGATTTGAAGCCATTTCTTTCTTCAAGCTTTTTTTATGAAGCTTTAGACACAACAGCTACAATTTTCTTCAGCCGATCCACCTGTCCAACATAAACGTAAGGAGGTGTCGGTGTTATCAACTTATCTTGGTGGGAAGAGCAATTTCGCATTTCGTATTGAAATAAATGTAGATCAACACTCTTTCTCCTCCAATCATGACATCCAATATACATATATTCGTTTGTTACTATTAGAACTCTTATACACAACGATTTCCAACTATAAATCGAAACATATCAAGAAAATAGAGAAACAGACCAAATAGGATTTATCAAATTTTCCCACATAGAGATTCATACTTCTGCATCGTAGCCTAGAGCCACCAGTTCAATCGATGACAACATTTTACAATCGAAAAGCGTCATTAAGCATACACATTTCAAATTTCTTGAAAAACTTCTCATATTTTTGTAACCAGATCCCTCTCTTTTTCAAAGACGTTAGAGAAAGGAGCATATTCTAAATATCAATAATTAACAAATCAGAATATGCTTCTTTGTGGTAACGTTCCAAAGCGAGAGGCATCTAGTGACAAAGACGAAACATATTTTCAAGAAAGATGAGGACTGTATGCGTAGTGGCCATTCATGATTGCAAATTGTGTTCGATATAACTGGTTAGTCTAGGATCCGATGCAGCTATATGCAAATCTATAGCTGAGAGAAAGCCTATTTGTCTGGCTGGTACGTTTCTCCATTTTCTTGATATGATTCTAGTTTAAGTCGCAAATCGTGATGTCTATGTATAACAATTGTGCAAAAATGGTGACGGGAGAATATAAGTATCTGGATGTGATGGTCGAAGGAGAAAGAGTGCTAATGGACATTGATTTCAAGATGAAATTCGAGATTGCTCCTCCCACCAAGATCTATAAGTTGATATCACTGACACTTTCCTATGTTTTTGTGGGAAAGGTGGATTGGCTGAAGAGGATTGTGGTTGTTTTGTCTAAAGCTGCAAAGAAAAGGCTTCAGTTTAGATGCTGGCATGCTGCCATGGAAGAGAGCAAAGTATGTGTTAACCAAATGGTTGCACCCGTTGAGGCCATTAGCACCGGGATGAGAACTGCCTCCAGGCATCAGCACATAGCTATTGCCATTTGAAGGGTGAGCGTACTGTGCTGCTGGATTACCAGTGTATCCTTGCATGGGCGGAGTTGGCAAACTGTCAACAATATCAACGCGCTTAAGTTCTTGCGAAGAGCATGCTTCCTCAAACCCAGATTCTGTATTTACTGAAGGATCAAAATCCATGACAAAGCTACCAAAAGATAGCTGATAGCGATCAGTCTTTGGGACACGAATATCATCTGCAATGATTACATTCTGACTTTCGCTGATGCTAACATGCAAAACCGTATCCTGCGGCTTCTCGATTTCTGATTCCAAGTTTACGGAATTATCAGTTGCAGGAGCACGAGACTTTTTAGGAGTTCCAATGACTCCAGGGTTATTAGATTTCTGATTAGATTTAGGCTTCCACTGTTTATTCTGAGGAACTCCTCTTGGATGACCACCCGCCTGGTGTTGTGTTTTTTAACATGTTGGTAGCGACTGTTTGAAAGAGACCTATGATTGGGTATAGCAGACTCTCGTGCATTAGCCTGACTGACTTGATCAATCTTGGAAATTGGGGAAAATGGTCTATAAGCTTTTGGAACATCTTTTGTAATTGCAGACTCCGCCAAAGATCCAGCTGCAGGGGGATCTTTAGCAACGTTTTCAGAAGGTTTTCCACCAGAACCTACACCCCTAACTTCGCGTCTGATAGTTCCAACAGCTGATGCTCTAGAATCAGGAGATGGTACATGAACTGGATCTGCATAAGAAGAATACATTTCGTTTGGAAATTGGGGAAAATGGTCTATAAGCTTTTGGAACATCTTTTGTAATTGCAGACTCCGCCAAAGATCCAGCTGCAGGGGGATCTTTAGCAACGTTTTCAGAAGGTTTTCCACCAGAACCTACACCCCTAACTTCGCGTCTGATAGTTCCAACAGCTGATGCTCTAGAATCAGGAGATGGTACATGAACTGGATCTGCATAAGAAGAATACATTTCGTTAAAATGATAATAGAGATAATGGATACATTTCGTGGTTTTATTTGTTTGTTAGAGAGTCATTAAAAAACAAGGTCTGATTACAAGATCCAGTTTTTGATCCAATGCGACCTTCCTAATCTATAGTTTCTGGTTTTTGTGCTTGACTTCTCTTGGTTAGTAAGAAATCAAGATAATAATACGATGTGTTTTAAAACAAGAAAAGACAGAAAAGGAAAGAAATCTAAGTATGGTGGAGAAATCGATTTGCTTAAAGAAGTGACCGTCAAAATTCTATTAATACGATATCCGATTTAAGTAATCCAAACCTAAGATAATAATATATTATCAGACCTAATAGAGAGAATCATCTGATCGAGTGATCGGGGAGGTCGACTCAAGGGATCACCGCACGGTAGAGAGAATCATCTGATCGAGTGATCGGGGAGGTCGACTCAAGGGATCACCGCACGGTCCCATGCAGGCTTGATAAAGTTGCGCTCTTTTGTTACTGCATTCTTGTGTGAAGCAAACAAGTTCTTCACCCGACATGCTTGCTTACTCGTTTTCCCGTCGGACCACTCCCATTATATGCTCAAGTTGCTTGATCCAAATCAAACCTGCTTCGGCCTCCGCGTCATCTGCTGTAGAGACACGTGGATGAAAACACTTGACCTTGTCTTGGTCGACGAACGAATTTAGTGTTCTGGTTATATTTAAAAAGACTACTAATAATTACACCCCAACTTGGTGGTAATTTTATTAATCCAAGTCGTTTGCTATATTGTAACAATCAGCAATAATGGAGAGTATTCCTGTGATTTTCCAAGAATAACAGTTAACAAAGATGATTATAGTTGCAGGCTTAATTAATTGGTGTTCTCTCGTTATTCATTTTGTTAAACAATAGAGAGTTGATTCTTAAATAATAGGGATGAGAAACAAAAATATTGTTTGACTTACATCAGAATTCTTAATTCTTTTCGCGGTTCATTGACTGGCTCTATCTATTATCACTATCACATTCCACAACTCAATAGATCGATGAAACAATATTGATCAACCATAGTTTGCAAGGTATGATTCTTCATGAATATATACCTCTTAAATAGATTCAACAATCATTCAGAAACCAAAATAGACAGATAGAGAGATAAGAATCATAACAAATGTAATTATTCAGAACATAAAAGAGACAGTGGTAAAAGGGAGAGAAACATACGAATTCAGTGTTCATGTATATGGCTTACCTTCTTCGTTTGGAAATATATTTTTACATTCTCTTCTTCGTTTCCTTTTATATCTGTTTTTTTCTTCTTCTTTTTTTTGGCGGGTAATTATGGCCGTTGCGTTGCCCTTCAAATCAGTGTTAGCTTCTTTCTCTTCTTCATTTCAACAACCTTGGAACTCGAGAGACAGAGATTGAGATAGAGGTCAAATCATATAACAATACTAGTGTTTTGTATGCTTGATGCTTCTTCCTAAATATCTCTAATGCACACCTATATAATAACTTCTACCAACCAATGAGCGCTAAACAATTTCTCCACAGCTGAGCTCGAGTGTATGTTTATGTCTATGTAATCATCTATTGTAAACATCGAGTGATGACTTAGAACTTAGCAGTCTCAAAAATTTCTAAACTTGATACATCTGGGATCCATTAATACTTTTGAGTCCCTCCGTGAATTCCAAATTGATGTGTTTTAGACCTTTCCGTAGTCGCTCTATATTTTTCCGTGACAAGTTGAGATATTGCAACGATACAAGTATGATGAACTAGACGGACCCATACTTACCCAAACATGGATTAATAGGTTCTATACATGACTATGAGGAGAAACATGACTTGAAATAGTCTCAATCCAAAGGAGGACCATAAATGGACCAAATTTGGGAACCGGAAGAGGTAAGGAGTACGAAATGTACCTATGTGCCTCCAAATGGTGGGAAATCACTTGTAGTGTATATGATGAACTAGACGGACCCAAATCACTTGTAGTGTATATGATGAACTAGACGGACCCATACTTACCCAAACATGGATTAATAGATTCTATACATGACTATGAGGAGAAACATGAGTGAAACGGTCTCAATCCAAGGGAGGAACATCAAATGGACCAAATTTGGGAACCTGAAGAGGTAAGGAGTCCGAAATGTAGCTATGTGCTTCCAAATGGTGGGAACTTACTTGTAATACATGACTATGAGAAGAAACATGACTGAAACGGTCTCAATCCAAGGGAGGAACATCAAATGGACCAAATTTGGGAACCGGAAGAGGTAAGGAGTCCGAAATGTACCTCTGTGCCTCCACATTGTGGAAACTCACTTGTAGTGTATAAGATGAACTAGATGGACCCATACTTACCCAAACATGGATTAATAGGTTCTATACATGACTATGAGGAGAAACATGAGTGAAACGGTCTCAATCCAAGGGAGTAAGATCAAATGAACCAAATTTGGGAACCGGAAGAGGTAAAGAGTCCGAAATGTAGGTTTATGCCTCCAAATGGTTGGAACTTACTTGTAGTGTATATGATGAACTAGGCGGACCCATACTTACCCAAACATGGATTACAAAGGTGAATGATGCAATCCTAGACAACTCTAACAAATATGAATGCAAAAAGATGAAAATATTTTTGAATTTTTTGAAAATTTTATGATTTTTTGTATTTTTCTATGCAAATAGATGAATGAAAAAGTAAGAACAGAATAAACAAGGAAGAGAAATGTAGTGTCTCTAAGGCTTGATTCTTTAATATGAATCAAGTCATCTCTAGTTATGGGTCCAACCATTAAATCCAAGTAGGAGATGTTCTTAAATAACTACGTGGCCAGACTGTTCAAAACTTAAACTAAACTTTTGACTACCATTAATTTGGTATAAATAGATATTCTGAGTATTTAGCCTGACGTACTGGTAAATTCAGTTCAACTTCTTATAGGGACAGTATGTAATAGACTAGTATCTGGTGTTTTCTTACGTAACGTTCTAAAATTGTATAAATCACTCAGTCTGGCCAACAAAACGATATCATATCTTGTCAATGCTACTACCTTTTTTCCACATATAATGAAAAAATAAAATTCGGATACATTAGTATACTAGAGGCATGATTTTTGAACACGTCCAAATACTCCCTGAACAGACTCGGAATATTAAACCCAACTCAGCCAGTGAGTCAGATCGCAGCAGTGCAGCCGCTGGGTCAGATTGTACCGGTGCCGCGGGGCTAATCTTCAGTGGAGACCGGCAGGACTAGTCAGACCGGAAGAGGTAAAAAGTCCGAAATGTAGTCACCCGAATAATTGTAGTTATTATAAATGTTGCAAGTGTCTCCTTACATGCATATTGGACTAAATTTTACATCTAGAGGCAAGGTAAGGAGACATCCACAACCAGGAGCATTTGGTCTTCTAAATACATTGCTTCCATATTTACACACATATAAATATGAAATCAACCATTATAGTACATGCGTGGAAAATAGCTTTTAGGAAATGCCACGTGGCAGGGGAAGAAGAGCTATCTGAGTGCTGAGCTAGGTGCATTGAGAGGCCCCGGGTAGCTCCTTTAAGTTATTAGAGATTAGAAGTCAATTTTGTAGCCTCCAAAATGGTTGGAACTTACTTGTAGTGTATATGATGAACTAGATTGACCCATACTTACCCAAACATGGATTAATAGGTTCTATACATGACTGAGGAGAAACATGAATGAAATGGTCTCAATCCAAAAGAGTAACATCAAATGGACCAAATTTGGGAATCAGAAGAGGTAAGGAATCCGAAATGTAGATCTGGGTATTACAGAATGATCGGCGCCGGTGCAATAGTTAAGTAAATGTAGTATCAGTCATGATTACACTACAAGTAAGTATACACTACAAGCACATGAGCATTTTAACTAAGACCATGACCACATCCCGGTTCATTCAGTCATGTTTCTCCTCATAGTCAAATTTAGAACCTATTAATCCATGTTTGGGTAAGTATGGGTCCGTCTAGTTCATCATATACACTACAAGTAAGTTCCCACAATGTGGAGGAACATAGCTACATTTCAGACTCCTTACCTCTTCCGGTTCCCAAATTTGGTCTATTTAATGTTCCTCCCTTGGATTGAGACCGTTTCAGTCATGTTTCTCCTCATAGTCATGTATAGAAGCTCTCGCCTGCTCTATAAAACTTTATCACGCTCAGACCGACCAAACTTTATCACGCAAGTATGGCTTGGGCGATGCGGCATCATATACATGGTTCCCAAACTTTATCACGTCAACGATAGAATATGGGAACCAAAGTTTTGCTGAGATACCAAGTACTCATCACTAAAGTATTTCTTTTATTATTTATTTGAAATCATTTGTTGAACCTTATTCAGTATTTATTTATTTATTTAAAGACTTCTGCTGATTTGCTATTTAATTGATCTTGATCTCGACTCCTCTAGCACGGCCCAAAGTAGACAAGAATCCACCTCCCGAAGTCGAGAAACATGATTAAAAAGGTCTCAATCTAAGGGAGGAACATCAAATGGACCAAATATGGGAATCGGAAGAGGTAAGGAGTCCAAAATTTAGCTTTGTGCCTCCACATTGTGGGAACATACTTGTAGTGTATATGAGGAACTAGACGGACCCATACTTACCCAAACATGGACTAATAGGTTCTATACATTACTATGATGAGAAACATGATTAAAAAGGTCTCAATCTAAGGGAGGAACATCAAATGGACCAAATTTGGGAACCGGAAGAGGTAAGGAGTCCGAAATGTAGCTTTGTGCCTCCACATTGTGGGAACTTAATTGTAGTGTATATGAGGAACTAGACGGACCCATACTTACCCAAACATGGATTAATAGGTTCTATACATGACAATGAGGACAAACATGACTGCAACGGTCTCAATCCAAGGGAGGAACATCAAATGGACCAAATTTAGGAATCGGAAGAGGTAAGGAGTCCGAAATGTAGCTCTGTGCCTCCAAATGGTGCATTGTAAAGTGTTTGTTCTAACACTTATAATCACCCGTTTGGAGACTCTAACTTAATCTTGTGGATGTGAAGAACATGTCCATGGCTAACATATGGATAAGAGTAATAGTTCATCAAGTACTCATCCAATAACGATATTTAGTTTTATGATATTTTATCGGAGCAATCAATGAAGCAACATTTTCCTGCTAATTATCAATCTAATGGAGGAACATCAAATGGACCAAATTTGGGAATGAGATTCTCTGGCTTGGCTCCGATTCTTCACAAGTATTATCAAAACAAGGAACAAGCAAAGACTTATCCTGTGTTTGATCCTAAAAGGATAGAAGGATCGATAGAAAAAAATAAAATGCTACCCTAGAAAAGTAGGGAAAGATCGATCCTGCAAAAGAAAGGATGAGAGAAAGAGAGAGGAAAAAAACTCAAAATACTCCAAAGAATATATTAGACGAGATCAAGTAGGTAAGAACAAGTACTTAATGATCAATATTCCTTTCATTAAGAACCCACGCTTTAAATTTATGCAAGAGGTTCGCAATAGAAAGTTTGGATTAGTGGATGAGACTAGTTGAGTTGGTATTGTTCGCTAAACTTACCGAATGATCTTATACAAAAGAGTTCACAAACTTAGTAATCACATTTTAGCCGAAAAAAAAAAAAAACTTAGTAATCACATACTAGATTGTATTATTAGATTGTACAATTCTCAAATCATAATAATAAGCATGTGTCATGTATGAGTTAAAAACCAAACAATTAAATATACATGATTAACCTCTTAATCGAACAATAAAATAAAAGTATGTTTCGATTATATATTATAACTAGGAGGTAACCCGCGCTTCGCGCAGAATTTATATTATTGTGTTAATTTTATTATTTTTCCGCAAATTTAGTTTATTTCTATTGTTTATTATTGTTTCAAAAATATTACACATATTAATTAAAAATAATTAGGATTAGCAAAATTAACGTACTGTCTTGTCCCATTGTATCCCATTTCGTTCATTTTCATCATGTCCGTTCTTTCTCGTCTCATCCGTCATGTTGTTTCGTCCCGTCCTATCCCATTATGTTCCTTTCCATTTTGTTATGTCCCATCATGTTCCTTCCGTTTCTTCTCGTCCCGTTCCCTAAATATAACTAAGGATAGACAAAATTCCCGTATAGTCCCATCCCGTCCCATTTCATTCCTTCTCATCTTGTCCTGTTCTTTCCCGTCCCGTTCCGTCTTGTCCGCCCTATCGAGTCCCATCCTATCATGTTATATTTTTTTTTCTGTTTTGTCTTGTCTCTGTCCGGTCCCTAAATATAATTAGGGGTAGGTGAAATTTCTGTCCCGTCCCTTCTCGTCCCATTATGTCCCTTTCATCCCGTCCCGTCCAATCCCGTCTCATTCTGTTTTTTTCATCTCGTCATGTCTAATTTGTCTGTCTCGTCCAGTCTTATCCCATTTCTCTTGTTATGTTTTTTTCGTCTCATCTTGTCCGGTCTCGTCTCATTTCATCCCAAAATAGTTAAAAAATCAGTGTTCTTTTATAACATCTTGACATCAATGTAAATTATATAATCTAACAAAAATAAATTTACTAAATAATAGTTTTTAGATTTATACATAGTCTTTCTCCTTTTTTAAAAGTGACTTTTCATATTCTTTGTTAAACTTATTATAGTAATGAATGCTAATTATTATGAAATTAAAATATTAAAAAGAAAAAATATAATAAATTAAAAAAGTGCTGATGTGGCAAAATGGAGAATTTAGAAGCTATGAGAAGAGAGGAACATGAACTTTATATATATAGATAGGAGGTAACCCGCGCTTCGCGCAGGAATTTATATTATTGTGTTAATTTTATTGTTTTTCAGAAAATTTATTTTATTTCTATTGTTTATTATTGTTTCAAAAATATTACACATATTAATTAAAAATAATTAGGATTAGGCAAAATTAACGTACCGTCTTGTCCCATTGTATCTCATTTCATTCATTTTTATCATGTCCGTTCTTTCTCGTCTCATCCGTCCTGTTTGTTACGTCCCGTCCTATCCCATTATGTTCCTTTCCATTTTGAATGTCCCATCATGTTTCTTCCGTTTCTTCTTGTCCCGTTCCCTAAATATAACTAAGGATAGACAAAATTCCCGTATAGTCCCATCCCGTCTCATTTCATTCCTTCTCATCTTGGCCCGTTCTTTCCCCGTCCCGTTCCGTCTTGTCCGCCCTATCGAGTCTCATCCTATCATGTTATATTTTTTTTCTGTTTTGTCTTGTCTCTGTCCGGTCCCTAAATATAATCAGGGTAGGTGAAATTTCTGTCCCGTCCATTCTCGTCCCATTATGTACTGTCCATTCTCGTCCCATGTCCGTTTCATCCCGTCCAGTCCAATCCCGTCTCATTCTGTTTTTTCCTCTCGTCATGTCTAATTTGTCTGTCTTGTGTCTCGTCTCGTCCAGTCTTATCCCATTTCTCTTGTTATGTTTTTTCCGTCTCATCTTGTCCACTCTCGTCTCATTTCATCCCAAAACAGTTAAAAAAATCAGTGTTTTTTTTATAACATCTTGACATCAATGTAAATTATATAATCTAACTAAAATAAATGTACTAAATAATAGTTTTTCTAGATTTATACATAATCTTTCTCCTTTTTTAAAAGTGACTTTTCATATTCTTTGTTAAATAGTAATGAATGCTAATTATTATGAAATTAAAATATTAAAAAGAAAAAATATAATAAATTAAAGAAAGTGCTAATGTAGTAAAATGGAGAATTTAGAAACTATGAGAAGAGAGGAATATGAACTTTATATATATAGATAGATGTTAATACCAGCAGAAATTATCAACTATTATCGTAACATTCTTCAATATTCCTTTGTAGACAATTTCTAATTAACTAATGATTATCACACATACTAATGAATTAACAATAGTATTTATATAAGAAAATTAGGAACAAACGAATGATTTCCAAGTGAAAGAAATAAAGCTAACTAAATCAAAGAAACATGAGTCAAAGTTATATAATTGAATCAACTTGCAACAATCAAAGAAGCATATATAGATCGATACATTGATACTTTATTACTTTATAAACAGATCAATATTAAACAATTTATAAATTCTACAATATATCAATATTAAATAATATGTCAACAATAAAATAGATATGATGATTAATAATATTCAAACGTATGCATGATTCAATTATGAACATACAACTATAAATCGATTCCATAAAACAATAAACAATGTTTTCGTTTCAGAGAATTAAACGAATGAAACCATAAACTGCAATAGTAAATTCAACTTAATAAGCCAAAGTACCAATCGACGAAAATCAATTAAAATAACAAACATCATATGAGAAACAAATAAAAATAATAAATATGCAACCTGAAATAATGAACAATATAAAATCCTTTTAAGATACAATATAAATCCTTCTGGATATAAATAAATATGTAATTAATTCTTTAGGGATACAAATCCTTCTGGGATTGATGATACACATAGATCAACAAAATAATAATAGAAATTATTCATTGAATCTTGTTTAATCTTGGAAATAAGGAAATTTGATTTCCTCTGATCTCTTAACTTAGACAGCTAGGGTTTTTAACTTAATGGTTAGAGACCTGTGCTAATAATGTGTTATAGAAGAAGAGAGAACAAGAGAAGTGAGGAATTGGTTGTGTCATATTCCATGAGTAATGAGTTCTTTATATAGGAGTACAAGAGTAGTGATTACAAGAGTAGTGATTATTTGGAGAGAAAGTACAACTTGGAGAATAAGGTAGAACCTTCTAGAATATAAGCCGATAATGGGTTCCATATAAGCTATTTATAACAATTTGTACTTTATAATACTCGTAAAGTATACTTGTAAAACATAAATAAACACCGAATAAAAAATAGGGAGACAAATTTTTTTTATGATTTATTAGGAAAATTCCGATAGATAAACACTTATGATAATTTTCTCAACACTTCTGATAACATTCTCAATACTGGATGAGATTTGTTGGACCCGGTATGGTTCGCTAAGTTCAAGGTCAGTACGTGAATGCTAGTTTCAAGGTTGGTTTTGTCCCAAAGAGACCAGAGCAATGGAAGATACAAGTTCCAAAAGATAAGTGAGTTTTCGTGTTTTCAAAACCTCTTCACTAGTTTAGATTCGATTTGCTTGGGGACAAGCAAAGATCTAAGTCTGGGGGAGTTGATATAGCTTTATTTTACATGCTTATTATATGGTTTTTCTATACTATATATACGGTTTTCCAGTGGATTCTTGTCTTGAAAGGTAGTTTTTATGGAGTTATAGTGCAAAGAGTCATTTTAGGTCAAAAGGTGCATTATGGAGCAAAACACAGAAAAATGACTTCGAACCAGTTCCATTGCCACAACAACTACTTTGGGAAGAGCTTCAAAATAATATACTCAATGGAATTCATCAAGAACACTTATCCGCGTGCCCTGAGTGAGTTAACTCTCCAACGCAAGTGGATTCGCATCATTTGGATGAGTAGAAACAGAGTTATGATCATTTTAGTGAAGACTGGTCCAGATTGTCAAAACTGCGCAAAGAAGCCACTCGGCGCCCAAGACCGCGCGCACCGGCCGACCGAGGAACTATCGTCCCATGATCGACCCGCGCAGCACAGCATCACCATCCAGTATTGTCGCGGCCGAGCACACGTACCGACCCGGGAAGCATCCGCCCACGGTTGACCCGTTCCAATCAAGCGCTCAAAACTCGCGCACGACCGCACCGCTCGAACCGGGAAGCATCGTCCCGCGTTTGACCTGTTCGCTTCCCATTATCTGTGTACCGTGCACGATCGTACTGTCCGACCAGAGGACCATCATCCCTCATCCGGCCCTAACGTTCAACCAAATTTATCCGTCCTGCCGAACCCGACGACCGAACATACAATCTCTCGGCCATGATCGTTCCGACCGTACTGCAGCCCGATCACGACCTAGCTCTCAGCCGAACGTACCGACCAATCGTCTGAACGGTCCGGTCGACCCGAAGCCGATTTTGAAGCCCATTTTACAAGATTTAAAGCCCAATTACTTGGCCGACTTTATAGACCTAGGTCTAGCCGCTCTTAAATACTTAGAGCACTATAAATACATCATTTTAGTCTTGTAACTCAAGAAGGAGAGAGACCACGATTTACATTACATCTTTAATAAATTTCTTTATTTTTACTTTGCTTTTGGTTCTTCTCTTACTAGAGAGGATTTCGGATCTCTGTTCTTATGAATATGAATTTAATCTTCTTCTCTATGTCTGAGTAGTTTATTTGTTAAGTGATAGGAAATCAAATGATAGTTTTCATGTTTGCTGGATAATCGATTATGATGAATTAGGGTTTTACATAAATTCTTCCCCTTTACTTGTGTGCAAAGCTTATTGTTAATCTGGCCAATTAGCATATGATCCTAGGTAGACTTGAGCCACGAAAGTGTTGAATCATTTGCCTGAACTAGTATTTGGTGGGCAATCTCTTTTAGACTGCAACAGTTGATCTACTTGTAGGTTGTGAACAATTGAGACTCATTCGATTTATTGCTTGATTAAACATTTAAGGACATAGCAAAAGTTTAGCGATTAGATAGATTAACAAAGGGGTCGGAGCCACGACAATGGAAAGATCATACCTTAGTGTCTTGATTTCTAGATGGTACCAATTCCCAATAACCCTAATCAATCGAATCTTGCTTCTTGAATTACTTATCTAGAGATTAGTCTATTGCTTAGCTGCTCTCTGCTATTGCTTTCAACCTTATTTCGTTCCCTGCATGCGTTTACTGTTTTACTTTATATCTCAATCAATCAACCTCTATTGTTTTGCCCTAGCTCGATCTCAAACTCATAACATGTAGTGTGCAATCTGGTCCTTGTGTTCGATACCCGTTGCTACTTCTGACCTATGCACTTGCAGAATCAGGGATAGGAAAGAGAAGACCTGATCCCGTGATCATTGATTCAAGAGATTTAACAAACAGTCAGAAAGTAAATCTACTTAAGAACAATAGCTTAGACGGTCAATCAAGATAGCACAAAGTTAGATGAAGAATCCCTAATGATAAAACCCTATACACCCAACAAGGAGATTACTCCGGCATAGTAACAGAGATCAAGCAAAGAGTTATAGAAGAATTCATTATAAATCTTGATAAGAAGTAAAAGGGTTCATAAATCTTCTCTACCGTGTTACAGAGGCGAGATCTTCTCCCATGAAGCTCTAAAACGAAATCAATGTAAAATTCTGTAAAACCATGGCGGCTCTCTGTTCTAATGAGGCTAAATATTGTATTTATAGTGCCCTAGGTCTTCATGAATCGGTTTAGGCGAAAAGGGGTGAGAATAGTCGAAACTGCATAAGTTGGCTTCTTGTTCGCGGCGGGTCGATCAGGGTCCATTGGTTTCCTGGTCGGCCGTCGGGGTCGGCCGTGAGGTGATGATCTGGGTCGACCATGGTCCATTAGTTCCCTGGTCGGCCGGTGCATGCGGCCGGATGCTTTGATCGCATGTTGAGGAATGAGTCGAGCACGACAATGCTTCCTGGGTCAGACGGCTTGGTCGAGCGGTTCAGTCGGACAGTGGATGAATGATGGTCGACCGCGGGACTATGACTCCCTGATCGGACAGTGCGGTCGGACAGAATGCATGCGATATTGTGGTGAAGGCCGAGCGAAACCAACAGGTTTCCTGTCCGGCCGAGTCGTTTGGCTGGCAGTGGACAAGCCTTCAGTAAATATGTTATATCTCCTAAACTGCTCATCCAAATTGCATACTTCCAATAGCATAGGAACACTGACTCGTCCCGCTATCTTGGTACCGATTTTCGTTGAAATCCATTTAGTTTAAGGATCTGTGTCATTGCTTCCCGTTTGATGTAGTGATGCAGTCCGATATAGCTCTCTCGCATATGTCTCACGGAAATAGAGATATCTCCCAATCTACTCTGCCAAACTGAGTGATTCAAGTTGCATTGCAAAGCTAACTAATGTAGGCATTGCGGCGAAGTGAAATTTATGAAGTCCATTGAGTATAATTTTTTTAAGGCCCTTCTAAAGTTGATGCTACGTCCTGGAGCGGTCTTGAAGTCCAAATCATGTGTTTTGCTCTAAAATGCATCTCTTGACCTGTTTAGATTCTAACTACTATAAATCCATAAAACAAAATGTTTAGATCATAAAGCCATTAAAAACCTTATGAATAGCATAGTAAAACCATATAAAAAGCATATAAAACTGAGATATATCAGGCTACCTTGCTGGATCTTCATGCTTTTCAACAGATTCACTTTCTAAACCATTTGACCCAAAACCCAATCAAGTTTTGCTATGAATATCCCATTGGCTCAACCGATACAGTACTAGTTCTGCTACCATATGATGATCTTCCCAGCCGCCGTACCGGTGTTGTCACCTTCCAGCCACCAAAAGAAGATTTCTATGTCCCAACCCAAGAGAAACAAGCTTTCCTCATCGCCCACTACTACACTCTCCAGCGCACAGACCAAGAATGCCATGTTCTCAGTACTGGAATGGCAGAAAAACTAGCTCTTGACCGTGTCAGCCGCTTGTAGAAGGTTGTGGAGTGCCAATAACGTTTCATCTCGTGCCTAATCTATGCCGTTAGCCACATTACCCCTGAGAAACTCTTCCGCGCTTCTCTAGCAGCCAGACAACCATATGAGCCTGACCTTGGTGAATTTTCCCTCACCTCCGAGATTGGTTCTGATGGCGACGATTCCATAGAAGAGGACTTCAAGCCACAACACCTAGACATCCCACTTAGTATCCGTGCAATGGACACCTACAAATCTCCATTTTCTATCCCTATCTCGTTTTAATGAACTTTATTTTCTTATACTTTTGAATATTACCTCTTACCCTTAATGTGATTTGTTTTCACCGGGACGGTGCAAGTTAAGTCTGGGGGGAGTTTTATTGTGTACTAATGAATTTTTATTTCTTTTCTTATGTTTTATTTCATGTTTTTCTGTTTTATTGAGTCAAAACCTAGTCCGAAAATTATGAATTTTCTTTGAGATTTTCCGGTGTTGTGCTAACAATCTATGACCATAGAGCAGACATCAGCTGAAGGCATCAGCCTAACAGAAGCTCTAACAGTGGATCGACATGCTGGCTTGGCGAAATTTCTAAGGTAACCAAGCAATCTAAAGTTAACCCCATTCTTAATCAATCTTTATAACTCTTGTCATGGGTATTGATATGCATATTGGTAGTTCCTTACTTGATTTTGCAATAAGGTTTGTCTAATTTAAAGTGCAGTTCTTCTCTCTCCCATTTTAGAAAAAAAAAATGAATGAGAAAAGCTTTTAAGCAAAACGGAAAACAAATAAGCATGAGGAATGCATATGTCTGTACCTTCATGTCTTATGGAATACCTTATCAAAACAAGGAACAAGCAAAGACTTATCCTGTGTTGATCCTAAAAGGATAGAAGGATCGATAGAAAAAATAAAATGCTACCCTAGAAAAGTAGGGAAAGATCGATCCTTCAAAAGAAAGGATGAGAGAAAGAGAGAGGAAAAGAACTCAAAGTACTTCAAAGAATATATTGGAGGAGATCAAGTAGGTAAGAACAAGTACTTAATGATCAATATTCCCTTCATTAAGAACTCACGCTTTAAATTTATGCAAGGGGTTCGCAATAGAAAGTTTGGATTACTGAATGAGACTAGTTGAGTTGGTATTGTTCGCTAAACTTGCCAAATGTATGTGAAGCTAACCTTATGTTGCCTATATTCTTAGTGGAATATAGGAAATGAACCCTTCACAAGATTTTCAAAGAGGCAAGGGAGTTTCAACGTTTTCAAAACTCTTTTATGGATCCAGATTCTATTTGTTTGAGGACAAGCAAAGATCTAAGTCTGGAAGAGTTGATATATCTCTAATTTAAGCGATTTTTATACTATTTTAGCATGGGTTTCTAATAGTTTTTAATAGGTTTTCAATCTAAAAATTTGGTTTTATTGGATTTATAGTACTAAGAGACTCTAAACTTAGTAAGAATTTAAGCAGGTTGAATGATGCATTTTGGAGCGAAACCATAAAATTTGGACTTCATCCCGCTTTATGCCACAACATCAACTTTGATAAGGCCTTAAAAATTTCTTCTCAATGGATTTCATCAAGACCAGTTCACCACGACGCCTACGTGAGTCAGCTTTCCAATGCAATTGGATTTTCACAATTTGGATGAGTAGAAATCAAGTTATGATCGTTTTAGTGAAGTCTGGTCAAGAAAGCCGGAATCGTGTACGTACCTTCCCACGCCTCAACTGAGCGGACTGGCCGACCCGGGATGTAGTAACCCTGGTGTGAGATGAGGAGATTTGACCAATGGACTTCATGGAGAGGAGCTAGAAGTCAAATAAAACATTTCGATCGAAGAAAATCGGGAAACGAACGAGTAGAAATCAAGATAGACAAAGTTGAGCGCATACGGACGAACGCGGAGTATCGAAGGCGGCCTTGACCGGAACACGAAAAATGGAAAGTTGTGGCATTGAGACAGAAACTTCAGGACAACAAGAGGAAGACAAAAAAAGATGTTCGGTCGAGACAGAAGTTGATTTGATCGAGTAGATCTCGAGATATAAAGCTGGCCGCTTGATGGTTATACCGAAGGGCGGCAAAGCTTGTATCGGCGAGGGTCATGGATTAGACCAAGGAGGATGTTGGCGTGGACTTAGGGAAGACTAAGTCGATGTTTGCGTGGAAAGTAAGGCCAAGGACATCACGGATTGATCGACCAATCAGGACGTGATAAGTGGCGAGAATGTTCCCTTTAAGGAAACACATGCCTAAAGAAGAGGAGAGTGGTTTGCCATTAAGAAAGAAACATTCTTTCTTGCATGGGGAAATCTTGTCATCTCTACAACATTCTTGACACCTAGAAGAATCTTGAGAGAGAGGAGAAGATAAGAGGACACATGCTAGCTTCCAAGAGAATGCATGTGGAGCGATGTGATGTGTAACTTCCAAGAATGTTCATACAATGAACATGGACGTGATACAACTATATTTGGCACTATACTAGGAAGAGTATGTGAGTTAGTGGAGGTGCAGACCTAAGGATAGGTGCATCTTTTCATTGGTTTGTTCTCTCGTGGAGTGCGCGGAGAAAAGACGAAACGATGGGGTGTGGACATTTGGCGGAATGTTTGCATGCATGAGGACGTGATGAGACTCAAGAGAGGAGAGTGAGAGTGAGACAAGAGATAGAGACACACATGTCGAGCCAGGGAGAAACTTACACACACAAAAAGACATGTGTTGATTGGATGGATCAAAGGAAGGAAACGACGACAAGTGTCATTCTTTCTGACAAATGTCAAAAGACATGACAAGTGTTGCTTCCAAGGTGACTCACGACCACTAGCCTATAAATAGGAAGCCTCAGCCTCACTTGCTTCCATTTCCCCATTCCATTTGCTCTTGTTCTTCTTGAAAGCGAGAGAGAGATGTTTTAGCGAGAAAGTGTGTTGTGTTCTTTCTAAATAGTTTGAGTGAGTTTAGTGGAGTTAGGGAGAGAGTTCTAGCTAAGGAGTAGCTAGAGGAAGTGGAGTTTTGGCGTGTGGTGGTGTTAGGCCGTTCATCAAAGTGGTTTGGTGAGTACGGTTAAGTGGCTCCGAGAGTAGTCACTGTCTCTTTCTTGTTTGTTTGTGTGTTGCATTCTAGATCATTTAGAAACTTGTGGTTTCTTTTGATTAGATGCATGTGAGTGTTGTGGTGGTTGTTAGTATGTGTGATACTAACTTTGTGGTTGCAGGAAGTATGAACGCTAAGCAGGAGGCTTACCGTTATACTTTTGTGTGTTTGTGTGGTGATAGCTTTTTGTTAAAGCTTGTTTGTTGCATGCATGTTAGGATCCAAGAAGAAACGTGCGATGTTCTTCTTGGGATTGATTGCATGATTGGTTGTGTGTGTGTGTGGTTAGTTTGTGAAACTAACGATTTGTGGTGTAGGGAAGAGGAGAAACGCCTAAGTGTTCAAAGTGTGATTAACGAGTTTTGTGCAGGATGGAAGATGAACACTTAGTTTGGTTTGTTGTTGATTTGTGTGAGAGATCATAGTGAAAGCTATGGATCTATTTGGTGTGTTGTGTGTGAGATCATAGCGTGTTATAAGCTATGGACCTATGTTGTGTGTTGTGTGAGATCATAGCCCAATGCTATGGATCTTTGTGTGTGAGATCATAGCCCAATGCTATGGATCTTTGTGTGTGAGGTCATAGAAACCCTATGGACCTAGTAGTGCGTAAATAGATCATTGTGTTGTTTGATCAATGATCTTAGCGGTGTATCGTGATGCTCCTCCTCCCTTGCGGTTCATTCACTGAGAAACCCTCTTGGATGGATCGTTAGGATGACTCAGAGGGTACTTGGGTCGCTCCCATGGCTGAGTACTACACGACGGTGTAGCCCGGGTGTCTCTTGTCGGCGATGGCAAGAGAGTCGGGAGCCGAGTTCTTGATCATGGAAGGGTCAAGAATCGGTGTGAGAGTCCGGTCAGGGTTACTGTGTGTTTCTCTGACGCGGATATCACGGTGAGGGGAGATCCGTGCATGATAGAAGCCGATACCACGTAGTTTTGGTGGTAGTAGCTTAGTGAGCGCTGTAGAGTGTGTGAGTGGAGTGTGGTTGAGTGTTGTGTAGGAAAGTCTCTTAATTGAGACTATCTCCTTTGTGTGTGTGTGCATAATAGTTGGACGCAACTATTATGTTTATGTGTTGTGTGTTTGCAGGTGTGGAGAAAGTGGTGATAGACAATACTCGTATATTGGTCTAAGGCATGACTAAAGAGCTTTGCTTCGGCATTGTCTTTAGTATGCGTGTGTTGTGATTGTTTTTTAAAAGCTTCCGCTTGTGCTTGCTTTGATTGAGTTGTTGTAGTCGTTGATTGCATGTTGTTTGTGTTGGGGTGTTTGGGTAGAATTGCTTGTGTAGTATGGGTAGAGGATCCCGGCTCACTAAGTAATTCTAGATTACTTATGATGACTCTGTTTGTTGCAGGTGACCGTAGCTGTGGTGTAGTTGGCGCTTGGACGTAGGAGGCCGGAGTAGATTGCGGTGTGTTTTGTAAAAGCTATGTAAGGTTTCGATGGTTTTAATTTTCATCTTTTGTTTTAAAATCATCCGCGGATGTAATAAGATGTTTTCAATTTCGGTTTTATGTAAGACAATGTTTATGATATAAATCAAGTATGTTTTAAGTAATTAAATACTTGGTTTCAAAGATATTTAGTCTAGTCCGGACTAACATAACTCTCAGCTTGAATACGGGTTGGCAAGCCTTAGGTTCTTGTCTCGAGAGGGTCGGTTACCAAAGATGGACTAACCTCGGCCTTGGTGTGTTCTTGGCCTTGAGGATGAACCGTCATACTGTGACGTCCGTCCGGCGCGGCTGCGTCTAGCTCGCGTCGGGGGTGTTACCAAAAGGTGGTATCAGAGCATGGTTCATGATCATGTTCACAAAACCAAGATTTTCAAAACGTTATCAATGTTTTATCGAGTCAAAATGTGTCGCAAAAGCACCTTTAGGAATCCGGATCGTCCAAGCTTAGTTAGTAGGAATGTATAGGACCTTACCCTTGTTTGTTGTGGTGGTGATGGTGCAGTAAGTCACAAGTTGAAGGATGGGACGCAAGATGAGTGATTGGCTGAAGAGATAGGGTCAGGCAGGATCGATTAATGTTGAGGAGCGCAACAGTGGAGTTGTGTTGGTATCCTCGGGAAGTTCTAGTGATGATAGTTCGAATAAGAAGTCTAATGACTCGGAGTATGTGGAGGTGGCTGTGACGGACACGTATGTGGAGACGGATCCGAGTGAAGGAGAGTTTGATTCAGCTGTCTTGAGATTGGAGGAAGTGTGGAGGCAGACGTGCCAACACCGTATGAAGCGACGAGATTGGTGTACACCCAAGATATGGTGGCCATACCAACGAGACATGAAGGAGTGGAGATCTTAGTTCCATCAACGGAGATAATTGAGATATCTTCCGATGATGCTTTGACTAACTCATGGGATGGAGCGAGTTCGCAGCAGATATCGCAGGAGATACCTATACCGCGTGTCTTCATGCCAGAATATGGGTACACTCCGTACATACCGCCGGAGTCAAGTGAAAGTCTCTTGGAGTATGTGCATCCGATTTTTCAGACTGGACAAGTGGAGGGAGAGGTGAACCCAGCGATGCAAATCAGTGAGGAAGGTTGGACTTGTACGGTCAACTATTTGCTGATTCAAGCTCCGAGTACAACGCGAGCTATGGAGGAAACGCCTATGTTCAAGGAGGAACGAGCGCACCAAGTTTTGGACTACCAGAAGAAAGAATTCCATATGAAGGGAAGCCTTGGGTTAATCTTAACTCGGAGGCAACTGTGGAGAACCTTTGGTGGGACATGGAGCGTGATGCAGAGCGTGGAAGACCGATTGAACCAGAGAGAGATAGTGCAGCAAAGCTAGAGGCGTTTGTGAGGTACCATTGTGAGATTCTTGAGGCTCATGAGAGGAACCAAAATGAAGCTGTGGTGAACCAAGTTCCGGTGACAAACCAGAACGTTGGAGTTGTGAAAGAGAATGTTTCGGATGAGAATCCGAACAATGTTGTGGAAGTGAATCAAGTTGAAACGAGAAACCAAGTGGTGGAGGAGAATCCAAATCAAGTGAATGAGAGCCGTGTTGTGGAGGAACATCGTGACGACGATGTGGAGGTAAACCAAAGCCGTGAGGAGACGGTGGCTGAGAATGAGATTTCAAGAGCTGTGGAAATGGGAAGTCCTCAGGAAGAAGGCCTGGAGGGAGACTTCGTTTTAGAGCTCAAGCGAGAAAGAGAGTTCTAATTTCGGCAAGGGCATCTATGCCTTGTCGTGTTTGTGGAGAATTCGGGCATTTCACTCATGTGTGCCCAAATGAGAGGTCGAGAAGAACAATGCGGAGGGAACCACCCACGTGTTATAGATGTGGAGTGCAAGGGCACTATGCGAGCGCCTGCCCTGACTGCCCATCGCCATCATCATCGTCCTCATCTTCAACCCGTGCATGGAGGCCTTTGGGAAGGCGTGGTGGACACTCTGGTTAGTTGTGAAACCCCAACCGATTAGGAAAGTCAGAGTATGAGGTATGTGTGGGTTCTTACCTCTTTGTGGAAGATTGATTGATTGCTTGTTTGATGCATTGCATAACTTCAATCTCTGTGTAGAATAGAACATGGCATGGTTGTATTGATTGCTTGCATGGTAGTTTTGCATGTAGCAGTCTTGTTGTGGTTTGGGACATAGTAAAGGCTATGGTCCCTTACCTTTTGTGTGTGTGTGAAGTGTGTGAGTGATAGGTTAAGAACATGGTTTAATAAGAGCCATGGTTCGTTTCCTAGTTGTGTGTGTGGAACATGGTGTGGTGAAATCCATGGTTCCTTTAGTGTGGTAGGGAAAGATCGAGGAGATCTTTGGAGACGTCTTAGGATGTTCTCGTGGTTGTGTGTGTTAGCGTTTCTGTGAGAGAAGCGTTAGGTGTATGGTTAGGAGGACTGAGGAGAGTCTGTAGAACCCTTGGAGTGTGTTGAGAGTGAGTGAGTAGTGGTGTGGAGAATCGAGTTGGGACTGGGATGGGGAGATCCTTGAGTCACTCGATTAGGTTTACCAAGTCGATGATGGAAAATCGAATCTTGGGTAAGCCTCGGAATGGGAAGCAAGGCAGTGAGGAAGGCAGTGGCGTGAGTGATATACCCATATCTTTCATGTTTTTATCAAGGTTTTCACTATGTTTTTAATACAAATAATGTGGTTTTTATGCCCAAGAGGTAGTTTTCTTGTATATTCTGGTTTTGAGCATCATTCAGGTCAAAATAGCAAAGAAGAGTCAAAATGGAGCAAAAAGAGTCAAATCACCAAGTTCCCAAGTCTAGAGCACCAAATCTACATTTCTCGCTAAAGACCAAACCGGAGCATCCGAAGTACGACCGCATATTCATGCCTTCCCGACGTCCAAAAGTCATGTTTCTTATATGGAAAGATAGATATTTGAGTCATGACCCGCGGCGAAGTGGAAAGAGGTCATTTGGATCACTCGTTGGACCGGAACTTATTTTCTACCAAGACATGTCCGACGAGCGCCTAAGTAGAGCCCATGGAGACTTTGATGGATCAAGAGGCCCGAGATACCGCGCCCAAGGCCTTGGCTCATCTTGACACTAGCATAACTCAATCCAGAAGCTTCCATTGGCCTGAACGCGGCCCATTCAAGAACTTGGAGAGCAAGCTCAAGCGGCTAAAGAGAAATGGAAACTTTCCTCTTCTGCGCGCGCTCAACTTTGCCGACCTAGACCCGCTCTCTACCTATATATACTTGCTTTTAGCCTCTTGTAATAAGAATCACCAGCCGCATAACAAGAAACACTTATTCAATAAAGTTCGGAGCCACTTAGGTGGTCTCCTTCTTCTTTCTTTTCTTCTTTTGCATTTGTATATAGCTTGCATGTTTCAATTTATATAGTCTAGAAGTAGAGATTTCTCCCTAAGGGTGAGGCGGTTTAGTCTATATTCCGCCGCCTCTCTCTCTAAGGATTCATGAGACTTCATCTACTATCTAAGACTCATTGTTGAATTATGGATCCTTCCAATGAGGACGTGATATAATGGCCATCGAATCGATTGTTAAAAGGGGAAACCCTATGGTTCTCCATCTTTATTTATGCTTAATGCTTGTTGCTAGAGTAGCTAACTAGTGACTTGATTTTAGGTTGATATACTCTCCAAAAGCTTGTTATATCTCCGGACACAATATTTGATGGGCAAATCGTTTTAGGCTACGAAAGTAGACCTAAAGAGTTTTGTGAACAATCATTACTTGGATGTAATGCATGTCTCACTCTACAATGACCAACGAAAGCTGAGCCCATTGGTTTAAGAGACATAGGGGATTGGAACCACGAAAGTGGAATAATCCTTCCTTAGTGTTTTGAGTTCAAAAGAATCGGATTTTAACAAACTTTTCAATCGACTTGGCTCATGTTTTCAAAAGAGTTTTCAATAGTTCAATAATGTTGCTTGTATAGAATTGCATTGTTATTTTTTTGCGTGTTCTAAACAAACACAAACCCTTGCATCTTTTGATTTAGCTTAGTCATTTAAACTCTATGATTATGTAATGTGTGAAATCCAATCCCTTGTGGTTCGACCCCTAAATACTACAATTATATGTTGTGCACTTGCAACACTAGTTGTCTTAGGGAATTATTACTTGTACTCATCCCATAGATGCAGCGATCAAGTTTTTGGCGCCGTTGCCGGGGATTGCATCATAAACACTTGCATAGTCTTGTTTAAAACTAAGTCTAGATCTTGGTATTTTCGAATACTAACTTTTTCTTTTTAAATCTTGTGTTTATAGGTACTTGGAGATGAATCACAACACCAACATCCACTTTGGGAACCGGACACTGATCCCACACGATCTCCACGGCCGGAGTTACCAAGACCCAGCCGTAAGCATCGTGCCACATCCGTTCCCTCCCAACCGCGCTCATCCGACGTTTGAAGGACCTAGCCGAGACGAGCATCATTACCATCATCATCAAAACCGACCTCCGGTTTATCATCAACCACCTAGACCAGTGTTGCATTCACACCACGACCATGTTCTCAATAGGCGGAGAGATAGCCATTTCGATGCCGTGCTTGAGGGTTTCATGGAGAGCCAAAGAAGAACTAGCCGCGACATTGAGACAAAGCTAGAGTTCACGCGATACGAACTAGATGGAAGACTTGGAGAACTCTCTACCCAAATAGAGAGAGTAGAGTCAAGATGCTTGGACATGGAGGAAGATTTGAAGAAGCAAGGCGAGGCCATTGAAGACAATAGGAGAGCGATACACTTTACCAAAGTTTCTACCAAGGAGATGGACAATCACTTAGATGAGAAGATCTCAAGTCTTGATAACAACCTCGATGGCACCACCAAGAGTCTCAATTCAATAACAGCAGTAGCTCATCAAGCTAAGAGGGAGGTAGCCGAAGTGACACTAAAGGAGAGGCAATGTTACTCGACGATGCTTACATTGGTGGAAGGGCAAAAACAAGTGAAGGCACAAATCCGAGATTTACACATCTCTCTAGACAAGAGGAGCCAAGATATTCAAAGAAGAGCTAGAGGGCTTGAAGACAAAGTAGATGGAGTCTCCAAGGAAGTCAAGGATTTAACCACTCGCTTAGCCAACTTGGAAGAGAAGGTCTTGACCGAGCAAAGACGACCGTTCCTAAGCACAACCATGCCGCGCCCGTCTTTACTATAAGAGAGACCGACCCAAGAGTGATTTGGGATGAAGAAGAAAGTAGAGCTGATCAAGAAAGAGCCACGAAGGCTAACCACTGGAACAAGAGAAAGATAGCACCAAAAGGAAGAACCCTTACTCAAAGGTCTTCACAACCGCCTCCCACCAAGGAGAAGAGGAAGACAAGATCATCACTTGAAGAGATCATAGATGATTTCAACTTTATGGCGAGGAGATTCCCTTATGGTGTGCCGTTTGATAATGCTTGCAACAAGAGTCCATTCATGCAAGACCTAGCTTGGACACAAGATTGGAGTCTAGCTGAATTGGAAAAGATGTACGAGGAAGCAAGAAAGGGGATGCCTAAACCTAGGTTTCTACACAAGCTTCATGACCCAGGTTACTTCCTTATACATTTCTCTATCAATGGAAGCTACTTTGATGATGCTCTTTGCGATTCCGGTTCTAGTGTGAACCTTATGCCGGCCGAGATAGCCAAGAAGTTGGGATTGATCAATTCAATTGTGAAATCTCGAATGGATTTAAAGCTAGCTGATTCATCATTGACCGAACCACTTGGAGAGGTTAAAGACATTCAGCTTGATTTTGGAGGCTGCATAGTTCCAGCCAACTTCTATGTAGTAACCATGAAGGATCCGGAGGACTTAAAGCTTTTGCTTGGAAGATCATTCCTAGCCACAGCTGGAGCGATCATGGATTGGCCTAATAGAAGAATCTCTCTAGCCAATGTTGACAAGGACACCTTCTACGATGCTGCACCTCCCGGTTTCTCATCCAAGCGATTTCGCTACACAAGTGGAGGAGAGTGCTCACAAGTAAGAGGAGAGTCGCATGGCTACTTGATCAAGGAAGTTCTACAGGACAAGATGCACTTGGAATCATCAGGCAACAGGAAGTTCTTGGAGCCACCAATCCTACCTAACTAAGAACACAAAGGAGTCGAGCTACAAAGACTTAAAACAAGCGCTTGTGGGAGGCAACCCACATTTTCTTATCCCTTCCTCTTTTTATTTTTTTTTTATTTTTAAACTATTATTTGTTCTATTTATAACTCTTAAATTTTTGAGAGTTTAATAAATTTTACAAAAATAAAATAAAAAGTGTTTTAGGAAAAAGTACCAAAAAGGAGGCTTACATGAAAAATGCATTGGAAAAGCTACATCGCCACCAATCGGCCAAGATTAACCATCTTTGGTCTAAGTATGAAGCATTGAGTCTAGTTTGAGTCCCACCCAAGTCCCACCCATGTTTCAAGAAGCAAAGAAGTCCAAGAAGGGCCGCGGCACAATAAAATCCGGCCATTGGAACACTATTGCACAAGGCAAAGGTAAGTATCACTTCCATTCTTACTGTCATTTCTTTTAAACACTATCTCTATCAAATTAAACCACTACACTACTTGGATTTCTGATCAAGATCCAAGTACATATGGTTTCACGATCAAGTCTTTGATTGGGAAGTTCAAACTATTTTGAACAACTCAATCATTGACAGAGTTTAACAAAAGTTACTAGTGTTTTTCAGATAAAATATGACAGGAGAACCGGTTCAAAATATCATACAAACATGGCGCGCAAAGGAGCCACAACCGGCCAAAGGAGGATTTACATGCCAAACATGAGAGATGAGGGAAATCCAACCACAATTCAATCCAGGAGGGATAGAAAAACAGTTCGGTCGAAGCAGAACTCAATTGGCCCGAGTAAAAAAGGAGATATCACATTCACAATCACTCTCTCGGCCAGAATCGACGAACCAAGCGACAATGCTCGACCATCTCCCAAACGGCACGACCGAAGTCCACCAAACTTCACAGGCGACCTCAAAACATCATTTTGGTCGGCAAATCCAAAAGATAGGACGAAAAAGTGCCTGCTACGTGAGATAGACGAGGAAGCTCAATACGGCCGACGGCGATGCATAGAATGGCCGACGAACTCAAAACCTCAAGAAGGCGCGAACACCGGTGGAAACTGATCCTCTGGAGTCCAAAAAACACCAAGGAAGAAGAAAGGAAGGAGACGATCGAACAGATAAGAGATGGCCAAAGGAATCACATCCCGAAGCCATTGGCGCGCACGACGAAAGATCTCCGAATCCACACGTTCAAATCGCCTCAAACTTCACAAGGAGCCACAAAATAAGGTTGGTCGATGAAATTCATTTCAGTACAATGAATTCCTTACAATTCAAGAGATGGCCGATGGAGTGAAATTTGGCCGATCGCGAGCAAGTAAAATGGCCGACAATCCAAATCACGGCATTTACCGCGGCCACCGGCTCAAATCACCTCCATCAAGCCTCCACATCGCATCTAAAGAAGAAAATCCAGATTGGAACGAGCAGAATTGGAGAAGACCGACGGAAGACGTTCCCGGAGCCAATTTGAAAATTTTCAAAGGAGATCTCAAACCACTCGTTCAAACGACCCCAAACTTCACCAGTCGCCATATTATACAATATTGGTCGACGAAATTTCAAGATAGGTCGAGGAAATCTTCACGGTTCGAGCTGTAGTCCATACCATCACCATCCGGTCGACCAAAACGGACCAGTCTCGGCCAAAAAGGCGAAAAACAGAAAACCAAGGGAGAATTGTCACATTCATCCAACCAAATCAGAGTTTAGGGTTGATGAAGAACTAGAAGGCATGGGTAAGAAAATGGTCACATACTTGTGGAGGACTCCCATTAGCCGTTAGAGTGTTGGGAGGCTTGTTAGCTAATAAATATACAGTTTCAGAGTGGCAAAGAGTATATGAGAATATTCAAACTCAAATCGTAGGAAAATCTGTCTTCGATGACAATAATCTCAACTCGGTTTACCGATTATTGTCTCTAGCTATGAAGATTTGCCAATGCAGTTAAAGCATTGCTTCCTTTACCTAGCCCATTTCCCTGAAGATTGCAAGATACTTTGAAGCAATTGTTCATTTTATGGGCTGCAGAGGGAATAATACTTTAGTTGCAATGGAGAAACAATTAAAAAAAGTGGAGAAGACTACCTAGAAGAGCTAGTGAGAAGAAATCTGGTTATTGCTGGAGAAATCTATTCAGTACTGGTAGAGGTGATTATTGTCAAATGCATGACATGATGAGAGAAATATGCTTATCTAAAGCCAAAGAAGAGAACTTTCTTCAAGTCATGGAGGTCCCTACTTCCACCTCTACTATCAATGCTCAAACTCCTAGTAGAGCTCGAAGACTCGTTGTACATAATGGTAATGCACTTGATATGTTGGGACATAAAAACAAAAAAGCAGATCTGTTTTGTGTCCCAGTCGAGGGAAACTTGTGGAAGCCAGCCATCTCAGTTTTCCAAAGTTTACCATTACTCAGGGTGCTAGATCTGCATAATGCCAAGTTTAAAGGAGGGAAGTTACCTTCCAGCATTGGAGAGCTCATTCACTTGAGATTCTTGAGCTTACAAATTCTGTACAGTATCTCATCTGCCTCGGTCTCTACGGAATCTAAAGCTTCTGATCTACCTCAACTTATTCGTAGACTTGGTGAGGTAATTTTTGTGCCAAATATTCTGAAAGAGATGCTAGAGTTAAGGTACCTTATCTTACCTTATTATATGGATGATAAAACAAAGTTGGAATTGGGTGATCTCGTGAACTTGGAGTATCTTTGGAATTTCTCAACAAAACATAGTAGTGTGACAGACCTCCTCCGTATGACTAGGCTCACGGCCCTTGTTCATTTAACTAGCGAGTGTACTTCTGAAACTCTATCGTCATCTCTCTCTGAATTAAAAAACTCGAGACTTTTTCGTTACTTGATTCGGCAAATCCCGTGTGGTTTATCAAGGGGCCGACTTTGTTCATCAAAATAAATTAAGTTGGCCATACATATGCCAAGGTTCCCTGATCAATATCATTCCCACCCAACCTTGCACACATACGTCTAGGAAATTGCAGATGGAGGAGGATCCAATGCCGATTCTGGAAAAGTTGCTTCATTTAAAGTCGGTTGTATTATCATTAATGGTTTCGTCGGGAAAAGAATGGTGTGCTCAAAAGGTGGATTTCCCTCAGTTACATTTTCTAGAATATCCAATCAAGAAGAGTTGGAAGAGTGGATCGTAGAAGAAGGGTCAATGCCATGTCTTTGTTCTTTGGTAATAGATGATTGCAAAAAGTTGAAGGAGCTGCCGGATGGGCTGAAGTATATAACTTCCTTTAAAGGAACTGGAAATTAAAAATATGAACAAGGGAGTGGACCAAGAAATTGGTACCAGGTGGAGAACATTACTACAAAGTCCAGCACATTCCTAGTGTTCAATTTTTCAATTGTGACGATGATGAATAAGGAGAAAAGAAAGTAGCAGGTAATTCTCTATTTTCGGTATCATGTCAACTTTGTGATAGGCCCAATGAGTCTTAACACCGACATGGCAAGAAGAAAAAGGAAGAAACTGAATTGGAAAGTCTTTAACATGCTTTAGTATAAATATATTAGTTTTGGTCTTTCTAATAGTGATGCTGAATATTCTAGTTGTAATTGACATAGACGCTATGAGTCTGTCAACGAGATCGCTATGAGATCTTGAGAGTGCTTGAATGAGATCGCCATGAGATCTTGAGTGCTTTCTATCTATCTATCTATCTATCTAGTGCTTTCTATCTATCTATCTATTGTAATCGTGTTATTCTAATAAAGAAGAGGATTTAGGGTTTGAGTTCTTAACAAATTGGTGCGTTCGTGATACTGGTTCGGACAAGAACGTGATTGAAGCTTCAGATTTGCAGCGATAATGACGGTTAAGGAGTGTGAAGAACGGATTCTACAGCTTGAGGGCTCCTTGGGAGAAGTACATAGAGAGGTCTCAGCAATCAAGGCTGGTTGTGAGAGCATGTCATCAAGACTTGGCGTTTTGGAGACACAGATGACAGCAATTGTTGAAACTCTTTCACGCATCGAAGCTATTACTTTCTCAGATTGTGGTCGAGACAAAGGAATCGCTTTGCCATCAATTTCTTTACCTCAGGTACCTAATGCTCTTCCTCTGACTGATGGGACTATTAGATCGATAGGTTATCGGAGAATAGTTGGTGCTGTTGAGAATCAAGAAAGTATGTTAAAAACCGTGGAGATGCATGCGTTTGATGGTCGTTTGCCGTATGGTTGGATTTCTAGAGCTGAAAGATTTTTTAGATTGGGAAATTGTGATACTGATGAGGAGAAGCTATACATGGTTTCATCAAGTTTCAGTGGTGATGCTCTTATTTGGTACAAGGAGGAATTAGCCAAGAGTTACTTCAAGAATTGGCCAGAATTTAAAGACAGGTTGCTTGCTCGATTTGCACTTGTCAAGCTTGAATCTCTACCAGAAGTGGTTCGGAAGAAGACACCATATCTCCAGATTGTTCAGCAGACAGAATTGGTGCAGAAGTTTGAATCACCATCTATAGAGGAATTTCCTTTGAAATCAGACTTGAAGGGCAAGGAAGTGTTGCTAAAAACGAAATCAATTCCAGAGCATACTCAAGAGGAAGAATTAAGTAGGGAGATGCAGAAAAAAATTCCCAAGGCATGGAAATGCAAGTACAAGACACACTGTAAAAGAAAGCTACGTCATGGGACTGCTAGCTTCCGTGTTTGGCACCGTTGGAAAAACAAATACTGGCTGCAAAGAGAAAGGGTTCTAAATCTTGGTGATTTAAGTCCAAATACGACACATGGACTAGAGGATTGATTCAAAGCGTATAGCTGTTGTATAACATCGGGAAGCTTCTTGTTGCGTCCTCTTCTAATGTGATGTGTTGTTCAAAACTGAGATGGTTACTTGGAGGCACAGAGGTGCATTGAGGTTGCAACACATTTCTCATTACAGCTTGGGGACAAGCTGTCTTAGCGAAGGGGGTATTGATAGGCCCAATGAGTCTTAACACCGACATGGCAAGAAGAAAAAGGAAGAAACTGAATTGGAAAGTCTTTAACATGCTTTAGTATAAATATATTAGTTTTGGTCTTTCTAATAGTGATGCTGAATATTCTAGTTGTAATTGACATAGACACTATGAGTCTGTCAACGAGATCGCTATGAGATCTTGAGAGTGCTTGAATGAGATCGCCATGAGATCTTGAGTGCTTTCTATCTATCTATCTAGTGCTTTCTATCTATCTATCTATTGTAATCGTGTTATTCTAATAAAGAAGAGGATTTAGGGTTTGGGTTCTTAACACTTTGTTCATTTGTTGGTTATGCATCCTCCTTGAGGTTTGGTGTGAAAGTCACGTATATTAGAATCTAACTTCTTCTTTTTTTTTTGGTTTTCAGGTGGTATCTAGTCAGAATCATTACCTAGCTACTACTGATTGCGTGTGATGTGATAAGTTATCTATATTGTGTTCATGTATTAGTTTTCCATATACTATTTGTGAAATACATTGATATGTTGCTTTCTCTCCCTCTCTCTCTATCTTACGTTAAGTTTGAAATATATTTTGTAACTGCAACCATTGCAATATTTTTCTTTTTCTTCTTTTTTTCCTGTGGGCGATCTTACACAGATTTAATATGACTGTGTCTTCTATGAGTTGGGGTGATTTCATTCCCAGCAAAAGCATACAAAGCTTAAACTGACATTGTGGATGCTTAGTCAATTTGTATAGTCCGACTTTGAGATATAGGATAACTTTTATGATTGTGATTAGAGCCTTCAAATGGTGAGCAGCTTCTCCTACATACACAGGCACATTCTATCAGCTTTTTTTTCACGGCTCCAGAGTTACATCATGGTCTTTGTCTTCGCAACATAGTTCTCAGATTTTATTGATTCTTGCCGTCCACGCCATTTCTACTAAGTTTTTAGGCAAACTAAAAGCTTTTTCTAGTTCCTTCCAAAAAATTATAAACATGATCACTTAGCTTGATTTTATGATTTGGGTTGGATGAAAGTGAAAGAAAATGAGGAGTTAACTTTAGTTTACCGGTGAAACTGTGCTATAAATTTAAGCTAGGTTATATTCATACTCTGGTGGTTAATTTTTAGTGATGAGAAAGACAAAGAAACCAAGTTAACTTAAGTGTAATAACAATCACAGTGGTTGATGTACTAATATTATTTTTGATGATCATCACAACATTACATTGTTGAAAAATGATGATAATTTCTCTAGAACATAAATCACGGTAATACAATTCTTGTAAGCCTTCAAACTGAAACATATAGGGAACTAAATTTCATGAAACAAACACCATCAGTGGCACTAAAAGAACTAGCTGGTCAAAACGGAGCTGTCCCAAGTTCGCAAGAATCTGAGGGCGGTGAAGGAAAAGTCGTTGCTTAGTGTAAACAAATTCCGAAGAAGAATGAGGCTCTTCAAGCTGAGATGGTTCAGTTTGCGACCAAGCAGATGACTTAAGGACTTTGATAAACAAGTAGAGGTTTAAGAGATTAATTGAGTTGGCTACCTATGTCAACAAAGTGCACTTAGCTTTTCGGTTAAAGGTCCATAAGTAACTCAAGAGTTAAGTGTGTTTGAGCTGGAGTAGTGGAAGGATGGTTGACCTTCCGGAAATTTATTTCTGAAACCGTGTAAGTGAGGACAAAACACGGGGAAAGGTCGAGTGGTATCTCAGGATAGTAAACAAGTCTCTAGAGCCTCTAAAAAATAACGCCAAGAGATGGTGTGGGTGACTCACCGGTCGGGGCGTTATACCGAGCTTCTCCCTTGAACCTCCCGTATCTCTCTCCTTTCTTTTCGTTTCTCTCTGTTTCTTTTTTGTAACCCTTGATTGTAAGGGATTGATGTATTGTAACATCCGTAGCCTTCTCTGGTGAGTTTTAGAAATTGCGTCGGTCGACGCAAGGATTTCAAAATCAGACCCGGTTCGATTTAAGTGGTCCGGTTTAGCTGGTTTTAGGCAGAAAAGCCCTAGAACTCGAATTAAAAGGTACAGCCGCCTCCTTTTTGCACAGTTTTCGAGGCAGAGAGTTCTGGAGAGGAGAACAGGCGATTTTGTGGAGAAAATCCAAGTTGTAGTGTCAAATCGAAGTGCCGTTCGTTGTTCTTTGTTGTTTCCATTGTTTTTCTCCTTTCAAATCCGTTTTCAAGGTGAGAGCATGACTGTAGGTCCGCAAATCACTAGATCTGGATTGATTGAATAATGTTCTTGAGGTGTTCTTATTATATGAGGTTTATTTGATGATGTTTGGTTGATTTCTGTGTTAATTCTGTGTTTCTGCGTGATTTGTGGATATCTCTGTCGACCTGACGGACGTGCCTCGGGCGACGCAAAGTTGTCTGCGTCGGGCGATGCAAAGTTTGCGTCGGTCGACGCAGCCGGTTCAATTGAAAATTGATTTCTGGTTTAATTTAAATTGAATTAATTCTTGGTTTGGTCTGGTTAATTGATATTTTTTATTTAATTAATTAATAATTAATTTAATTAATTAATTGGCTTAAAAAAATATTTATTTTAATTATTTTAATATGGAAAATTATTATTTAATTATGAGAATTATTTAATAATTGAGAAATGGAGTTTTAATTATTCAGAATTATTTAATAATTGGAAATGGAATTTAATAATTATTGGAGTTTATAATAATTATTTTAATTGCTAGTAAATTGCGTAAATGGCTTGTAGGCAGAGTGATTGCCTCACTAAATATTTATTAAATACTTATGCAATTTCATTCGAATGTGTTGCAGGTAAAAGTTTCTTGTGATCGCGGAATCGAGGCTGAAGAGGGGATGATAGAATTTATTTATTTGCATTGTTTTGTTAGACTTGTTTAATTATTTATTTGCTTCCGCTGAATTGAATTATTTGTTTTGATATTTATATTTTAATTTATTTATTTTAAAGACCTTCACTAGAATTGTTTAGTATTTAATTATTAAAAAAAAAAAAAGTGTTGGTTGTTTCATGTATGAACAAGGTTTCCCGAGAGGGTTTATCAGTTAAGTAGCTTTATGTTTTTATACTCTTTTTTTTGTGTGTGATCGATACGAACTTTGAGTAGATGTGGATACTTGTGTTGGAATCTAATATATTATTTGCAAAGTAAAAATTTCGTTTTGAGCCATCACATTGAATTTCAGCTGGTTGATTACCCACAAAAAATTCTCTGTTCTGGAGCAGGACAATGTCCAAGTGTTAAACGACAATGTTTCAACAAGAACAATCACAGGTTGTCTCCCGGAGAGTATTTTGAATTGCCATCCGCTGCAGAGGTATATTATGTCTATATCTTTAAATGTTTTAATTGGATTAACGTATTCATTTTGTGGTATAGACAAGTTGGCGAAACTTCTGGCGAGCATAATCCGTCTCCAGAGATTAACATTTCGCCGTTAGAGCTAGAGAAGGCTAGAAGTTCATGAATCTGAGGCAACAGGATTACATATTGTAAAGTTATCTCCGGAAGACTCACATGGAAGGGTAAAATATTAACCTTTAACCAAAATTAGAACATCATCACAGAACATTCCTTTGTAAGTTTGATTTTCGATGCAATATATCAACCTTTAACCAAGATAAGAAAGCCATAGATTGCTAGGCACATATGTTTTTTTGGTCATACTTCTGTTGTAGACTTGTAGTAATACTCATTGATTATATGATATAACAATTTTGGCGCCAAATGTCTAGTCGACCAAAATTGATCGGAGCTGGAACTTCCGGGGATGTATGATCAGAGCTAGAGATCTTGAGAAATGAGAAAGAGAACACAAGAATAAAATAAAAATCTGAGTACCTTTAAATTTTAAAAAATTTACGAGTGACTTAAAAACTTTTGGGGAAATTTCAAAATAAAAACATATATAAAATCTTTACATTTTGTTTGAACTTTTTAGTGGGATTGAGTTAGATACTAGGTGGTGGGAATATAAAACAATATTTTCTAACAAAAACTATAGGATTTAAGTTTGTTATATAACTACCTAAGTTATAATTAAATAGACAGTGACTATATTTTTTTCTACCATAGTTATCTGTCTATACATGTTAAAGAAAATTTAATTTTTTTTTGACAATTTGATATTCCCAATTGTCAAAAAAAAAAAAAAATGACACAAATTTGGTGTGGCATATCCCAATGGTTAAAAAAGAATAAAATATAACAATAATTTGGTATGATATTCCAATAGTAAAAAAAAAAAATATGACACAAATATGGTCTGGCATATCCCAATTGTTAAAAAAAATATATATAACAAGAATTTGGTATGATATTCCCAACTCACAAATGAAGAAGAAAATCTGACAATAATTTAGTATGATATTCCTTGTTAGACAAAAAAAAGAAGAAGAAAATCTTACAAGGATTTGGTCTGATCTATCCCAATTGTCATAAAAAGAAGAAAATATGACAACAATTTGGTATGATATTCCCAGTTGATAAAAAAAGAAGAAAATCTAACAAGAATTTGGTAAAATATTCTCAATTATTTAAAAAAGGGAGAAAATATGAACATCATAAATTATTATTATTTTTTTTTTGTTTTTTTTTTCATTTAGAAAAATAAAGAAAGTTCTAGCGTCCTCTATAAATACTGTATGGCGTAATTGTTCATATCTGGCACCCTCTTATACTCTTTCACCATCTCGTTAAATCGTTTACTCGTCCTTCTTTGTTCAATCGCTCTTTCGATTTCTCTCTTAGATCGACCAGAATTTCGCAGTTCTCTTGTCTTTTTTCGCGTCCAAACTGTAAGTATTATGTCTTGTGTCCATTTCAAATTACAATCACTGTTACACTCTTAGTTGTCATCGTACTAAATGTTCCAACATTTTAGCCTATATTTGACGGATTTAACTGATATTTTTGGGGAACTTTATTGTTTCCCTTTGATTTAATCGATGTAGTGTAAAATAACTTAATTTTGAGGTGTTTAATTATATAGTTTCATCTGAAATATTTATCTCAATTTTGCGTCACAATGATGATTTCGTGAGTTCTTTGAATTTTTCTTCTTAAACTCTGTATGTATATCTTTTCTTTAGATAATTTTTTTCATTGAGCCTCTGTAAATTTTGCTTCAGTATAGGTTTTTGGAAATGCTGAAAGTGGAACCACAAATACAAAGGCGAAGCAAAAGAAGAGGACATTTCCGGAGAGCAACAGTCAATTTTGAGATTCGATCAAGACCATGGGCACATCATTATAGGAAAGAGAAGAACAATGCAGATAAGCTTGACAGGACAAGAGCGGAGGAGAGAAAAACAAAAGATCTGCTTATGGAATACTATTGCAAGAGCTTGTATTCACCTGAGAGAGGATGGTTCTTTAGGATAAGAGAGAATGAAGAGGAGAGATCAAAAGTTAAACTCAGCGGTTCAAAGAGGAACGAGAGGGAGCTATTCCTGACCAATGAATGCATGAATGTACAGCTAAAGGACGTAAAAGGAACAACTAGTCTTGAGATTCGATCAAGGCCATGGGGACATCATTTTCGGAAAGAGAACACTACTGTGGATATACTTGACTGGGCAAGAGCAGAAGATAGAAAATCCAAAAGTCTGCCCATAGAATACTACTGCAAGAGTTTGTATTCACCAGAGCGAGGGGGCTTCTTTAGTCTTCCACGAGGTGATATTGGTCGTGGTTCTGGCAGTTCATGCAAGATAAGGGAAGATGAAGAGGAAATATTAAAGACTAAACTCAAGGTGCAAAGACAGGTTTTATCTCCAGTGGGGTTGAATATTCTGTTGATGATTATGTATATGTCAATCCTGAGTACAAGTACATAACTACTGATGGATCCAAAAAGGGTAGTGAAAAATTCAAGTCTGGCCGGAACATTGGGTTAAAAGCTTTTGTTGTTTGCCATTTCTGAAATCATTGTCCCCGATGAGTCTACAAAGAGTTCTTTTGAGGTAAGAGTGAGAAGGTTTTATAGGCCTGAGGATATTTCTGACGAGAAGGCTTATGCTTCACATATCCAAGAGGTAACAACTATTTCTTAGTTATGTTATCTAGTGATTTTTTACTTTGTTGGTTTCTTGATTAAGTTTATCTTACAATTTTTTTTCTTTGTTTTTTGGTTTTTTAGTTGTACTACAGCGAGGACATAGTTGTTGTTCCTCCAAGGCTCTAGAGGGAAAGTGTGAAGTAAGGAAGAAACAAGATATTCCCTTACACTGTCAATATCCAATATCAGAGAATATATTTTTCTGTGAATATTTCTATGACTCGTCCAAAGGATCTCTCAAGCAGGTATATATTACTTCAATCATTTTATTTGTAGTCAATTAGTGTTTTTTTTCTTCTTAAAGTTGAACTGTTTCTCTTAACTGTCTTGTAACAGTTGCCCGTCAATATCAAGCCCAAGTTCTACACCATTAAGGACGACACTCTTCTGAGAAAGAAAAAAAGGAAAGGGAGTAGAGAGTGAAGCTAATTCTGGGATTGTCAAGCCTGATGAGGTACATGAGGCGACGCATCTGGCAACACTTGATATTTTTGATGGTTGTGGCAACTTCCCAACTTCCATCAAAGATCCTCAGCCATCGGGTTATGTCCATAAGCCTAGAGAACATCATATGAGTTCGTAAAGAAAACAAGCCACAAGCATAGGCAGATTGGGAATGCAATGCCTCAAAGAACCCGTACTTCTCAAGAAGACTCTTCAACACCAACCCTAAAGGCATCCATTATATAGTACTAGTCATTGCTCTCGGACGTAAGTTCAAGAAAGCCTTCCATCTCAAGTAGCCTCTTCAACACCAACCATAAAATTTGTCGACATAAAATGTAAAGAAAGTTGTATAATTCCATATTGAAATAAAAAAGTGAAAAACTAATTTGTCTTGGGTCTCGATTATGGTACCAATAAAATAAACAACGATGTCTATGATTTGTCATCGCCTTGCGAATTGGGTAAAAGATTTATGATACCATTGTTTGAATGAAGTGTTTGTATGTGTGTAGATTAAAGATATCCACAGATAACTTAGTCTAAATAATTCACTGCATCACTTGCTTATGATTCATGAACATGTGACCTTAATGTAGTTATGGTGATTACCCACAGAAATTCCATAATTTTGTCATATGCATTTAATTTATCATGTGTCTGATTATATTTTGAAGCCTAATTACACTACTTGTTGTATCTCTAAGCTAGCATCTGCTTTTCCTGCTCATTTGTCATCCATGGTCTCTGTGTTCCAATCCTCATAGGGACCAACTTCTCAGAATGGAAAGAGAAAGTTGAGTTCACATTAGGAGTACTTGATCTGGATTTGGCACTTCGTCAAGATGAGCCAGGTCCAGTGACTGATGAAAGTACTGAGGAAGAATATCAACTCCATAAAGCATGGGAGAGAGCGAACAGGCTGAGCATAATGTTCTTAAGGATGACAATTGCTAGTAACATTAAGTCTTCCCTTCCAGCTGCAGATAAAGCTAAGGCTTATCTTGCAGCCATAGAAGAACGGTTTAAGACTGCAGACAAATCCCTTGCTGGGAAACTTATGGCAGATCTTACAACCATGAAGCATGATGGCACAAGGTCTATGCATGAACATTGCATTGAAATGATTAACCTTGCGGCTAAGCTGAAGAATTTGGGACTAAGTGTGGATGATTCTTTTCTTGTCCAGTTTATCCTGAATTCTTTGCCTCCTCAGTATGGACCATTCCAGATCAATTACAACGCCATTGATGAAAAATGGACGTCTAATGAATTGACTAGTAAGTTGGTTCAAGAGGAGTCTAGGCTTGGCCGTGAAGGCATTAGGGTTGCCATCATGTCCAAGGAGCTGGTTTTAAAGCTGGGAATAGGCATCAAGTGGGCCATAAAAGAGCACCTCTCATGATGAATGATTCTTGTAACATCCCGATTTGTAATAAATGAGGAGAGGCTTAAGAGAGTTGATTTGGCTACCTATGTCAACAAAGTGTACTTACCTTTTCGGTCAAAGGTCTATAAGTAACTCCAGAGTTAAGCGTGCTTGGGGTGGAGTAGTTGAAGGATGGGTGACCTTCCGGGAAATGGTTTCCGAAACCGTGTGAGTGGGGCCAAAACACGGGGAAAGGTCGAGTATTGATTACAGGGATAGTAAACAACTCATTAGAGCCTCTCAAAAATAACGGACCGGCCGTTGGACAGGGTTGAGGCCCACGGGTCGAGAGGGGCCTGCGGGTCCAGAGAGAGGGCGTGGGTCACTCACCGGGCGGTCGGGGCATTATAATTTGGCCAAACCCGGACGAGAGTGTGGAGTCAAGTTGAAGTGGCCTTGACTCACACCGTCAGGGGGTGACGATCCAGTGCGATTAATGGATCTTTATAACGACCAAGTGGGAGACTGTAAGATAATTTTATCTTCCCTATTATATGGTCTTATATTAATCTGTTTTTCTATTAGACTATTTGTATTCCATAACATATTTGGTATTTAATTAACTTAAATATAAAGGAGTATTTCCTAATAATCTCTACTTTGATGGACGGTTGAGATTAACTCTAAGGAAACCCTAAAGAGGACATATTCAGCCTCGGAAACCTTTTTTTTTAATGTTAAACCGCCTCCGGAAGTTTGATCAAATAAACCCCATCTCCTCCTCTTTTAATTACGTTTCCAACTTAGAAAATCTTTTTAAACTCCTTCATTTTATCTTAATAAGCTTTATATTTTAAATCTTGAACTTCGTCGCACAAAACAATTAAAATATGTACATCCATGGTTAGCTACTATGAGAAGATTCAGCAGTTCAGTTTCGATATTTTAGCAATTTAAGTTACATGAATTGTTCCAATATTTTTTAACAAATCTAGTTACATGCATGAATCAAGTGTCGAAACTAAAAATTATGAAATACATCTAATAAGAATATCAAGAATCCTGTATTTTTTCTTTTCCTGAATACTCCCTCCGTTCTTTATTGATAAATTTTCTGAGATTTTCATACATGTTAAGAAAAAGTTAAATTTCAATCATAAGTGTATAAGTTTTTCAGTGGAACAACTTTTCGGAATTTTAAACCAATACAAATCTAAAAAACCATAGTTGTTGACATTGAAATCTGAATCTTTTTGTTTTAATCAATAAAAACTGTTTTGAAAACCTACGAATTTTATCTATACGGAACGCCAAAAAAATGCTAGAAAATTCATTAATAAAAAAATCGAGTATCATATGACAGTGATACCCTCACCAAAACCATAAATTTTATTAAAAGCGGAATCTTAAGTAAATTTTAAAGAGATAATTTTCAACCATATAGTTTTCTTTGACGTATTTACAAAATGAATTGGTTGTTATGGTCCAACATTTTGGAATACCATACACAAATATAAAAGTGCATATTTAATTCATTGTCCAAAATTACAAATAGTAGTTGTAGAAGAAAGAAAAAAATCAAACCTTAATACCCCTTTTTTTTGTCAACAACCTATGTTTTTAAACCAGCTCTAAAATCCAAACCGGTGAAACAGAGTTTACATAATACACATCAATAGGGCTTTGATTGGCAAAGCATTTAGAAGAGCATTAAGCTTAAGGAGCATAAGCAGGGTGAGTATTTAGAAGAGCATTAAGCTCTTGAAGCCTTTATGCTCTTAACTTATGTGATTGGTAGAGCTGTGAGCTTTTTATTATATTTTTTTGTGAAAATATTTAATATGTATATTGATATTTATTTTAATGCATCATATATATTCATTAATAACATAAGTTTTTTTTATTTTATTTTAAATTATTTAGTTATTATTTCATATTTAAATTATATTTATTAAATTTTTATGTCATTAAATATTTATTTTATGAATAATACATTAATGATAAACATAATTTACGAAATTATAAAATTGTAAATTTAATATAAATATAGTTTTCAATTTTTTACCAAAATAAATAAACTAAATATAATTTATTATAATTTATTTAAATTTTTTAAATATTTTTGAGCTCAATGCTTTGGAAATGCTCATTTTCAGAGCAGGGAGGGAAGGAGCAGTTTGGGAGCATTAGCTGTTTCTAAATGCTCTCTAAATGCTCTTTTAAAAAAACTTGATTGGATTAAAAAGAGCTTAATGCTCTTCCAAATGCTCTACCAATCAAGGCCTAGATAGAGCTCGAGCTCTTTGTGCTAACTTGTCTGCCTTCGTGTTGTTCGTCCTTATTATGTGCACAATGGAAAAAGAGATGAACTCAACTTTACACCTGCAAAACTCATCTAGTATGGTTGCAAAAATTGGCCACTCCTCAAGTTTAGACACAATCTTCACCACATTGAAACAGTCCGTTTCGAAAACTATCTTTAACTTTTTTTGTCGTAACATACATTGCATAGCCCATATCAATGCCTCGATCTCTGTTTGGAGTGGGGATAAGCCACGCCGTAAATTGCACGTACCCATGAGCTTGTCGCCTGTTTCCGCCACATGTTCGTGAACAAGCCACATGTCGGAAAGAGGTTAAGAGCCATAGGAATTGGAGATAAAGCTCAAAGCTGTAGCGCCGGTGGACATTCAAATAACATATGATTAACTGTTTCCGCAGCCATACCACACCGCATGCATTGCAGATCCATCTGAATACCGTGGCTCCGTAGCCGTGGTCCTACGGATATACCCCTGTTAAAACTTGCCAAATAAAATGTTGTATTTTATGTGTACACTTCACTTTCCACGTATGTGCTTGAAGAGGCCTTATATCTGGACCAAAAGGTATATTATTATTTTCTGCCATATCCTGTTGCGTCAAAATGTAACCCGATTTGACCGTATACCGGCCGACTTTGTAAAAAACCATCCCATTGAATCCGGCTTACTGATGCGTGATGTCGGAATCCCCAAAATCATAGAAACATCCATATTATCGAAAAGTTGATTTAATAGTGGTAAATTCCACGTTGTTTTGCCGGGTGTCATTAGTTCACTCACCCGAAGATGAGGATAAAAATGAGCTTCGTGTCCCATGGCTGGCTTCGGGCGAGAATCAGGAATCCAGGGATCCTTCCAAACTGAGATTGAACACCGTGAACCAACTCTTTTAATAAGTCATGTGTTTACCAGAAGTCGAGCCGAGACCATATATGCCATCCGTAGGAGGGGGAATATGATCTAATAGGTTCCAAAGGACTAGAATTCAGATAATACCGTACTTTAGAAACCCATGAAATAAAGAATCTGGATTATCCAGTAGCCGCCATAGTTGTTTTGCCAATAATGCCGTATTGAAATATTTTATCACCCTAAAACCCAATCCCCCCTCATTCTTATGCCGGCAGAGTTTCTTCCAGGTTAGTCAATGCATCCCTCGTGACTACCCATTGTTGCTCCACCAGAAGTTTGATACCGCACTGGAGAGTTTATTTGTAACTCCTTTAGGCAAGCGAAAACATGACATTACATGCATTGGCATTGCCAAAATAACAGACTTAATCAGTACCTCCTTTCCCCCTTCTGACAACCACTTTGAATTCCAGCTGTTGATCCGTTTGTATTGTCTGTCAATCAGGAAGCTAAAGATCTTTGTCTTTGCACCACCCCCTCCCCCCCTGACTCTCCAAAATCCCTAAATAGTTGCCCATCCCGCCTATGTTGCCTATCCCCAAAATTTGATGAATCTCTGCACGCACCCCCACATCCACTGTATGTCCGAACTGTACCGAGGATTTTGCAAAATTTATTTGTTGTCCCGATGTAATCACTTGTAGCTTTGCAAAAAAATAAGCTATCGTCCGCAAACAATAGGTGGGAAACCGCTGGGCTTGCTCGGGCCACTTTGAGACCAATAATCCTCATCATTTCTTCCGCCTTTTTCAGATTTGTTATTAATATCTCCGTACATAAAATAAATAAATATGGAGATAATGAGTCTCCTTGTCTAAGACCTCTCTGAGGTATAATTTTTCCCCGTGGTTGGCCATTAATCAACACCCTATACTTAACAGATGTTATGCAACTCATTATCCAAGAGATCCATTTTTATGCAAAACATTTTTTGCATTAATGCTTCAATGAAAGACCATTCCACCTGGTCATAGGCTTTACTCATATCTGTTTTCACCGCCATAAACTTCCATACATGACTTATTTGTCCTCAGTCCGTGGAATATCTCATGTGCTATCAAAATATTGTCTGAAATCAGTCAGCTTTGTACTAAGGCAGAATGAGTTTCAGAGATCAATTTTGGTAGCAGCACTTTGAATCTCTGACAGAGGACTTTTGAAATGATTTTATAGCCAACATTACACAGACTTATCGGTTTTAACTCCATCATCCTTGTAGGCCGTTCCATCTTCAGGATCAAATAGATATCTGTCATATTCAATCTCTCGTCAAAAGTACCAGATGTGAGAAAATTGTTTACCATAGTGAGAATATCCTCCTTCACTATGTGCCATGAACGTTGAAAAATAAAGCAGTCATCCCATCTGGCCATGGTGCTTTCTCCGGATGCATCATGAATAAAGCTTCGCGCACCTCTGTTTCCGTCGCAGAGCGAGTCAATGTTTCATTTTCCGTTATAGTGATGTGTTCTGACACATTTCCCAGGACTTCCGTGAAATCCATTGGTAATATAGATGTGAAGAGGTCTTCAAAATAGTTGACCGCTACCTTTTCATTCTCCTTCTCTCCAGCGACCCAGACATTACTCTCATTATGAAGCCCCACAATACGATTGATCGCTCTTCTCTGTTTAGTAGAGGCATGAAAAAACTTTATATTCAGATCCCCCTCTTTTAACCACATATTCCTACTCTTTTGTTTCCAATGCTCTTCCTCATCCCGATATGCTTCCTTTTAGTTTGTTTGTAATAGCGATCAAATCATCTTGGGAACATGAATCATCATCCTGCACTGCCTCTAAAGCACGTAGTAATTCTGCTATCCTCACCTTTCCATATGGTTGGTTTGTTTTTCTCCAAACAGAAATTTCATGGTGGCAACTATTAATCCTGTCAACCAAACCCGGGATAGCCTGTCCTTAAGGAGGTTGAGCAACCGAATAAACCCATCAATAGGGTGATAAAGCCAGACAATTTTGTCAAGCATAACAGAGAAATCCCAAAAGTTAATCCGCTCATAAAACGAACAAAGTATGTACTTCCTGGCTATGTGAGAATATTAAGGGGGTGTATTGAATTAAGAATTTGAAATGATTTAGGGTGATTTTATCTTTAAAGAGTTTGTAGATGATTTTGTGTGAATCATAGAATTTCAAGTGATTTTAGTTAAATCTTTCTAAAATCTCATCGAAAACCATGTGATTTGAAGTCTCTTATTTTTAACAAGGAAATCTCACCAAATCACTTTAAAATCAAATCTATTTTTTAAAATCCACTTTTAAAAACATTTACAATAACAGTGGATTTTAAAATCACAAGTTCAATAACACTGTGTTTTAAAAGGGTTTGAAGAATTCAAGTTTGAATAACAGTGGATTTGTCATTTTAATACAGATCAACCTAAATTACTCCAAATACCAGTTTCAATACCCCCCCTCTCCCAACTTGGTTTCACTCTTATTTTTACCAAGGAAATCTATCCAAATCACTTTAAAATCAAATCTATTTTTTAAAATCCACTTTTAAAAATATTTTCAATAACAGTGGATTTGAAAGTGGATTTTAAAACCACAAGTTCAATAACACTGGATTTTAAAAGGGTTTGAAGAATTCAAATTTGAATAACAGTGGATTTATCATTTTAATACAAATCAACCTAAATTACTCCAAATACCAGTTTCAATACCCCCTCCCCCAACTTGGTTTCACTCTTTTCCAAAAATTTCAGTCACATGTTCAATGTTAGAGTCAAAATTATGAAAGACTTCAAAAAAAAAAAAAAAAAAAAAAAAAAAAAAAAAAGGCAAGGAAAGAGTAATTTTCAGTAATAGTCACATGTATATTAGCTAGAGGAGAAAATAATAATGATCAGATGAAAATTTTGTGTTCAAGTCTTTAACATAGTTACAAAAGACTTGATTAAAAAAAAAACCATCTAGTAGCACTAGACGTGAAGACAACAAGGATGAAGATGAGTTTGTAGCTTCACTAACTAGAATTGCCAACTTCACGTTTTTTATAAGAACGAATTTTGTCAGGCAGAACAAATAAATCCCAAAAGTTCATCTTCTCGTAAAAACGTGATGGCTTATGTGAGAAGATTCAACTTTGTTTCCATCTTTTTAACAGTTTCAGTTACATGCATTGTGAGAACAAATAAATCCCAAAGTTAATTTTCTCATACAAACGAGCAAAATCTATACTTTCATCGATGGTTTATGCAGGGCCGTGTCTACCATGTTAAAAAAAGGCATTTGCCCCAGGCCCTAATAGTATATATTCCCTCTATTTCAAAATATAGAATGTTTTAGAATTTTTCCTTGTTCCACAATATAAGATGTTTTAGAAGTTTTAAGGTATTTTTTACTAATTAATACTTATATATTACAAACCTCAAGACAAAACATTTGAATAGTTAAATTATGATTGGTTAAAAGCTATTAAAAAGTAGTTGGTGTGAAAAAGTTACTTACACATTAAATGTTTCTTAATTTTTAAGAAAAATCTCAAACATCTTACATTGTAAAACAGAAGGAGTATGATTTTGAGGCCCCCAAATCACCAAATTATAGTTTAGCATAGTGGATTTAGAGAGTGGTCTTTCTACTTTTGTGTCCCAAGTTCGATTTATTGTCATGCTATCATATTTTTTCTTTCTCTCAACAATATTTTTGTTTAACAATATTGGTTTATTGTTTCATTAAATCATTGATATATTGTGAAAAAGGTCCTCTAATTTTAAAATTGGCTTAAGCCCCCTTTTACCTGTGCATGGCATTGGGCTTATGTGAGAAGTTTCAAACTGTTAAGAGAAGCAGTTTTATAGGTAGATGAACTTTTAACTCACGCCTGATTTCGAACAAAAACAAATTTATCTGAGCTGGGTAAATTAATGAATCTTTTTTAAAACACGTAAGTCTATAATTTTTTTCTCCTAAGTCCTAAGGTGTTTGACCATCATGTAAACAAGTTTATACACAAACCAATGATGAAAATGTAAGAGCAGATAACGCACAGCTGAGGAGTAATCTCTATAATAATATTAATAAATATTTACTCGGTTTCATATTATAAATAATTTTGGTATAATGTATCTGCAATTTTTTGGATGTTTATCCAGATATATCCAAAAAATTGCAGATACATTATGCCAAAACATGTTATAATATGGGACAGAGGGAGTAGACTTTTGTGACAAAAGGAAAAATAAAAAATAAATTCAACTAATTATATAGTGCCATGTGTAGATTTTTTCGTCAGATCCTTAGTCTCTTCCAGCAGAAACGATTCTGCTTTTTTGGAGTCATCATTTCTTTTTATTTTTTCTTTATTTTTTCAGTTCAGAACTTCTCATAGTCTCTCCATTGCACTTGCTAATAAATAAAACTTGGGAAAAAAATACTTCCTCCATTTCATAATAACTGTCGTTTAAGGTTTTCTCACACATATTAAGAAAACATGTTAAAATTTCTACAATACCCCTATTTTATACATTACAAAATTTAATTTCTTTATTAATTCAATAAATGAATGGGGTTAAATCTGGGAATTATATTAAAATTCTGCATTGAAAATGTAAAACGATACTTATAATGAAACAAAAATTAAACTCTAAAACGACACTTATTATAAAACGGAGAGAGTATCATTCTAAATCCTCTTGATTCCCTATGTCTAGCTCTCCTAAATTACCTTACAAGTTTGCCTTTTGGATTTCCTCTTCCTTCAGCTTTATAGGCTAAAAATATTTAACTGGATCTTTTTTTGGTTACATCAGAAAGAACAAAGAACAGATCACTTTGGGATATAACAGCACACATCTTCTGGACGTAGGATAACCATATCAATAGAGGAATGATTGATTTAAAGCTCTCTCACTCCGACATAGCAAAAAGTATCCATAGTTGGTGAGTATCACATGAAGGGTATCTCATCAATTAAAACTAATAGTTTGAACATAATTTAAGTATCTAATTAAATATTAAATCACAAAAATAAATTGAACCAATCATAAACAGAAAGGATAGAGTTAAATCAAATTTCTTTTGCATTGTGAGAAAAAATGGGCGACTCTAAGACGATTGCGGCTAGGGTTTTCAACATTACACTAGATCTCGAAAGCTTCATTCTCACGATCTAGATCCGGCTACCTAGCTCACTCAGTGTTAGATCTTCTTTAATACTGTTCATTAAGCTGTCTGTGGCTTCTCTAGTATTCTCACAAGCAAACCAAGCTCCCAGATCTACGACCTCCGCACTCAAGATGAATCGACCAAAGAGGAAGAAAGAGCTATCGTTCATGGAGGAACTGAAAGAAAGGAATCTGATTGAAGAAGGAGAACTCGTGGATATCCCAGATCTGGAGAACGAAGACCTTATCGAAGAAAACACAATGAGCGTCATAGTACGCTGCCTCAACCCTACAGTCCATAAGGTTGGAGGACTCATCAAAGCTCTGCCGGTGATATGGGGACTCGAAGACCGAGTGAAAGGAAGAGGAATTGAAGGGAATCGGGCTCAGTTCATTTTCCAGTGCGACAGGGATCTAAATCATGTCTTAACCAGAGGTCCGTGGTTTGTAAACGGATGGATTGTCGCACTAGACCAGTGGAGCCCAAACCCAGGTCCAGACTTCTTAAATCTCATTCCCTTCTGGATTCGGATCTCTGGGCTGCCGATCCACCAGTTAAAGAAGCAGGCAGTGGAGAGTCTAATATCGCCACTAGGAAGAATTGATGCAATAGAACTTCACGCAAAGAACTCGGATTCCCTGGAGTACGTCCGAGCACATGCATGGGTAAAAGCTGATGCGCCTTTTCAACTCCGCCGACAAGCAAGATTCAAGACAGGGGAAATTGTTACAACAGAGTTAGTGTATGAGAAGCTCTTGAAAGCCTACTTTGTCTGCAAAAGGCTAACACACGACCAGAACAACTGTCCGTTCCAAGTCCAAGTGGAAGCTCATGTGCCTCAAGCTAGTAAAGCAACAGTCAGGAAGGAAATTTCTAAAGGGCCAACAAGAAAGGATCCCAAGGGGAAAGGTACAATGATTGAGAAAGATGAACAAGGGAAAGGATCCAATCAACAACTCAGGCTCCAGACCAAATCCCTCTCAGAACCAATGGCTAGCAGGAGCAATGTCAAAGACCGGTTGCAATGGACAAGGAAAGAAGAACAATATGGTCAACAAATTTAGAGAAGGAAGAGCAACCAGGGTTCGAGCAAAAGAGGTGAAGGTGGCTCCTCAAGCAGAGGAGAATCAGTTCAATCCACACAAGTTAACCAGAACTCAGGAGGATGTGACCCGACTACTCCCTCAGGGCACGGAACTGCTGGCAGCTCCGGTTCTAAGCATTCTCCTTCAGTATTTCTACGCCTAGGTTCACCCAAGATTCCTTCTGGTGCAAAAGGTAGTGGAGAGAAACGCTCAACGGAAAAGGAATACAGCAGCAGTGGAAGCAAGAAGGAAACCATTGAAAACGGAGAAGCAGATGGCGCCAACTTAAGTCTCTCGGTTTTTGAAAGACTTGGAGAAGGAGGGAAAGACCAAATTGATTTGGGCTCCCTGCAGCACAAAAGAAGACGCCTCAGCTCTAGTGATGAAAGGAGCACCAAGAAAGCAAAAACAGGGGGAAACAAAGGAGAGACAACACCGATATCAGTTTTTCAAAGACTTGGCGATCCATCATCTGGTTCTGGATCGAAAGGCTCGGAGAAAAAGAAGCATTCTGTCCATGTGACAGCAGAGGTCCCAAATCACTCTGCTTTATTACAAGCTGGTGATAGTGGAATTAAGTTGAAAGAAGGGTTGATGGTTAATACCAACCCCTCGAAATCTCAATGAAAGTTTTGAGTTGGAACTGTCAGGGGGTGGGGAATACCCCTACAGTTCGTCACCTGAGGGAAGTACATGGTCGGTATTTCCCAGAGGTTACATTCCTCTGTGAGACCAAGAACAGACGCAAATATATGGAAGGCATTGTGGAGCAATTAGGGTACTTTGATCTACACACAGTCGAACCAATAGGCAAAAGTGGAGGATTGGCTCTAATGTGGAAGGATTCGGTTTCGGTGAAAATCATCCACTCTGACAACAGGATTATTGACACCATAGTTAAATGGGAAGACAAGGAGTTCTTCCTTACCTGTGTTTATGGCGATCCAGTCAGGAGAAGTAGGGGTATAGTCTGGGAAAGAATAGAAAGACTGAAGATCAACAGACAAGGAGCTTGGATGATGACTGGAGATTTCAATGAACTAACGGAACCAAAGGAAAAAGAAGGAGGAGTAACAAGGAGGAAGGAATCATGTCAAGAATTCAAGCAAATGCTTCTCACATGCGGACTATGGGAGATAAAACACAATGGACATCAGCTTTCATGGTACGGTCAGAGACAAGAAGAGCTTGTTCAATGTAGACTCGACAGAACAGTAGCCAACCAACTTTGGATGGAACTATTTGGGCAAGCCTCAGCCACCTATCTCCCAAGAATCAGCTCAGATCATAGCCCTCTTATCACAAGCTTAATAGGTGATAGCAGGAAAAACAGAGGCAGCTTCAAATATGATCACAGATGTTTCCAAAGAGAAGGTTTTGCCGCAACAGTAGAAAAGTCATGGGTTAACTCCGGAACAGACAGAGGTGTTTCAATGATGAAGAAAATCACTGACTGCAGGAAAGCCATATCGCAATGGAAAAGAGCCAACAGTTCAAACTCGGCGAGAAAAATCCAGGAGCTCCATCATAAGATTGATCTAGCAACGAGAACCCAACCTTTTCAAGCTCAGGAGATGGCAATGCTGAAAAGAGAGCTAAAGGAAGAATACAACAATGAAGAAACATTTTGGAGAATGAAAAGCAGAGTGATGTGGTTAAATAATGGTGATCGTAACACCAAATACTTCCATGCGGTGACAAAGAACAGAAGAGCTCAAAACCGGATTAAGTGCCTAAAAGATGAGCAAGGCAAAGAATGGTTGGGAGAGGAAAACCTGGGAAGAGTAGCCGAAGCGTACTTCAAGAAGCTCTTTGGATCTGAAAGCATTGATATGGACCTGGAAGCGGATGATCTTTACCACGCAGACTGCTCAGCTGTGACCTCGGAACAAAATGAAAAACTCATGGCGCCTGTAACGCATGAGGAAGTCAAGCAAGCAGTGTTTGACATCAATCCGAACAAGTGTCCAGGACCTGATGGTATAAACGGGCATTTCTATCAGCAATTTTGGGGAATTGTGGGACATGACATTTTTAAAATAGTTCAATCTTTCATCACTGAAGCTCGACTAGAGCCAGACATGAATAAGACAAATATCTGTCTTATTCCCAAAAAATTGAAGCCGGAAAGCATGTTAGATTACCGTCCTATCAGCCTTAGCAACGTTGTGTACAAGATAATAGCCAAAATTCTTGCAAAAAGTTTTAAAAAGGTGTTGCCACACATCATCTCAAATTCTCAAGCCGCTTTCATCCAAGGTAGACTCATAACGGATAACATTTTGGTAGCCCATGAACTCCTACATGCCCTCAATTCCAAAAACCAATGTGCAATGGAGTTTATTGCAGTCAAGACGGATATCTCCAAATCTTTCGATAGAGTTGAATGGACTTTCCTTGAGAAAGCAATGCAGACCTTGGGCTTCTCAGCAAGGTGGATCAGGTTAATAATGAGCTGTGTAACAACAGTTAATTACCAGGTGCTCATCAACGGAATTCCTCACGGATCAATCAACCCCACCAGAGGTATCAGGCAGGGAGACCCTCTCTCACCATACCTTTTTATCATTTGCACTGAAATGTTAGCGAGAATGCTCCAAAAGGCAGAGAGAGACCAACGGATCTCAGGAATCAGGGTGGCAAGGAACGCACCAGCAGTAACACACCTCATGTTTGCCGATGACAGTATGTTCTACTGTAAGAGTAGTGATGAGGAACTTGAGCACCTAAGCATCCTGGACAAATACAGCTTAGCTTCGGGTCAGAGAATCAACTACCAGAAATCAAGTATCTACTTTGGAAAGCTGATACCGAGTGAAAGAAGAGAAGTAATCAAGAAAAAACTGGGAATTGACCAGGAAGGAGGTACTGGAAGATACCTCGGACTCCCTGAGTCTTTTGGAGGTGCCAAAGTTTCAATTCTAAGTTATCTGAAAGACAATCTCTCGCAGAGAGTCTCAGGCTGGCAGAATCACCTTCTTTCAGCTGGAGGAAAGGAAGTACTTTTAAAAGCAGTAGCATTAGCGCTACCCACTTAAACCATGAACTGCTTTCTCCTACCCAAGACCATCTGTAAAAAGATTACCTCCATCCTTGCGGAATTCTGGTGGAAAAATAAAAGAGAAGGTAAAGGAATACACTGGAGGACTTGGGAACACATGAGCAAAAGGAAAGCGCAAGGTGGACTAGGCTTCAAGGACATCGAAGCTTTCAACCTAGCTCTCTTGGGGAAGCAACTTTGGCGGATGATGACCCAACCAAACTCTCTAATAGCGAAAGTGTTCAAAGCACGCTACTTCCAAAAATCAGATCCACTACACGCAAAACTTGGATCAAGGCCTTCCTATGCTTGGAGAAGCATTCACGCATCACAACAATGGATCAAAAAAGGATCAAGAAAGATCATTGGAGATGGGGCAAACACCTCTATTTGGGAAGATCACTGGATAGACCAAAAACCAGCAAGACCTATACTCTCGACGCTATGCAATCCAGATCAGGTACCACCCCAACACTCGAAATCCTCCTTGGTGAAAGATCTGCTAATCCCTGGAAGTAGAGTATGGAACGAGGAAATTATTAGGGATTCTTTTGGAGAAGAGGATAGAAAAAGAATTCTGGAGATAAGAGCAGGAGGACCGAATAGTACTGATTCTTATAGTTGGGATTATACCAAAACTGGGCACTACACATTCAAATCAGGGTATTGGGTCATTACAAATGTACCACCGAACCCAATGGTTGATCAAGAACTCAATCAGCCGAGTCTAGACACACTCTTCCAAATGGCGTGGCAATCGGACGCAAATCCAAAAATCCACCATTTTCTTTGGAAATGCTTGAGTAACTGCATCTCAGTTGCAGGGAATCTCAAGAAACGACACATACTCAAAGACTCAAGGTGTATGAGGTGTCACGCTAAGGAAGAAACAGTAAACCACATGTTGTTCGAATGTCCCTTTGCCCGACTGGTGTGGGCACTCTCAGGATTTCCAGCACCGCCAAATGGAGAAATGGCCTCCTCCTTTTATGCCAACTTCTTCCGAGTCATGAATGTGGCAGTAGAGCATCCACAGGCGACGGGAATGGAGAATTTGGGGCCTTTGGTTAATGTGGAGGATATGAAAAAATAGAAATGACCTGGTCATAAAAGGAGTTGAGTATAATGCTATGGATACGGTGCTAAAAACAAGATAGGATTTGGACGAATGGACTAATAGAGTGGAGAAAAACAGTCAGAGCGGAACTCCCAAAACCAATCCAGGAACCCAAGCTTCACATCGAGAACACTGGACCCCACCTCCCGCCGGATGGTTAAAGTGTAATGTTGATGGAGCATGGTCACACAGAGGGGATCACAGTGGCGTTGGATGGGTTTTAAGGGATGATAAAGGTAAAGTGTTGTGGATGGGAGCAAAGAGGATTCACAAGACACAAACGGTTGTGGAGGCTGAGTTGGAAGCTCTCCGATGGGCTGCAGAATTCGTAACAAGCCTCAGGTACCAAAATATCATCTTTGAATCTGACTCAAAAGAAGCCGTTGAAGTTATATCCTTTGAAGATGATTGGCCTAAATACAGAGCAGTAGCACAAGATCTTCGGAAAACGCTCAAGAATCTCTGCAACTACAAAATTGTCTTCCATTCACGAGCAGTAAACATGGTAGCTGATAGAATAGCGAGGGAGACTAATACTTATGTGGATTATGTCCCCAAGGTGTATTCTATTAGCCCAAATTGGATTAAATCCTATGTTGCAAAGGATACTTTAAGTTGTAATGTATCTTTGGAATAATATGAGTTAAAGGTTGAACCAAAAAAAAAAAAAAAAAAAACAGAAAGGATAGAGTTTCTCTCTCTTCTCTCTCTCTTATTTTTTAGAGAGAGAAACTCTCTTTTTCTCTTCTCCGACATAGATCGATGTATATACTTTCCGACCAGGTTCGGCTGTTTAGATCCGGCGTTGTCCGGTTGTGCTTCCGACCTAGTTCGGTTTTTTGGTGTGTTTTCTTTTTTGTTTTTTTGAAGTTCTTTCTTCTGAACTGGTCTTCCAAGCAAAAATTATGTCAGATCTTTTTAAACAAGACCAAGATCCGTTGATGATCGGTCGTTTTTCTTCTTTGTCAATCAATTGCTCTTATCATCTATTTGTAGGGAGTAAAACCTACATCCCTCCGCTAAAGGGCCTTTTATAAGGTATTGGGGGTGAAGTATCCCAAACGATACGGTGGTCGGAGATGGAGTTCTATGGCGGCAAGAAGAATTTCTTCTTGTTCATGGCGGAATCTGTTTTGAAGGAGAACAACCAGTATATTTTCGGAGTGGAAATCGACCTCTGATGGATCTCAGTTTGAGTTCTTCATCGGAATTTCGAATCCAAGAGCCACTGCGTCGGCGGAGTTAGTCAGCAGTTTGGTTTTCCGTCCACACCTGTCAACCCTAGACACGTGTTACACATGCAATTAGCCTTATCACTTTGTATGTTGGGCTTTTTATTGGGCTTTATCTTTAATATAGGGTTGTTAAATCCGAAATTGTACTGAACTTGTCCTTTGTGGACTCCTAATGAAAAAACTTTTGCCGACAAAAAAAAAAAATTAAACCAATCATAAAGTGACAATTCATACAAATACATATTTTTTGTTGGGTATCTCATATAAGAGACGTTTGTGTTCTCTCTCTTCTTTCATTCTTATTTTTTCATTTATTTTCTTTTCTTTTAATTATAAAAGACCCATGAGATCTCACGATGAGATGCTCTCAATGAACCTATCCTCCGTTGCACATCCCTGAAACATCCCATTACAGTTGAAACGACAAACTACCTCTCCTTTATTCGACACAGCGATGAGTCCAGCGATACCTTCGTCTAGTTATAACGTAATTTGAATAGATAGACTAGGTAAATATTTGTACATAATATTTGTTTTATAAATATTACATAAATAAATTATAAGCAAAATATATGTGAACCATAAGTAAAACATAATAAATACGAAAATATCATCATCATATGCTTAAAGACTGAGAGTCCATAAGATTGCTTTCAAACTTGACATTTAAAAAACAAATATTAACATTATTTCAACATTTTATAAAAATATGCAAATATGTTATGTACATAAAAGAAAATGATAGAAAAAATATGTTATCTTATGTTATGAACCTCTTTTTGGTAACTCTAGAAAGAAAATATTGCGTTTAGTATATAACATATTATGTACTATCATTTTCTTTTATGTACATAACATATTTGCATATTTTCTTTCTATAAAATGTTGAAATAATGTTAATATTTTTCTTTTAATGTTAAGTGTTGAAAACAATTATAGGGACTCTTATTCTTAAGCATATGATAATATTTTCATTGTGATGTTTTACTTGTGGTTTGCGTATATTTTGCTTATAATTTACTTATGTTATATTTGTAAAGCAAATTTTATGCATATGTATTCACCTAGTCTATCTATTCAAATTATGTTATAACTAGACGAAGGTTTTGCTGGACTCATCATGTGTCGAATAAAGGAGAGGTGGTTTGTAGTTTTAACTCTAGTGGGATGTTCCACGGATGTGCAACGAAGGATGGGTTCATTGAGTTTGCTATGTGGGAGTGAGAGCGCTTTAAATCAGTTTTTTATTTGTTGTGTTTTAAATCAATCATCCCTCTATTGATCTGGTTATCCTTTTTTTTTTTAACACTGGATTGACTAATCTATTACACAAATATGAGAACTGTTACAAGACAATTCTACAACGGACGATTCTACCATCTTCAAAGGCTCCCCGGCCGACGGCTCCACGTGCACCATTCTGTAGACCTCCTGTAAGCTTGTCTCCAATAATCTGCATAAATTATTAGCAAATCACATTCGCCGGGATTCGAAACCCAGACCTCCTGGTGTAGAAGCATTAAATCCCTTCAACCACTAGGCTAAAGGGCTTCCACAAATCTGGTTATCCTATGTCCGGAAGATGTGCTCTGTTATATCCCAAACTCGATCTTTTCTTTCTGATGTTACCAAAAAAAGTCCAGTTAAATATTTTTAGCCTATAAAGGTGAAAGAAGAGGAAATGCAAAAGGCGAACCAGTAAGGGAGTTTATGAGAGCTAGACATAGGGGACCCAAGAGGATTTAGATTGGTACACCCGCCCTATCCGCATACTTTTTTCCTAAAGTTTAGTTATTACATTTCTATCATCAGTTTGTGTATAAACTTGTCTAGCAGGGTCAAACACACTATGAGAAAGAAAAAAAAAGATTATAGACTTAAGTATTTTGCAAAGAATCCCTTGTTTTTTTCTAGAAATCAGGCGCAAAGTGATATCACCATATTTACATGATTTTACTATATAATTACTTATGTTTTCAAACGGTTTTTGCAAGATTCTTTGCCTTTAGAGGTAGTTTTCTTGTATTTGTGGGATTTGAAGTCTTTGTAGGTGAAATAATCAAAAAGGATGCAAAAAGGAGTAAAAGAGCCTAAACCAAGATCCATGCAAGTTTCCAAGTCAAGAAGATCATTTTATCTCCAAGTGTTAGTTCTCGCTAGCGCGCAGAACGAAGCTTCGGAAGTTTGGCCGCGCGCGGAGGAGTTCCCGACGTCCAAAAGTTACGATCTTGATATGGAAAGATAGATACTTGAGTCATGCATCACGTCGAAGTGGAATGAAGCCATTTGGATCAACTATGAGGCCGAACTTATTTTCTACCGAGACATGTCCGGTAAGCGAGTAAACGAAGCCCATGGAGGATTTGGAGTGTCTAATGGCCCGAGCAGCAGCGCCAAAGGCCTTGATCGAATAGAGAAGAGGCCTGGCTAATGTTTGGAGCTTTCCTTGGTACAATGTCGGCCCATACACGACGTGGAGAAGAAGGCTTTGCTGCGGGAAACTTTCCTTTTCCGGCATGAAGAAAACCCTACGCGACTTCGCCCATATATACATGTTTTTAGCCGCTGAAGAAGAGAGTCGAGTCCGAAAATTATCAAAGAGTGTACGTGTGAGAAGAGAGCAGAGGAGAGAAGCCCTAGGAGATCGTCCAAGAAGAAGGAGGCGCCGCTCAACTCTTGTTCTTTCTTTTTCATTGTTTCCATTTCTATAAACTTGATTTTAAGAGTTTTCAAGGGAGAATCCGACTTTGTTCATCAATAGAGAAGCTTTCTTCATCCCTTTATCTCTTTTAATACTTGCATAATGTTTACAATCATGCTTTGCTTGCTTGTTTGCATCATGGCCGAGTAGATCTCTTAGTTAGGCCGAGGAGATCTATGGTGGCCGTGATGATTTGATTGTGTTGCAACTTATTGGGATTTATCTTATGGATCTTCACCTTTACTTGAGCTTAATGCATGATTACTCTACCGTACATCTAGTAATCTGATCTTAGAGAAATAGAACCACGACAGTGCTGAATCTAGATCTCAAAACTAGTATTTGGTGAGCAATAGATCATAGCCAACGAAAGCTGAGTTATGGTTTATTGTGAACAATTGAATCTTGATCACCTTTAATGCATGTTTGCAATTCTAATAGCCAACGAAAGCTGAGTATATTAGGTTGTTTTAAACATAGTGGTTGGAGCCACGACAGTGGAAAGACCATACACTAGTGATTCATGTTCAAGACGGCTCTACACACATCCCATGCAACTATCTTTTCATCATTGCTCCATATGATTGTCCTTTGCCTAACTCTTGTTTTAAATTGTTTACAACCTCACTCACATTTTTTTTTTGTTTTCTCATTCTAGGTCCAAAACCATCATATTGCGAGCTAGCTACAAACCAATCTCACAAGGTGTTAAGTGAGAACACTTCCTCCTCGTGTTCGACCCCGACTACAACACGGCTGTGCACTTGCAGCTCATTAGTTGGGTTTATAAATTGTGAAAATTTGAGGCAATCTAAACCCGCCATCAAGCTTTCTGGCGCCGTTGCCGGGGAGGAGTTGCTTTTCCTTCACACCTCTTGATTGATTTCAAGACTAGCTCATCTCATCTTTCACTTTTCTTTGTTTTTGTTTTTCATAAAATCTTAAAAACTCATAAAAATTTTACTTAACTCTCTCTTTGTGTGTTTCTAAGGTGCATGACAAGAAGGTCCAATCCAAATACAACCATTGAAGAAGATCTTGACATTGACCAACTTGAGCGCACACTTAGGCGACTAAGAAGAGAAAGAATGAATCCAGGCGGAGAAGGCGCGCCAAATAGGCCACACAACCCGCCCGACCAAGAGAGGAGAGCCAATGATCCTCCTAATCCAGCAGAAGCTAGAGCTGACCAGCCAGCACCGGCCAGAGACGTTCCTCCACCCAATCCGAACGCGCCCGATGCAGCTGAGCCGCTACAGCCACCTCTTAACCCGCCGCGACCACCACCGGCGTTTGCAAATGGACATCATCGTCACGGTGACAACCAAGGGATGCCTCAAGACCAACCTCACGCACCTCCAAGGAGAGTGCCAAACGCGCAGCATCCAAGGCACCAAACTATGGGAGACTTTGATTCTCCGATGCTTTCTTTATGGATCGGAATCCAATCCGACCGCCTCTACCTCCAAGGAACGATTTTGAGATCAAACCGCAGATCATTGCCTTGGTGAAGCAAAACCAATTCCATGGTTTGCCCACTGAGCATCCTCTTGATCACGTCGACACCTTTGAGGAGATATGTAGCACAACTCGTGTTAATGGAGTATCGCCGGATTACTTCAAGTGCAAGCTATTCACTTTTTCTCTAAGTGACAAGGCGCTAAGATGGGTAAAATCTTTACCACCTCAGTCCATTACAACATGGAATGAATACAAGGGAGCTTTCTTGAACCAATTCTACACTAAGCAAAGATCCAACTCTATAAGGAGCAAGATTTCTGGTTTCAAGCAAGATTCAATGGAGTCATTCTATGAAGCTTTGGAGAGATTCAAGGAGTACACAAGAAGCTGCCCTAACCATGGCTTTTCAGAAGGTAACCTTTGGAACATCTTTTACAATGGGATTGATCATAAATACAAGCTTTCTCTCGATACCGCGAGCAATGGTAATTTCATGACCAAGTCGGTGCCGGAGGCAAAGCTTTTGATTGAGAATCTCGCTGCTAGTGATGCCAATGCATGCCCTGACTACAATAGAAGCGTGAAGACCACGAGCTCATCAGAATCAGCTCAAATCTCGGAGCTAAGGAACATGGTTTCACAACTACTTAAAAGCCGACAAGGAGTTCACGCCATTGAAGATGCCCTAGCCACAAATGAAGACACTCTTATGGATTTCATGAGAGATGGCACTGAAGAGAATCTAGAGGAAGTCAACTACATTGGAGGAAACTATGGGAATAGAGGATTCAATCCACCATTTCGCGCGCATCCAAACCTATCATACCGGAGCAACAATGTGGAGAATCCAAATGACCAAGTCTACCCCAATCAAGGAGCGTATCAAGGAGGCCAATACCAATCCAAGCCACAACAAGTCTATCCAAGAGGGATGTACCAAGTGAAGCAACCATTCACTTTTTCTCAAGAAACAAATCCAACCCAAACCGGAGAGAAGGTTGACGTGGCGTTGAAGAAATACATGGAGGAGCAGAGATTGATCACCAAGAACCTATATGAGAAGCTTGATCACATGTTTGGTGATCTAAGCAGCAAGTTTGGGTCTCTCTCTACTCACGTTCAAAAGCTTGAGGTGCAAATCGCTCAAACAGCCGAGGCGGCCAAGAAACAAAATGAGGTAAACACTCAAAAATTTTGTAGTGTTGTCTCATCTATAGATGGCACAATTGTTCCTACACTATCTCAAGGGGAAGAAGAAGAAAATGAGCCTAAGGAGAGGCACAAACCGGAGAGATACAGTTGGGAATCAAGAAGAGCTTACAAGAGAAGACTTGAAGGCAAGCCACTACAAAAACAAGAAGATCCGGGGAAGTTTGTGATAACTTCAAGTATCAATGGCATTCAACTCCACGATTGCCTATGTGATACTGGTGCTAATGTTAATCTAATGTCTCTTGCACTTGCAAAAGATTTGGGATTCAAGGAATTCAAGAGCCCCAAGATAAGAGTCGAGTTCGCGGATCTATCGTGCATGGAACCTATGGAATGCTTGAAGATGTCATGATGGAAATAGGGGGTCGATCGGTCCCAACTGACTTTCAAGTCATGATTTGGGAAGGCTCAAAGAGGAATCAACTGATTCTTGGAACCCCATTCCTTGCTACAGCTGGAGCGGTCCTAAACTACTTTGGGAATCATCTATCTTTTGGCCACATCCGGCAAGATATCTTTTTCCCAAGATATCTTTTGGGTTTATAAATTGTGAAAATTTGAGGCAATCTAAACCCGCCATCACAAAGAATCCCTTGTTTTTTTCTAGAAATCAGGCGTGGGTTAAAAGTTCATCTTCCTATAAATGTGCTTCTCATCAATGGAAGTGTATATTTGTGTAACAGATTAAAATTTCGTTGAAAATATACATCCCATCAATATATATATTTGTGTGTGTCGTTCTAAATCTAATTAATAAATATATTTTCCGTTAAGACTTTTTTTCAAAAGGGAAAAGAAAAAACATATAATTGATCTTCTATAGAGCCACCACTACCAAGGTAGAGTTTTGAAAGAATATCGCCAAATATGAGCAGTCCTTGTAGACATTTGCTCTCTATCCGCTGGAAATGCTGCAAATGCATATCATACGTAAGCGCATTATATTTCTGGCAGGGGTAAGAGATCAAGTTTCCCTGAATGCCAACATTTGTTTGCTCATAAGGAATCTGCTGCCGTGAAGAGGTGGAGGCAGAAGATGGATTACCATTCGGCTACATGGCCAAGGGAGCTCAGCTGAGCAAGGTGTGAAGATGAGAACTTGATGTGAAAGTTTACAAGTCCAAACAAGTGTTAAGCAAAGAAGAACTATAGTTAAAGTAACTTGACTATGGTTGGATTAAGCTTTTGGGACCACAAGGAAGAGCCTTTCGGTTCTGTCTTCTTGTTAACTAGGTTTGGGGATGTCTCTTCTTTATAACCAAATTGGAGCCGTGAGAGAGAGTGAGCAAGCCACACAATGTAGTTACAAGGGTGAGAGAGAACAATGTAAAATCATAAGCTTTGGTGGGTTTTCTCAAGTAGAACATAGGGTGATACAAAAGAGTGTTCATGAGTGAATCATTTGTATCTCTTGTAAATCTGTTCTCCTTTTCCGAGAAACAGTCTCGGTGAGACGTAGAAACCCTCCTTAATGGGCGTGAATTGGTTAAACTGTGTGTGTGCTCCCAATCTTCTCCTTCTCTCTTTCTATCAAACACTCTTTACTCTGTTTCTGCATCTCTCTGTTTTTTCAAGTTTCTAGTCATTGACAAATCAAACAACTTCTATCTTGGTCCATTGCGGTTTAAGCTCATCTCATGTACACATATCTGAGCCTCTAAATCCTAACACAAGGAATATGTAATAGCAATGAAGAGGCAAAAGTCTGGAATCGGGTGGGCAGAGGAAGCTTCACTTGGTTCTCGGTCTGCACTGCACGCTTTTGGACACCTGTCACATCGCGAGGCTGACATAGACGTGATGATATGGGGAGTTTCACCAAGAGATATGCACGGTCAAGTTACGGCCTATCGTTCATCAGTTTCTGCGCGAAAGCAGACGAGCTGTTTGAATGCATGTCTACGCATACATTGGCTGAAGCACTAGCCGCAGCTAGGTTAGGATGGGTATTTTATTTGGGCGCCGCACCATAAGACTCTTGGTCTTGTGTTGGCTCAAGAATGTGGCGTGGAATCGTTGATTGGGAAAGACAAGCGTGGGACCCCAAAGATATAAACTTGATTTAGATCAATCCATACTGATATTTTAAACACAACCTCTTTGAACGCCAAGAATCCTTCTCAATTTTCTCAATAACAATTAACAAGCTGTGTAAAGTGGACTCAGATCCGAAGCAAAAGATGCTTGATGATTAAACTGTGCATGGAGCATATCAGGAAGATAAGACTGTGCATCATGCATAATCTTTTCACTAAAATAAACTCCAAATCTAGGCCCATATGCCTCACAAAACCCAAGCTCCTGCGTCCGGAAGTTTGATCAAAATTAAACCCCATTTCCTCCTCTTTTAATTATGTTTCCAACTTAGAAAATCGTTTTTAACTCCTATTTAAATTTTGAAATCTTGAACTTCATCTCATAAAAAAGTTAAAATATATACTTCCAGTGTGAGAAGATTCAACATATAGTTTTTTATAACAATTTCAGTTAAATAAATTGTTCCGATCTTTTTAAACAATTTTAATTACATTCATTGTTCAAGCGTCAGGAGTCACAATTACTATTACAGAATCTCTTTTTGGAATCAATATACAATTTTGTTGAGCATAACAGAGAAATCCCAAAAGTTAATCAGCCCATAAAACGAACAAAGTATATACTTCCATTGATGGCTTCCTTGAGAAATTTTAACTTGGCTTCACTCTTTTTCAAAATTTTCAGTTACATGCATTGTTCAACTGTTTTTCATGCTAAATGCATTCTTATGAAAGACTTCAAAGACAAAACGAAAAATTAGAGAAGGAAAGACTAATTTTCAGTGATACTCTCAGAAAATGAACATTGCCTATGGAAGACAAAAAGTCAATAATAATGATCAACGATAGTTACATATCAGCGATTAGCTGAAATGTTTGTGTTCAAGTCATTTAACATAGTTACAAAAAAAGGACTAAAAAAATATAGTGGCACACTAGTCGTCAAAACAACATGGATGATCTTGAGTTTGTAGCTTCACGAATTAGAATCGCCAACTTCAAGTTATTGAATGAATTTTGCCAGGCAAAACTAACAAAATATACACTTCCATTGATGCCTTCTCTGAGAAGATTCAACTAGTTTCCGTCTTTTTAACAATTTTCAGTTAAACGCATTGTTTAAGTGTGATAATAAGGAGTCAAAATTATGAAAGACTTTGTTCTTTTCATAACATTGATACCTCACCAAAAGCATTAATCAATTTTACTAAAAGTGGTAATCTTAAGAAACTAAAGATCTCACAAGAGTAACAAGAAGAAATCGTCATTTTTTTAAATGGAGAAACCTTTCTTTCATCAAGAAGGTTTTTATTTATCTAAGCCGCCGGTGAAGAAGCTGAAGCCATCGCGGAACAGTAATCTCGCCGCCGGTGAAGAAGCTGAAGCCATATTTTTGATCGTGGTGTGTGTGGGACTAAGAGTTTCACGTCTAATGACGGCTAATATACAGACTACAGAGAGTGAAGGGTTTAGGGTTTTGTCAAGAGTACACGTGGACGATCCACAAAGTTCTGTGTGTAAACAACAACACTTCGGTAACAAAAGCAGATTTGTCTTTATAAAGACTTTGAAAGTCAACAACGAAACCTTAAAATGTGTTGACTTTTACTTCTGCTCAGAAAATTGAGCTTCAAAATCATAAATAAATAATCTGATTAAAAGCAACTGTACATATGGGGAAGTAAAACACTTCTCTCAGCTCTCAATAGTCTCAAGAGTTATGTCATAGTTTAGAAAGTAAAAAAAAAAAAAAAAAAAAAAAAAAAGTTAAAAAAAAAGGAGGATCCATGAAGATAATAAGGAGGGGAGAAACTAAAAGTCATCTGTTATGTTTCTTGAGAAAGAAAGAAAAAAGAGAATGGAGAGCTGATCAGTTAGATGAAACTCTGTCTCTCTTGGAGCCTGATATCTTAACGCTGCTGCTCTCTGCAACGATGTTGTTAGTCTCAGAGGGATTCTCTTCTTCTTCCTCCGGTTCGAGACCTTTGACGCCGAGAAGAATAAACTCATTCAACAAGACTGTCTCCACAAAGGTAGTCACATCTTTCCTAAACTTGGGAGAGCAGCTCTCGCTACTACTCTTCTCTACCACCACCGCTTCTTCTTCATCACCTGCTTTAACCTTAGATCCATCTTTATCAACTGCCTTCACCACCTTAGACCCCACCAGAGCTCCGTTTCTATAAGCATCACACGCCTTCAAAAAGTCGTGAGCACAGCTGAAGAAATGCCCATACGCAAAGAACTCAAAATACTGCATCAAAAGCACACCACAATCATCTCATGTTATTAGTCAAAGGTTCCTTAAGCTTTTTTCTTGTTAAGGAGAGTATAATGTTTTAGTTACCTTTGGTGGTCTCCTCATGTTGTAAACCATCGTCTTCATGGAAAGCAAGAATGTGTTTTCGCTGTAGTTTTTGGACTGGGCCTCGCCCTGTGCAGAACCAGCTGTCCTCTCGTAGCCTGGCTCGTTGAAGTAAGGCTTCTCATTCAAGATTAGAGCTTGGATCGAGACAAGAACCTGTAGCATTGTTGAGCTGTTGGGGATCCATTTCTCCTTCCCGGTACCACTCCAAGTGCCGAGAAGACTCAGGCACACTTTCCCACAATTGTACAGATTTGGGTTGATTCTAAGCCCACCAGATTGGTAATGCACATTCTTAAACAAAAGGAATTTTCACAATCAGCAAGACAACATTAAAACTCAGTCTGAGTTTGAGAAAGTTGGATTGAATTGACTTACCGGTGGCACAGCAGGGTATGTATCCGGGAAGAAGATATCGAAAAAGAAGAGACCGTCATGGTAAGGAGTTCCTGCAGCTCCAATAATCACAGCCCTCAAAAGATCCATCCTTGACTCATAAGCTCTCACAAATATCATGTCTGTTGCAAGAAACAGAGAATGTAAGCAAGTTTGCTACTATCATCAAGCCACGAAATCCATGTATAAGACAGTGTACCTGGCAAATCATTCTCAAGACTTTTCCACTCTTCTGTGATCCTTTTCACCCAAGCCTTTGAATTCTGAAAAGGACAGAGAAAGAAATAGTCAGTTTCTTGAAATTACAAAAGAAGCACATTCATTAACTTATTATGCTCATATGGTCACAAACCTGCTTTGAACTATTTCCCTTAGCAGCAAAATAGTGATCCGAAGAATCTTCGACGGTGTCAAATCTTTTGAAAAACAAATAACTCCCAAGAAACTCTTCCATGTTTCTCTTAACCCTTCCAGGATCCGGACGTGAAATAACCTCATCCACTCTAGGCGTCGCCAAATGAGCATAACTTGATAACTTTTTTGGTACCGGAAGCAATAAACCAGAAGAAGCCGGAGCCTCCCCCATGACAGTATCAGGAGTCTGAGGCTGGACAACACTGGAAGAAGAATGCTTCCACGTGGAGACAGTCGTAGATGCCAGAGCCTGACTGTTCTGAGGCAATGCGTAAGCAGAGTTTGGTATGACTCCTGCAGAGTTGTGAGGTAAATCCTTCCATGGCTGAGCGACAGGAGCTGCCAGGTTCTTGAAAGAACAGCTTGGTTTTGTTTCTTTCTTGCCAGTAGCAGTATTCCCATCTGGTACCTCTGCTTCCTTGTCAGGGAACCAATCCATTGACACCTCAACACCAGTTGGGATGTCCTTGGAGTCGAATATGTCTTGGTACATGGAGTATTCATCAGGAGCATCATCATCATAATCATCATCCTCCATATCATACCCATATTGATCATCGTCGTCTTCGTAGATCAAAGAATCAGGGTCTAGCAAACTATTTGATTCAACGTTGTTTGTTGAGTCACTAGCAGATCCCTGAAAATCAACAAAAGCAATGTCCATTCTTATTCAGCTGTGGAAGCAATTCATTACTCATAAATAATATTTGTAAAAAAATTCCAAAACACTTACATCGTAAGAAAGGGATTCATATTGTATACCCTTCCCTTTGTTCTTACTATCAACATTGTTGTTACTATGAACACCTCCGTTTTGCAATTCATATTGTTCTTGAATTCCACCCTACAAGATGATAATCTTGAATTTAATAGCAAAGATTTGACCACCAAACGAGAGATATGGTTTCTAGCGATCAAAACATGCAACAAACAGAAAGAGATCCTTCAAAATTCTCAAAACTAATCCAACAGCAAAGAGAAAGGATAATGCACGTGATAACAAACCTAAGACTGAATAAAAAAAAACAAACTCATCACTAAACCCTTAAAATCAGCAAAGCCCAGAGAAACCAAGATTACGATCGCAACATCACAACATCATCATCCACAGAGAGAACACACATGCCCCAAAATCAATTTCAAAATTCTCTACCGGCATGTGAAATTAGGTGGAAAAATCAGTGAATTTTTTAGAGGGTAGAGTTTAAAATCGATCAATTTGGGTAAAGCATTAACCTTATTCGGCGTTAGAGTTCTCGAGCAAGAAGCGAGAGGAGTAGCGATCTCCACTACGTTGGGCTCCATTGAAACGATCCCACTTCTAAACAGAAATTTCAATTCCCCTTCGCGACGGAAACAACGGAAAACGAGAGAATTTTCCTAAAACTTAGAGAAGGAGACGAAGAAGATCAGAGAAACAAATAAACAAAAATTTGGGTTTTGATCACCTTGGCGCCGTATTATAGATTTTACCCAAACGCAGAGTGAGATTGCGCAAAGGCTCTCTTCTCTGTCTCTGAACACTTCTAAAACCAATTCCCTTCTTCTCCTCTCTCTCTCCCCCTATTTAAGCCTAATCTTAATTAAAGACCTAAATTAATTAATAAAAAAACTAATAGTTAATGTAATTTTCCCTTTTGTGCGTTTTTTTTCAACAAGTCAATACAGAAAGTCTACGAAGATGGGGCCCAGTTTTAATCGGACGGTTGTGGTAATATTTTATTAATATCGACGGTGATAGTGACGGTTGTAAGATACTCTGCCGCTGTAGAGGAAATAAACCGAGCTTACACAACACGGTAGGGCCCTAAGTGTATGACTTCGACTATAAATAGAGAGCCGTCGGATTGTGAAAAATAAAACAGCTTTGAGTAAATCCAACGGATGGAGAACTCTTTTCTTTCCGTTTCTTTTTTTCTCCAGTTACAGAACAATCATCATAGCAAATCATATGAGAAGATATGATAAATCATAATCTAGACACATTTAATTGAGTTTTAATTATAAAGTTATAAAGTATATAATGATTTTGATTTTTTATAAAGAAATAGAATAAACATGACTAGTATTATTAATTAATTCTTTTGTTTTGGACATCTATTACTAATATAAGTTGATCTTATATGCCTCTAAAGATATAGGATTCTAAAACTATATTTGATTAGTCCATGTCATTATTATTATTTTTCATTGAATAATTAATTTTCTTAATTTCCTTTTTATTCTTATTAGCAAATTTCCATTTTTTTAATATCCATATATTTTCTTTTATTCCACATCAGTATTATTACTTTAACATATTAATTTTAGTAAATTTCCTATTTTACAAATATTTTAATTAGAATTTAATAATTGTAATTTTATATAGATTATCTAATAAGCAATGACATTAAAATGTGTTTTTATATTAGTGGAAAATTGATTAAGAAGCCCATACTATCTATTATGGCCTATTCAACCATTTATTTTAATGAAATTCCAGACTTAAGTATCTTTATTAAGCATTTTTCATTGCAATGGCACTAAGTAATTAGACAAATAAATTTCTTTTTTTAGCAACAAGGTGTTGTGGTGTAGCAAAAAGAAAATAAGAAATTCAATTTGATTGGTACACAACTAGACATAAGCACTTTAAAACAATTTCTAAATTCTATTTTTATTCATATTAAAATGTTTAGAAAATAGAAAAAAATATATATTTCTAATGACATAAAAAGAAAAATTACTTCCTATATTTAAAAAAAATCATTTTTCTTAATATAAAATATACAATATTTAAAATTATATATTATTAATATGTTACATATTCATTTTATTATTTTGAACAAAATATTATATTGTATCTAAGCATCAACATGTTATTAATTTGTTGATTTATATGCACTATATCATATATTATAGTGAAAATAATATTTTGTCTTGAAGATACGTAGAAAATAAAAACTGCAACTATTTATAGTTTTTGGAAAGCTATTGAATAACCGGAAAATGGATCAGCATGAACGATCACTAGTTGAATTCAAGTACATGCCAAAACAAAAAATCTGATTTTTCAGTGATGAAACATGGAGTTAATTAAGTATAACTATTGTATGTTTGGAAATTTTTAGAAAGATTTGAGGCTAAGAGGATTTGTATGAATTGTGACCTTCAAAGACATGTAATCTCTAAAATTCTGAATCGAAATATTTGATAGTGTGCATATAATTAAAGCAGATGAGAAATAGAGTGATCAGGGTCGGCCTGGCCTCAAATTTTAAAAATATATTATTTGAGAAGAATGAAAAGCACCACTACCAATAAGCTAAAGTAACATTTAGTAACATGTGGTCTTCAAGTTTTATATATCTTTTGGTGGCGTAAATTCTATATTTTACCAGCTTTATATAGGGCCGAGGGTAATAAAAGGATGAAGGGATTTATGATTTCGACGAACTTGAATTGAAAATGAGATTTAGTTTAAGATTTTTGAGAAACAGTGGCAAAAGAGTCGCATTATGAACATTCATATTTGCATTTCAAATGTGAAGGTAATGAGTTTCTAATTTCACAGTGATGACTAAATCCAAAATGTGACAAAACTAACTCATGAACTAAAAAACTGGAGAATTGGTTATATATAAAACATAAAAACAGAACCGCGCGTAGCATAGGTAAAATACCTAGTTAAGAACAGAAAAATAACTTAAGTTTATTATGCCCCTCATAGAAAATTATTTTAAGTACTAAAAGAAAATTCTGTTTATATTTTAAATTGAATAAGAAAAATTATTCTATATTTTAACCCAAAAATAAATCCTGTAAATTAAAAAGAAAACCACTGCTTTCTGATTTCCCAAAATAAACGAATGTGGAATATCTATGGGTCAGGGGCCTTTTGACTGAAAAAAAAGAAGAATATTATTTTCACTTTTATTGAAAATCTATTCACGAATAACCAGTGATGATGCTTATTGATTCATAATCCCTAAGATATCTATCTATATATATAAAGTTCATATAATTCTATTTTGGTGCTGTCACTTCAGCAGAAAATGCTGCTTCTAAATTCACCAGTTCACCATGTCAGTATTTTATTTAATAATTTTAATTTATTATATTTTCTCTTCTTATATTTTAATTCGGGATTCTTTGCAAAATACCTTGTTTAGGTTTTAATATTTGAAAAATACCCTAATTTTTTTTTTTGGTTTTGAAAACTACACTTTTTATTATTTAAAATTACTTTTTGACTTTATTTAAACAAAGCAATAATAGATAATTAATTTACAATTAAATTCGAAAGTACTTTTACTAATAATTTTCTTTTTAATATTTCAAAATTAAATTCGTTTTAAAGTTTAGCTTTATAATTTTATTTCAAAGTTTAACTTTTAAATTATATAAACTAGTTTAATATCACACCTATAATCTAGGTTTCATCAAACTATTTAAGCCATAAACAAGTTAGGAAGGAACTTGACAATCTATCAATAATAATGTGACTTCAATTTCTTATATACATGTTCATTCAATATTTAATAATGGTCGATATTGTGCTTATGATTGTGTGCTCCTCATATATATTTTAACAAAATATTACTTCATGTTTTGTACCTTTTGCAATTGAATGGTCTATACCAAAGAAAAAAATATGAAACTGTGTACAGAAATGCTAAATAATAGTTTTGTTAAAAAAAAAATTAGCAGATAATGAGGTATATTTATTTATCAGTTTGAAATTTAACAAAATCATAATTTTTTTTTATTATTTAAACTACGTTTGAAGCCCCGCGCAAGCGCGGGGTTGTTTGTGATAGTTTTTCTGTTTAATTTTATTTATACTATTTGATTTGAATTATGATGGTTTTGTGTTAACTTTCATGTTTTTGTTATGTTTTGAGTTAACTCACTAACACTAAAAAAAATGAATAATTTTTTTTAAATTTATTAGGATATTAACACCCTGCTTTATCTCGAGTTTTCTATTTTTAAAATTTATCATGTTATAATTATTATGTTTGTTTACTTTTTTTTTACTTCTATTAGACTGTAAACATGTATATGTATTTGATTGAAGGTTAAAATTTATAAATATGTATATGCATTTGACTGAAGGTTAAAATTTGTAAACATATTCTTGTTTTCACTATAATTAAATTTACATATAAAACTTCATTTCTATTTGTTTAGAAAAACAAACTCTAACTCTAGTTTTTCATTAGCTTTCTATTATCTTAATTAATTTATATTCAACTTTTTAACTTGTAAACAATTATAACATTTTTAAATAGGATAATCCTTTGAATAAAAAGGTAAATATATACTATTTGAAGTTAAATATTTCTTTACTCCATTTCTATTTTATATTCAACTTTTTGATAACTTTTGACATCAAATTATCACATACTTTCTATTAATTAATTAATTTATTTGTGTATTTTTATTAAATATGAATAAATGTAAAGAAATATGAATAGTCATATATTTAATAAATATTTTAAATACAATTTAATTTTTTGTGCTGATGTGGACACTCTAGATGGAGAGAGCAACTCCCTAATTATATATAAGATTTCGTTTTATTTAAATTAGTTAGAAATTTGAAGGATCATTTAGTCTTTTTAAATTTAAAAAGTGTAGTTTTCAAAACCGAAAAAACTAGGGTATTTTTCAAAATAAAAACTGACATTAAGGTATTTTTCACAATTTTCTCTTTTAATTCTTTATATCATTCAGTAATATAATCATTAAATAATACAATAGTTTTGCAAGAATTTGAAAAGTCTTTTTTATAAAAGAAAGAAATATTATGTATAAATCTTAAAAATCTATTATTTAATAATAATAATATTAATAATAAAAATATATTACACAAAGAACATTGTTTTTTAATAGTAATATTGGATGAAATTAGACGAGATCGAATAAACGAAAAAAAATATAATCGGAGAAGAGGGGAATTTTGTTTACTTCTTATGATATTAAGAGATGAGACGAGATCTAAAGGAACGAAAAAAGAACGGAATAGGACAAGACGGAAATTTTGCCTACCTCTAATCATATTTAGAGGTGGAACGGAAAAAAAACATGATGAGAGAGGACAAGACAGAAATGTTGAACGGGACAAAATGAAAAGAAATGGAATGTGATGGGATTGGACTGGACGAGATGAAAAATGACATAATGGGAAGGGAAGGGATGGGACGGGGAAGAAACGGGACAGAGATAAGACAAAATGGAAATGAACATAAATAAGATATGATGAGATTGGATGGGGCGGACAGAACGAACGGATGGGAAAGAATATGACAAGATGAAAAGAAACAGAATAGGATAGAATTATGTCTACCCCTAACAATATTTAGGGAACAAGACAATAATAAACAAAATGGAAAGAATCATAATGGGATAAGATATGACTGAACGGGACATACAAGATGAACGGGACGGGAAATAACGGACATGGTGAAAATAAACGAAATGGGACGAGCTGGTACAAAATTTTTGCCTAACTCTAATTATATTTAAGTAATATGTGTATAATATATTTGAAACAATATTAAATTTACGAAAAAAACAATAAAACTAACACAACCCGCGTATAGCGCAGGTCACTCCCTAGTAGTATAATTTTTTTTAACAAAACCAAATGAGACGGTGATAATTCTACTGTAGTTGATAGATTTGAGTTGAGAATTATAATTTTTTATTGTATTATTTTTCTTTTTATTTTAACACTAAATTTTCTGCAATATTACCGTGTAGATAGGTTATCTTTTATCTCTGGTTTAATATGGTTTACTATAAATTTAGTTTCCTTTAGCTTGATAAAGAGTATTTATATACTATTTGTACATTCATTTTCACAATTAATGAAAAATATTAAATAGATTTTAGTATAATATTAAAGAATATAAAATAATTTCTTCCGCTTTCTTCTCTATTCTCACCGTTTCTCAGTACTATCTTCGATTCAGTTTGATTTCTTGTACATTTGTTTCTGGAATCCTAAACTGATGAGTCTTTCTTGCTCCTGAATACTTTATAAGCTCGCATTTGCCATTTATTCGATGACATTATCAATTTTCTGCAGCATTTGGTCTTCGTCTTTCACATCGTTTTCTACTTCAATTGACATTTGATTGTTGACTCGTTGGGATGCATGCTTGGAACAGCCTCTAAGGGGTTAGGCACTACCCTGCTGTGCGAGCAGCCAACTCGAGACTTGATGATAAGCATAAACCGTAAGAGATCTTTGACATTCGTCGAAGCATCGGAACAATAATCACCCAGCACTCTTCTCTTTCATTTGGCACAATCTCTTCTTCTTTCTTTGATTATTAGTTCAGTCATAGCCTCTGATGCACTAAATCCCAATTCTTGGACAATACGAGAATTGTACTTTCTTGATAGATCACGCTAATATTCGTTTTAATCTATAATCGTCTAATCTAATGCGGGATTTCACTCTTAGTGTAGATCTGATTCCTAACCTCCACCACCTCCCCCTTGCAGGTTTGAGACACCTCCGCAGCATCCGAGATGCATGTATTAGGCGCATCGTGATGCTGGATCTTGGTCTCGCTGCAATGCTATGGTTGCTACATGGCGAAAGAATTGCTGTTATGCCATAAGTTGCGAAGAATGGAGCTGCCGTGCCATTCTCTAATAATTAATTTCTTTTTGATTTTGTTTAAATCCAAAAAACTCGGCAAATACTTGTATGCCCTTAGTCCATTTTAAAAATTACCAACCCAACCAAACTTTTACCCACCCAAACCAGATCCATCCGGTAACCCATCTAATTTAACAATTATCTCCAATTATTAAATTAGTCTATTCTTCCTCAATTCACTGTTGCCCATCGGATTCCGCTGTCTTATGAATTTGGCGTTTGTTGCCTGATCTCTCTCAGATTATGCCATTCTCTTTTTCTTTGATTTTTGATGTTCATGAATTATGATTGATGTTCATAAGATTGGATCTCTTCATGGTTCTCATGGCCAATCAACAGCCATTATTAGTTACAGATTTCCTTCCGCAGCTTCATACCGGAAGTAAAATCTCCTTCACCACCACCGCCTCCTTCTCACCCATAATCTCCCTTGGTTCCATCACCATCTCCACCATCTTATTCTTAATCTCCTGAACCAGCACACGTTACTACTCTATCCGTCGACGATGATGATTCCGAACCGGAAACAGAGTGTTTTCCTTCTCCAACGTCATCTCCGTCTCCGGCGCCAGAATTGGGAGAACCAGATGACATCAAAGCAAGCGAGAAGAGGAGACGAAGCACTACCTAGATGCGTCACTTTACCTTGATTGAGTCATGAATCACATTACCATTTAACGGAATTATCGGGTACAACTAGGTCTCTTAGGAACAACTAAACAATTTCAGTACAAATGGTATTACTTGGTACAACTACGCCTTCAAATAAATTAATAAGTTTGCGAAAAATGAAAAAAAAAAACGAAAAACACGTGTTAAAAAAAAGTCGGTGTTGTAAAACACGTTGCGCCGTCAAAAAAACACATAAGTTGTACTCAAGGTAAAAGTTGAACACAAAACTATAATAGTTGTACTTTTGCGATTTTAGAGTATTTCTAATTGAACCTTATATAAATTGTTATGGATTAGTTGTACCCATTATTTTTGGCTTTTAATTATCATTTACAATGTTTTCATAGTAACATTTGTGCAAAATTTGATATTTTGTTTCTTTTGTATCATTAAAGGTTAACATTACATATTTCTTCCTTATATTGTATGGGGTTGTTGATGTGAAAACATGATTTTGTAATGAAAATGATAAATTCATGTTATTCATAATATTAATTGCTTCTTTATTGTTAAAATGTGTTTAAAGTTCTTAATTGATTTATTTACTTACTATTTTTATAATTTTGCTTATTATTTTTATAATTGTTTAATTTTTTTCTAATAAAGTTGAACCACTGAAAATAGTTGTACCAAAGTTTTGTGAAACATAAATACATACAATTATAAGTACAAGTACAAATCCAACAATACAAATCCAATAATATTCATCTTTGTACCCTAGTAGTGCAAATTAGAGAATGTCAAACCCATAATTATTCATTGTTTAATACAAATTCGAAAAATGCAAACTGATATTTGTTCTTATTGTACATATTATAACATGGTTGTACAAATCCATATTAAAAAATCATATTGATTTACGGGAAGAGCAGCTTTGCTCCAGCTCGCTGCGGGAGAAAAAAAAAAGAAGAATTGTGTTTTTTTTAATTTCCGTTTCTAATTAATTTTGATTTATTCTGCTTTTTTTTATTTTTTTTATTTTTTTTTTTCCTTCCCAATTTCATTAAGGTTAAAAGAGTAATTTTACCTTCTCTTTATGTCCGTACATGGCATTAGACTATGCCATGGCACGCCATATTTTTTTTTTTCTGGAGAATGGCATAACAGCCGCGGACTCCTACATGGCTCATGAACGAAAAAAATTCTAATATGCCACAAATCAGTGAACCGGTTGCCAAAATGCCATAACTAAAATTAATTTCTTTTCCATTTTCTTTTAAATCAAAAGACAAGTAAAAGACATTAAAACCGGATGAAAGTTAAAGTATTTACGAATCCAACCAGGGTATTACCCGAAAACCGTAAACCCGACCCAGTTTAATCGGATTTTAACCCCAAATCCCTAAATTAACTATATCGCCGTTTTGCAAGTAAAAAATTTAAATCACAATTCGAAATCACACAATTCGAAATCGAGTGAAGAATCTCGTAACGGGAAGGAGCAAGTGAAGAACTATCGTGAATCTTGCAATGGTGTTGTTGAGAAGCAACAAAGTGACGATGGAACCGCCGAAGTCGACAGAAGCGGCGGAACCAACGAACCCGGCGGCGGAACCGTCGAACTCGACAGAAGGATCTGTTCCTTTCGTTCCGGAACCGACGAAGTCGACAGAACCGGCGACGGAACCGGCGCCGAAGTCGACAGAAGCGGCGGAACCAACGAACCCGGCGGCGGAACCGTCGAACTCGACAGAAGGATCTGTTCCTTTCGTTCCGGAACCGACGAAGTCGACAGAACCGGCGACGGAACCGTCGAACTCGACAGAAGGGCGGTTCGACAAAAGAACTGTCGAATCCGACGAAAGCGGGGGAAGTGCCAAATCCTTCGCAAACAGCGGAACCGACCACGAATCTCCGCCGAGAGAGGAGACGGTGGTGACAGGAGAGGCGGAAACCGGAGAAGCAATGCCCAAAGAAAAAGAAGCCCAAACTGAGGAGAAGATGAGCTCAGAAGGAGTTGAATCGGAAAAAGAAGATGAATCGGAAAAAGAAGAAGAGCACGAAGAAGAGAAAGATGAAGAGGAGAAGGAAATGGTATCGGACGAGGAATTGCGTGGTGACGAAGAGAACAAGGTATTATCTTGTTTATTATGATTAATTGGATTAAGAGTTTGATAATGGAGAATGATTGATTATGTAGTATCTATGGGACTGATGTTCGACTAAGTTCAACTATGTAGTATCTCTGTGATTAATGTTATTGCGAAGTAAAATCACATTGGTTTGTTTTAAATTTTTTTGAACCTGCAGGATGAGGAGGATGAGGAGTATAATGATGACAATGATGGCGAGGAAAATCGACAATCTCCACAACAGCAGGAAGAAATTCCTCAACCGGATCAAACCCCACCGGAAGAACCACTTCAACCGGAACAAACAGAAGACGCTGAAGCAATGCCTTCAGATGCACATGTCTCTTCTTTTGCACCGGTCATGGTAATGTAGATTTTTAGAAATTCAATTCCGCAAATGGTTTCAATGCAAGTTCGAGTAGGTTCGGGTAAAAGTATAATTAGTAACACTACATTGTTTGACTTGGCGGCAGGTTGATGATGAATATATACCACTGCCACCAGAGAAGTTTTACTTTCGTCCAGATCAGTATAGAAAGAGTTGTAGGATATCATCGAGGTGTTATGTGAATGATACGGTCAAGGACATCAAGGAAATTCCTCAGGCGTTGGAATGGTTTTCTAGTCATCCTCAGTTTAAGCATATCTTTCATATGCCTCTGGTGGAAAACCGTAAATCAAAAGGATTTTGGATGCTTCTTCTGCACCTAGCTTGTACTGATAGTGACAGAGAATTATGGTTTGTGGTTAATGGAGGTACTCCATTAAGGAGCATGCGCTGCTGAGTGGATTGGATTGTCATGACTACCCTAGCAACTATGGGGAGCTGAAGGACAAGGATGCCGGCGATTTCAAGTTTGTTGAAAAGTGGTTCAAGAGAAGGACCAATATTACCATAGCAGATGTGAAGAAGAAGCTACGGAAAATGAAGAGCGCTGTTAACAAGAAGAAGATGGCTGCGCTATATTTCTTAACCAATGTCTTGAAAGCGAAGTCCAAATATAAAGGAAACATAGAGCCATTCTTTCTCAAAGTCGTGGATGATTTGGACTTGTGCGAAAAATTCCCTTGGGGCCGTTTGACCTTTGATGATTTGGTAGATGAAGTTAAGAAAGTAGCGAAGAAGTTCAAGGGAGGCGTCGTCAACGAGAAGGATTCATGGACCTTTTCTGGATACATTCTTCCTATTGAGGTAATTCTTTTAATTATTTTCCTTAAATTTACGTGGATAGGGTCGTGATATTGTAGTACTCTCTATGTACAGGCTTTTGCGTATGAGTGCATTCCTGCGCTTGCTCGAACCTTTCGAGAACCTGTTCATGCAGAGAGCGACTGTCCAAGGTTGTGCAAGCACAATTTCAAAGCGACTTACATGAAAGGTTATCCACTGTCCGAGATAAACGAAGCAATTGGGAGCAATAGGGTGAGTATTTGTCATCATATAGTGTACTTTATTTTATCTTAATTGAGCAAGCTTATCATGAGTGTATTTAATGTGTTCATAATCGCAGGATATCATAAGCATCTTGGAACCAACCTCAGAGGAGGAAACCCTTATGGAGCGCATCATAGACCCTAGTTGTGATGATGGGATTGGCTCGTGGATCATTTAGTCGACCTTTGGAGAAACCATCTAATCGTCCAGAAGAAGAAGATATGGTGGGAGTCTCTGTACAAGATTGACTTGGCCGGCAGAGGTATCACCGAGTTTGCAAATGAAGTACCAATGCAGGCACCTGACAACGGTGGATCAGTTCAGGGAATGATGGAAACGATGAAAGCTTTGATCGAGGAAGCAACAAAGAAGTTGGAGGATAAGATGGATGATGTTACCTCAGAGATTAAGGCAATGGTTGGGGACTTAGATGAGAGACTTGATATGGTTGAATGTTATGTCAATGAGCAACGAACCAAGAAGGCTCATGATAGAAGCGGAGCAAGTAGTTTCCTCTAGGTTCTGCTTTTCGGACTCCGGCCGAGAAGATTGTAGCAGGGGATATAAGTGAAGAAGAGGAGGAGGCGGAGGAGGAGGCAGAGGAGGAGGAGGAGGAGGCGGAGGAGGAGGAGGAGGAGGAGGCGGAGGAGGAGGAGGAGCAAGTAGCAGAACCGCCAAAGAAGAGAAGAAAAGAAACTCCAGCAGAGAAAGAGAAGAGGACAATCAAACCTTCAGCTATTCTCTCATCTCCATATGTGGCTGGTCAGGCAAATAGAAAAAGAAAAGGCAAGACAAGTGGAAAAGGGAAAGGAGGTGCAAAAAGACCGTACAACACACGTAGGTGATATACCCATATCTTTCATGTTTTTATCAAGGTTTTCACTATGTTTTTAATACAAATAATGTGGTTTTTATGCCCAAGAGGTAGTTTTCTTGTATATTCTGGTTTTGAGCATCATTCAGGTCAAAATAGCAAAGAAGAGTCAAAATGGAGCAAAAAGAGTCAAATCACCAAGTTCCCAAGTCTAGAGCACCAAATCTACATTTCTCGCTAAAGACCAAACCGGAGCATCCGAAGTACGACCGCATATTCATGCCTTCCCGACGTCCAAAAGTCATGTTTCTTATATGGAAAGATAGATATTTGAGTCATGACCCGCGGCGAAGTGGAAAGAGGTCATTTGGATCACTCGTTGGACCGGAACTTATTTTCTACCAAGACATGTCCGACGAGCGCCTAAGTAGAGCCCATGGAGACTTTGATGGATCAAGAGGCCCGAGATACCGCGCCCAAGGCCTTGGCTCATCTTGACACTAGCATAACTCAATCCAGAAGCTTCCATTGGCCTGAACGCGGCCCATTCAAGAACTTGGAGAGCAAGCTCAAGCGGCTAAAGAGAAATGGAAACTTTCCTCTTCTGCGCGCGCTCAACTTTGCCGACCTAGACCCGCTCTCTACCTATATATACTTGCTTTTAGCCTCTTGTAATAAGAATCACCAGCCGCATAACAAGAAACACTTATTCAATAAAGTTCGGAGCCACTTAGGTGGTCTCCTTCTTCTTTCTTTTCTTCTTTTGCATTTGTATATAGCTTGCATGTTTCAATTTATATAGTCTAGAAGTAGAGATTTCTCCCTAAGGGTGAGGCGTGGTTTAGTCTATATTCCGCCGCCTCTCTCTCTAAGGATTCATGAGACTTCATCTACTATCTAAGACTCATTGTTGAATTATGGATCCTTCCAATGAGGACGTGATATAATGGCCATCTTGAATCGATTGTTAAAAGGGGAAACCCTATGGTTCTCCATCTTTATTTATGCTTAATGCTTGTTGCTAGAGTAGCTAACTAGTGACTTGATTTTAGGTTGATATACTCTCCAAAAGCTTGTTATATCTCCGGACACAATATTTGATGGGCAAATCGTTTTAGGCTACGAAAGTAGACCTAAAGAGTTTTGTGAACAATCATTACTTGGATGTAATGCATGTCTCACTCTACAATGACCAACGAAAGCTGAGCCCATTGGTTTAAGAGACATAGGGGATTGGAACCACGAAAGTGGAATAATCCTTCCTTAGTGTTTTGAGTTCAAAAGAATCGGATTTTAACAAACTTTTCAATCGACTTGGCTCATGTTTTCAAAAGAGTTTTCAATAGTTCAATAATGTTGCTTGTATAGAATTGCATTGTTATTTGCTTTTGCGTGTTCTAAACAAACACAAACCCTTGCATCTTTTGATTTAGCTTAGTCATTTAAACTCTATGATTATGTAATGTGTGAAATCCAATCCCTTGTGGTTCGACCCCTAAATACTACAATTATATGTTGTGCACTTGCAACACTAGTTGTCTTAGGGAATTATTACTTGTACTCATCCCATAGATGCAGCACCATCAGTAGGAAACAAGGATGAAGACGGCTCTATCTCTATGTTTGGATTGTGTACTATCTCTATGTTTTATGACTTTAGATTGTGTACTATTTCTGTTTTTGAGTTCTGCACAACTATGTTTGCATAGGTACAACTGTGTTTGGTTTGGTAATACTATCTCTATGTTTCTGGTAATACTATGGAACAATTTGGTTTGGTACAACTGTGTTTGCATAGGTTCGACTGTGTTTTTGGATGGTAATACTATGAAACAATTTGGTTTGGTACAACTGTGTTTGCATAGGTTCGACTGTGTTTTTGGATGGTAATACTATGGAATAATTTGGTTTGGTACAACTGTGTTTGCATAGGTTCGACTGTGTTTTTGGATGGTAATACTATGGAACAATTTGGTTTGGTACAACTGTGTTTGCATAGGTTCGACTGTGTTTTTGGGTGGTAATACTATGGATCAATTTAGTTTGGTACAACTGTGTTTGCATAGGTTCGACTGTGTTTTTGGATGGTTCAAGTGTGTTTGCATAGGTACAACTATGTGTAATGGTAAAGATGATTTAAGTTTTAACTTGACTTCTTGTTTGACTTGTAATGTTTTGATTTTTGTTGACATGAGTTGCAAAGACATAATGAAAGGACATAATTAGAAAACACATAATTAAAACATAACTAATCATAATTAAAACATAATTAAAAGACATAGTTTGCAAACAAAGTTTACACAAATCTTAAACACAACTTAAGAAGACCTCTTAAATAGTTTGAAAAACAGAGGTCTTCATCCGCAGCAACTAAAACCAAACTAAATAATTTGAAGGTTTTTGTTACTTAAACCAAACTAAGAACCAAGCAAGAAGAAGGAAAAGTGCAGCAATCGCAAACGTGCTTTCCACAGCTTTGTACTTCTTGTTGAAATCACCAATCACCAACTCCAACCTATTATCTCCGCTTTGCTCTGTTCTTGTTCTTCCTTCAGGTCGGCAATACGTTTCTCCGCAATACGCATGTCCATGATGATGAATGTTAGCTCGCCGTCCTTCAGCTCCGAGATTAACTCCTCCATTCCGGCACGGTGGTGAGTTTGAAGACTCTCAACTTCCCCAGAAACCCGCTTGATTCAGAGTGAAGTATTTCTAACTCCTCTTCAATCACACGATCCCACCACTTCCGAATATGATAACCGGGTTTCTACAATCAAAAATACGAAATTCACCATGAATCTAACAGAACCCTAAACCCTAGAAAGAATTACACTAAAAGAACCCAAAACAGAAAGAATTCGGAGACATGATTATCAACTAACCGCTCGGAATTCGCAGGAGAAGTATATTTTCCCAGGGTCTTGTTCGGTGCGAGACGTTTCCCTGATGACCCTTCCACCGCAGTAACAGTGGCTCGGCATACCGTACTCACCATCTCTGATGGTGTTTTCGTCGAGTGAGTATGAAGAGGACGTTGAGGTTGCAACCCAACTGTGAGGTCCCATCTCAGAAAATGAGAGAGAGAGAGAGAATCGAAGAGAGGAATTGAAGAGAGAAAGGAAAAACCTAAGCGAGAGAGAGAGAGAAGAGAGAGTGAGATCGAGAATAAGAACCCTAGAAATCAATTTGGGGATCCCTGATTCAGTTTCACTTTTTCTCCTTCTTTTAAAGTATTACCAAATATTGAAAATTGCGGCGGAAATATAAAATTAAATAATTTAAAAAAAAAAGATTCCCGCTTACTTTTCCCGCCGGCGGAAAAGTTAAAAATTTGCAAAATTCGGGAAAAAATGGTCATAGTTGTACTCATGCATTCGTCGAACCAAAATTAGTCATAGTTGAACATCTGCGAGTTTTGGGTTTTTGTAGTAGAACCACACCATAATGTGTAATGGTCAAGTTGAACCAATGATAGTTCATCTTATTTTATCATTACAAACATATTATGTCAAAATTTTAGACAAAACTCGTTTTCTTCTTAATTTGAATCACATCATTGACACATTACCTACATATTCCATATATTGTATAGGGTGCTTGATGACTAACATGCTTATCCAGTAGCATAATTTTTTTTTTATCAATTTTGTTCTTTCTATCAAATAAGTAGACATAAATATGTTTTTTTCTTAATTAACCTCTATATTGCATATCATAAATATATTCACTAAACATTTGCCGTTCGTATATAATTCGAGCCGAATAGTCGAACCTATGGGAGCTAGTTGTACCAAATGTACTTGAAACCAAAACACGTCCACATTCAGACGTCTATACTCACAGACGCAATGAACATTCTCTATACACGCGGGAACCTGGCAGAACCATATCAGAACCTAGTTCTGAACAATTGCTAAGTCGTTTATCAGCTAACCCTATAACCTGTTGTCGAACACTAATTCCATAACCTTTACCATATTAGAATACAAACCCACATTATTTACATACTTGAACCTACTTGAACCTTGTAGAACCTTGTTCCGAAATTTTGATAATAAAAACACTGAATATTAGTACATACTTGAACCTGTTAGAACCCATCAGTACAACTTCAAGTAACACACTGCAGACAACATGACTGCAACATTGTTCACACAAACTTCATACAACATAATTAAAAACAAATTCAAGCGGTTAAAGCAAGCCAATTCAAATCCAAACAACATAAATACCAAATCCAAACAACAGAATTGCAATTGTTACTCGTTTGGAGGTTTAAAAAAAAACACCCAAATCCTGATGAGGCTTACACTTGTTACTCGTTTTCTTCTTCTTCTTTTTACGACTTTCTCCTTCTGATGGATGTCGTTCTTCTTGGTTTCTTCCTCTTTTTGCTGTGTAATCAGGAGGATAAGCGAACAATTTCAGAACATCCTCCGGGATTGCCCAAGTTGAGATATGGGGCACTGTATAGATCGTTTTCACATATGCTCGTGCCCATGTCTCAACCAAATAGTATCTGGAGCACAAATCATATACAGAAAGAGTCGACATTCTTCCATCCTTCTTTATCTTTGCCATGAGTGCGGCAATTGCATGGACACACGGGTACTTGTCAATGTCAAACATTCTACACACGCAAGTTTTGCTCGCCAAATCCACAAGATATACCACACCATCTGAACCAAATACGTCGAACAGAAATTCCTGACCATTTACCTCCCTGACCGTTAAACGCTTAGCTATTGGACATCTTTCGTGAAGAACATTCTCCACAAAAGGCACAACGACCTTTGTACTTGGCATTGAAGCGCATTCGTTCCTATACTTGTTGGACCAAAAAGCGAATTTCTCTATTATCTTATCAAGCATTGGTAAGAGAGACAACTTTCTGTCTTTCCTAAACACACTATTCATAGATTCGCAAGAATTGCTGGTGTCTAAGTTATACTTTTCTCCTTCAAAAATGCACCTTGCCCACCTTTCCACATCTATCTTGTCAACCAAAAACTTAGCACACGCAGGATACAGCTTCCTGAACTCATCAAACTCCTTTTTTAAACTCAGACCCAGTATAAGCATGAGCGCATTTGATGAACTTATCAACAACATCGTCTTTCTTAACACCTTGCTGAGCATGCCCTTTTACGTTCTGAGCCAGATGCCAAATACAGTGTACATGGCGAGCCAATGGATAGACCTTCGAGACTCCATATATGATGCTTTTATGTCTGTCACTAACAAAAACGAGTTCAGGATCATCTGGTACAACAGCTTTCAGGTTTTCCAGGAACCATGGCCAACTACTATGATTTTCGCTATCAATTATCCCAAAGGCAATAGGGTAATGGTGATGATTAGGATCTTGAGCAGTGGCAAACACAAGCTGTCCACCATATACAGTCTTCAGAAACGTTGCATCCACAACTATCACTTTTCTCATCCATTGAAACCCTTCAATGCTCGCTCCCAAAGCAACAAACAGATACTCAAACCTGTGCAAAGCATCTAGTTGCACATTCGTTTTGCTTCCAGGATTTTCCTGCTCCAGCATGTACAGATAAGAAAATAACATCTTGTAGCCTTCTTCAGGAGTGCCTCGAACATCACTAACGTGTAGTTTTTTTCCTCTCAAGCCGTTGAGTATGACACATTCACACCAAGTCTACGGTGAACAACATCGACAATTGTTTTTGGAACTGGTGTGTCAAACTGACCTGGATAGTCTTCATGCAAAACCGATGCCACTAATCGTGGGTTGCCTCTCCTTCGAGAGCTGTTACTACTTTCAACAGCCCGTGAGCAGTTGTGCTTGTTCCAGTATTTTCGGACACTGAAAAAATCTGATCCACCTTTCCTCGCAGCATATATATACCAATTACAGCCTCCGCTCTTCTGAGTGCACCTTAGGATAAGTCGGCCAGTGTCAGACTTGTAAGTGCGGACACCAAAACAATGCTTGTGTGAAGCTCTGTCAACCAAATCTTGCAATGCCTCCTTTGATGGAAATTCTTGTTTTATTTCAAGACCAATACCATCTTCCCATTCTTCAGCCAACTTAATTTCTTCTACAGGACGTGAAAGCTCAAAATCCTCATCAAAGAAGTTTAACCCATCTTCCTTACTATCTGGTTCTGGACGCTTCTCGTTGCCATCCTCTTCTTTACCATCAGACTCAACCTCTTCGATATGTGGCTCTTCAATATGTGGCTCTGGCTCCTCAACATGTGGCTCTCTGAATATGGTAACGACACCATCACCTCTGTCATTTGGAACCGACTCCTCCTCGTAATTCAAACCAAATGAACTTTCTGCATCCGTTCTAGACAGGTGGTCGCTCCTATGATTTGCTCTGTTCGTGTTCTTGGTTACCTCCACATGCAAAATCCTCCTAAATCCCAGATTATCAATTGTCGTTAGATAAGCAAATAGGTCTTCATCATCAAAAATGTACATCTCTCTCGCAGGATTATTTGACATTGGAATGTAACTCAATTTCAGCAGCGGCTTAGCTCCATCTCTTGCAATCTTCCTGCATATCTTATCCACAACCGCCGAGTACGTAATCTCCTCCAAAGATGAGATCTTGAATGTTATAGCGCAAGTGGGATTCTTTGAAACCCATTTCAGTTCCTCTTCTGCATAATGACCTCCGTGGTCGAAAAATATGTTTGTGATGATCATGCTCATTGTTACCCTGCAAATATAATGAAAATAATCAATTCCCAATTACAAAACATCTCACAGTTGTACTACGTGTACCAGTTGAACTTTTACTACCATTACTTTTTAAAATGCAGTTGTACCTATATGAACCAGTTGAACCACTTAATCAACTAAGTCCCATTTGTACCACTCGTACCAGTTGTACCATCTCTGCAGGTTCCGATCTAGTTCAAATACAGTTCACTCGCTGCGATTCACAAGCTACATTACTCAAAAAGCTTAATCTACCGCCTATTCTATCAATGCATGTATACCATTGCAATGCCTATACCAATGAACCACCCAATGAACCAATTTAGATCCATGCACCAAACAAATTAGAAACTCACTTTCAATGGACTTGAAGCTTCAGCAATGGTCAAACAAACGAAAAGGGAACATCCACTGTCTACGGAGGTGAAAGAGGAGGTGGAATAGGTATAGATGAGCTCAGGTCGAAGAAGATTTCGAGTTCAGTGAAGATTTTGAGTGAGAGAAGCGAGCTGAGCTTCGAGAATTCCGACCACGGTTTCCGATTTCCGAAATCCAATCAATTGGATTGTTTTATTTTCTTTTCTTTTTTAATTATTTTCGATTTCTTTTTTTTATTTTAAGTTATTTTTTCATTAAATTTGAGAAAGGTGAAAAGTAAAAGGTGAAAAGGAAGAAGGAGGGAGAAAAGAGTAATTGCACATCATCTTGTGGCATTAGATCATTCTTTGGTACACGAGATTAACTTTCGCCAAATTGTGGCAAATCAGCTGCGCGCTCCTCATAAACTCAGTTTCTAAGAAAATTGGCCAAAGCCTGCTTTTTATGTCTACTGTTGAGTTGATTTGGAAGAATCTGTTAGCTGGCTTTAAACAAGATGATGCTCCTCGAATCTTTGAAATAGAGCAACGTTTTTAAGCGGTATACATACTCTTTACATACTTTAAAAGGTATGACAATTTTTCTTTGTTGTTGAAAAGAAAAGGAACCACATGCCTAAAAAAATATGATAAAATAATGATTACATGTCAAAATAATACAATCACGGAAAAAAGAAAGAAATATACTTGCATGTGAGATGTAGTAACGATTAAATCAATATGCTTCATTCCATAAAAGGGTACTATTGTCGATTATGTTCTCATGAAACTCTTTGAAAATTTTGCTTCATTCATAAGTTGAATCGAATTATGCGGAAATTATTGTACTCCTAAAACATATAGGGAGTGTTTATGGTTGAGATTTTTGATCCAATACATATAAAAAGTCACAAAAAAAAAGAGCCAACAACCATATAGGATGTGTCGCTCAGCTCAAATAATATTATATCAAGAGTGACAAGACATAATACATCTCTCTAAAAAAATTCTTACACTGAAGAACTTGAAAAGAATCAAGAAGTGGATATTCAGTATGTTTGCTCAAATGACAACGCAGCTGATTTCTTCACAAAGGCACTTCAGACTACTGCGTTCAAGAAGTATGTTTAGAGTATTGAACTACATTGTCTACAAGATTTGTGATTACGTACTATACTCTTTTTCCTTTTTATGATTTTTATCCCATTGATTTTTTTCATATTAAGGGTCTAAGGCAATACGTAATTTAATGTTTGCTCATTCCTTGTTGGTCAATTATTTCCTAAAAAAGTAATCAGTTTGTTTAAACGGTTTACAAAATTACCAATGGGTCAATATGATTCAACCATAGGAAAAGGATTTTAGTAATGAAGAATTTATTTGCATGCACATCATAGTAGAGTTTTAGTAATGAAAGCTTTTAAAAAGAAATTAATGTAATTTCAGTTTGTTGTTAATCAATTAACATTATAAATCTGTTAACCAAAACAAAATAGTTGTAATAATGAGGAAGAATAAGGAATATATGCTGGGAAAAGAGTGAAATGGACACGAGAGGTTGGCAACGAAAGGCTTCTCTTTTTCCGTAACCCATAAAAGATTCGGTTGTCACATAATTTGCAGAGATTCTCCACTCTCTCTATCCATCTATAAATTCAAGAGCAATTGAAGTCAGATCACAAAGCATAACAAGAACTCGAACATACACAAGAACTACAACAATCTTTCAAGCTTTATTTTCTTCTAAAAACCAATCATGTCTGACAAGTGCGGAAGCTGCGACTGTGGTGACAAGACCCAGTGCGTGTAAGTGTACTCCTCTTTCTGTTTCTGTTTCACGGTCTCGGCCAGAAAAAAGAAGGCTCTCAACATTTTGTTGTGTAAATTCGAATTTCTTTCAAGTTTCCAACTGGATCAAGAAAACCTCTGTTTATGTTTGTTGTGTGATGGGGTTTTGTTGGGGCAGATAAATCTGAACGTTTTTTATTATGCCAAGAGACTAAACCCGAACTGAACCCAAACCCGATATATCAAAACTGATCGGGTTTTTAGGCAAAACCGAACCAGAGTTGTCGGGTCGGGTTTGGGTTTCAAGTAAAAATCCTAGGCCTACTAAACACCAAACAGAAATATTAAAAGCCTTTCAACAGCATGAAATAAAGGAAACAAAATACAAATTATTACCACTCCAAACTCTAAAAAAACTCTTGGTGGTAATGTTTGAAACTAAAAATATTTTGTCTTCCGTTTTCTTATTATGCTCAAGATCTTTGATTCACCTATGCTTTCTCTTTCTGTAACCGCAGCAAGAAGAGTACCAGCTACACATTCGACATCGTCGAGACTCAGGAGAGGTACTAATAGATGATGGTGATGATAGTTATGGTGTTGGTTTCAATGAGATTATGATGATGATATAATGATTGAACTGTTTTGCAGCTACAAGGAGGCAATGATCATGGACGTTGCTGCAGAAGAGAACGGGTGCAAATGCAAGTGCGGCTCTGCCTGCAGCTGCGTCAACTGCACTTGCTGCCCCTAAAAACTGGACCATTTATAGTTTCCTCCTATGATAAAATATGTAATATGAATAAATGTTGGTGTGAGCTCATCTATTGAGCTCATATCTCTCTTATGACCCTTTATCTAAAACATCATCTTATCTATTAGTAACAACTTCTTTCCCGTTTCTATCAAAACTTTCACAAAATCGTTCCAAGATAAACTGAAAAAAAGGTTGTTTGTTTGGACCTTTTTATTTTATTTTTTCTCAATCACAACAAAATGGGATTCTGTATCCAAATACAAATCCTCATTGAAGAAACAATCTCCTGTGTTTATAACCTAAACCTTTTCTAGGCAATGGAAAAATCTGTGTTTTGATACATCATCCAAATCATGTATTTTCAGACGTTGAAGCCTTCTGCTCGTAGACACATCTTATGAGCCTCGATCCATTTAGTGCAAGCCGATTCACCATGCTCGACGATGCACTCATCTCTCAGCTTCTTGGTATCAGGGCAAGCACAACATATCCTCTTCTTTGGCTTTGTCTCAACCGTGGCTGCAGCCTTGCTTGGCTCAGAAATTAAGCCGTTCTTTGCTGCTTGGTCACTCATCCTGCGATCAAAAACATAAAGCAGAGTCGCAGACAACGGTTTAGACAAAATATGAACAGGTTAATGTACAAAATGCATCAACATAACATCGGTATCATTGAGTAAAAGTCTCCTTTCTCCACTACATCGAAAATATCGAGAAACAAAGACTGTTTTAAATTACCACAAAGCAAATATCATTTGACAACTTCTGGTCACGAATAAATGGCTTGAAAAATTCCTAATTCGCAAAAACCCATCAGAGAGTTCGATGAGATAATTGATTATCTTTAACCTAGGCAAGACGACATCGATACACAAATCTGATAAACCTTAAGAAACATCACACGGTTCTTAAACCCTGAATCCCAAAACCCCTAAACCCTCAAATTTCGACATCTCATCCATAAGCTAACAACAAAATTCTGGACCAATTTGGTAATAATTCAAAATCGACGAGCAAGCAAGCAAATTAAACCCAGTAAACACAACAACAAAATCGGTGAAAATGTTTTCCCTTTCCGCATCTTACAATTCTTGATACAGAATTTCTCAGAAAGTGAAAGGAAATAATTAACCTTTGAATGGATTTACAGAGGAGGAATCAAAGAGCAGAGACGCTGTGGTATGAAAGGAAATGAGACCTTTCTGGCTTGAAGAAGAAGAAGAAGAAGAAGGCGTAAATTCAAAGTAGAGAGCCACCAAATTAGAATTTCGATTTCAATGATTCTACAAGCTTCGGAATTGAGTTATCAGTTATGGGCCCGTGGGCTTGGTCTATAGTGGGCCATAATAGGCCCATTTGTGGTGGACATGCCATTAATGGTGGCGACGCGACGGCGAATGTGGTGACGCCGCCGTATTTCGCCGGAGTATAATTTCTGTCTCAACGGACGTGACTCTTCTCTCTCTCTCTCGGATTGCGAGTTCTCTTTCGATTTTGTCTAATTCGTCTTCTTTATTTTAGGATTTTGGAACTGATGAGACTCAGTGAGATGTTGTCTTCTCTGATTCCTCTGCAGCTTCCGTCTCGTATGGAAACTCACATTTGGTATATATTACCTAACCAAGTGAAGACTGAATCTCTACTCAAACACTACTCTCAGCTTCTCTCACCATCCGAGAAAGATGATCTTCTCCGTATGCGAAGTGATGAGCTAAGGAAGAAGAATGCATTGCTTGCTCGTACCTTGGTCCGGACCACAATCGCAAGATATCAGACAAACAACAGCAACTCTCTGGTCGATCCAAGATCCTTGAGATTCAAGAACAATTCATACGGAAAGCCTGAATTAGATTTGGAGAATGATGATGACACTACAAACCCGAAACTGCAATTCAATATCTCACACACAGATTCACTGATAGCTTGTGGAGTGACAGTAAACGCTCATGTGGGTATTGATGTTGAAGACAAGACAAGGAAGACGAAACATGATGTCTTAGCACTCGCAAAGAGATTCTACTCATCTCAAGAAGTCAGCTTCTTGTCGACTATAACAGACACTGAGGCTCAGCGTAAGGAGTTTATAAAGCTATGGACTCTCAAAGAAGCTTATGTGAAAGCCTTAGGCAGAGGCTTCTCTGCTTCACCTTTCAATACCTTTTCAATCATCCAAACAGAAGAAAGCTACAATCTTTGCCAAGCAGAGGAGAGTGTTGGTGAATGGAAGTTTAAGCTTCTGGACTTGGCTGCTTCTTCTCATTATGCTGCAATCTGCATTGAAGATGATGGAGTCAGAGTTCCTATGAATGTGATTGTCCACAGAACCATTCCATTCGTAGAAGATGAACTTATCTCTGATTGGAGACTGCTCTAGCTTTTGGTGATTTGTAGATTGTAGAATGTGCTTTAGTCCACAATATGTTGAAATCAGGCATAGTTTCACAAAAAACAATCACACAACAAATTATTTACACAGATTCACAAAGTAAGAAACAAAGAGTTCTGATAATTCCATAAATCAAACACATTTTCATCGACAAATCCTCTATTTCAACTATAAAAAATCCAACTTTTCACACTTTGATCTTCTAAAAACTATGAAACCGACAATGGTTTTGATAAAAAAGACTCGACTTTTCTCCAATTTCTATCAAAGCTCTCATCTTTTTATCATCAAGCTACACAAGTTAAAAAAAACAAACATCAATCATACTTCTCCCTCCATGTGTAAACAAGGAAGAAAACCCAAGAGATAGCCAGAGCAATATCTCCAAGAGCTTGCTTGGGGCATTCAAAGGCAAGATCTTCAATCTTCCACTCGAAGATAACTCTCCACAGAGCCATAAGCACATAGAGAACCACACAGCCTCCCGCGAAGAAGCTGTGGAAGTCTCTGTCTTTAACAAAGGACACCATGAAAAGTACCAAACCAATCGCAAAGAGAAGCAAACCGGAGAAGGATTGAGAAATCTGGATGAGCAGCTCGTCGTGAGGTGTTGATCCTTTGAGCTTGTTCGCTATCTCGCTGCCGTGACCAAAGATCGAAGCTTTATCTGTGTAGAACATCATCAGGGTTCCACTTGTGAGTGCTATGATCGAATGGAGTATACAGATTATGCGGAAGAGATGTGAATTCATCGGAATATTTGCTGATTCGATGATAAAGAGTTGAGCTTTTTTGCTGGGTTTTCGAATGGATCAAAGAACCTGTGGAGAACAAAAAAACAAAACACAAACTGTTCACAGAAGATTGGATATTTTAAGAGGGAAGAGAAGAAGAGAAAAACAGCTTCACTTGATGTTATAAAAGGTTAAAGCTTTGCAGGAAAGTTTGAGACTTGAGAGAGAGAGAGAGACAAACTGAATCAGGGAATTGAATCTGATAGATTCAACAATAGGGGAACTTCTGGGTATTGTTAATGATGATAAACCCTAATTTTGTCTTGTTGCAAAAGAAGATTTTGACTTGATCTCGGTCCTCTTTTGGCAGCTTCTTTCTGGTTCAACAGAAATTCAAACCCACCGTTTAAAGATTGCTTTCCGATTATAAATGGGAGTTCATAAATTAATATCTCAAAGAAAAAATAATAATTTATCATGACAATATAATCCGAATATTTTATGGCAGTAATGTCATTTGATGTAATTTAATTAGGAAACGTTATCTGTGACTCTTTTGGTAAAAGCTTGTAAAATATTAATCAGCAGAATCAAATGACATTCTCACAATCAACATCCTTAAACAATAAAATATTTTGACTTTATCAAATGATATATTTTTTTTAATATAATAAGGAGACCAATTAGGCAATTACACACCAATCCTTCAACATCACAAATGGATAAGTAACAGCAGTTTGTGTTGTGACAAACAATCCAACATTATTTCTATTTAGCTAAAGGTTTGTCATTCAATGCCACCAAGGATCTGATAACGCCACGAGGCACAGAATCAGCAAGAACCCCAAGTTCTGATAGAAGAAGAGCCTTTTCCTTGGCTAAGCTCTGCAACTTCTTCGATTCAAACTCCATTTTCTCTCCATCTAACACAGTAACAAGTAGACACACCACTTTTCTCATGAGACTACTACTAGTACAAGGGTTAGTCTTTAAAGAGATAACAAGACAGAAACCACCTTTCTCTAGCATTGTATGCGCAGCATGAAACGGAACAGCAGCAAAAAGGTCAGCTCCTGGGAGCATCAACCACGTGGGTTCACTAGGGTCATGTGACCCACAGGTCGAGCAAGCTTCTTGGACCAAAGGTTTGGTTGAGACTCCCTTCATCACAGAATCGAAAGGACAAGGAACGCTAGTCTTTGTTGTCCGAGCTATCTTCCTAAGTGCTGTGAGAGCCTCTCTGTTCGCATTCCTCTCCCTGTCATTCTCCACCATCTATTCACAAACTCCATTTGGTTAAAACCCCTCATTGATTGATTTCTCGCAAGGCAAAGGCTTTAACTTTACCTGATTTCGAACTAGTAGAAACTCATCACCTTCAGCTTCATATTTTTCCAATAGCTCAGCAAACTTCTTTGCGTCCAACTCCATCTTAGCCTAACACAGTTTATCAGGACATAGGACTTAAGTCAATCTTCCTAATTCTTTACAAAAAAAATATGTGGACTTAAGTCAATCTTCCTAAGCCACTCCACTCCAACATGTTTTCTGTTCTAGGTACCACCATTATCCCAAAAACCTTTACTTTGGTTTCAGCTTCTAATATTACAGGAAGTGATTGTTGATTGATTCCAAAACTTTCTATCGATTTCTTCTATGTTCAAAACCCATCTGAAAATTGGATGAGTACATCGTCTTTTTTCCCTTGGATTTTGATATTTTCCAGCAACAATTCTGATAAACCCTAAAACATAAAACCCTGAATCCGCAAACCTTGTACCCGAAATCACCAAATATCACTCTTACGATGAACAAGGCAACCAGAATACCAACACAAACTAATTTACAGCTATCACCTTAAAAACAGAGCGATACAAATTTTCTCAGAGGACAAATGACTAACCTTTGAATGGATTTTTGGAATTGAAGGAAGAGTCAGAGAGCAGAGAACAGGTAAAGAATCTCGACGACGCAATGAACGAAAGGGAGAAAAATACAGCAACCAATTCAGCAATTTGATCTGAATGTTTTAATTAGAAAATAATTAAATTATGGGCCTATTTTTGGCTTCTAATGGGCCAGGCCCATTTGTTAAACCTATTCATGGAAGTGGTGACGTTTTAGGTATGCTTTTAACGAAGGATAATGTGGTGAATTTGTGATGATGGTCTAATCTCAAATCTCTTACATTACCAAGGTATCAATCGCCTTTGTGTTTCTTCAATATAGATGATAAAACCGACTTAATCATACATTCTTGCATCAATCAAATAACGGATACTAGTAATGATTTAATACACGATACCTGAATTCACAATGCTTCGTAGAGAAAGGTGACAATAACTTACGTAATTGAATCAAATTATTTACATGAAAATAGTTTATATAAATATCTATGAGGATAAGGTTTGTTACTTTGTTCATTGAAAGACAGCTTGTGGGTCCAAAATTTCACTGCGACGCCCTCATGCTGGCGTCTGTAACGCGTCCACTTGGCTTTATTTATTTGACCATTTTTCGAATCTTTTGTTCCTTTCGATTTGACTAATCAAACTCGATGGTTACCTCCACTCTTATATAAACACACATTTCATCATAAAAAAAATATATTCGATCACACTTCAGTCGCATAAACACACACACACACACAATGCAGATTCACAAACTCTGTTTTCTTGCTCTGTTCTTAGCTCAAGCAGCATTCGCCGTCAAATTCAACTTCGATTCCTTCGATGGAACCAACTTGCTGTTCCTCGGAGACGCAGAGCTCGGTCCTTCCTCCGACGGCGTAAGCCGATCCGGAGCTTTATCCATGACCCGAGACGAAACCCCATTCTCTCACGGTCAAGGTCTCTACATCAACCCAATCCCATTCAAGCCTTCGAACGACTCTGCTCCTTACTCATTCGAAACCTCTTTCACTTTCTCCATCACTCCTCGCACCAAACCCAACTCCGGCCAAGGTCTCGCCTTCATCATCGTCCCAGCCGCCGATAACTCCGGCGCTTCGGGCGGTGGATACCTCGGAATCCTCAACAAAACCAACAACGGCAAACCAGAGAACAACGTCTTCGCCGTCGAGTTCGACACTTTCCAGAACGGAGAGTTCCAAGACATTAGTGGTAACCACGTCGGAACCAACTTCAACTCGCTTACTTCCAACGTCGCTGCGAACGCTGGTTACTGGGTTCAGACGAGAGTCGGGAAGAGGAAGGTTTGGTCGTTTAAAGATGTCAACTTGAGCAGTGGAGAGAGGTTTAAAGCTTGGGTTGAGTTTAGAAATAGAGACAATATGATTACGGTTACGCTCGCGCCTGAAAACGTTAAGAAACCTAAGAGACCTTTGATCCAAGGTCCCAGAGAGCTCAATGATGTTCTTCTTCAGAACATGTACGCCGGTTTTGCTGGTTCCATGGGCCGTGGCGTTGAGCGTCACGACATTTGGAGCTGGTCCTTCGAAAACGCCGCCAAGAATTAGTTAAACCGGGTTTCTTCGGTTCGGTTATGCTGATTTAAGAGTGGTAAACCGGAATGAATCATTACTGATTTAAATAAAAAGCCAAATTGTTGACAATAAAAATAAAATAAAAAGCCAAATATGTGGCTTACTCCGTATTGTATTTTCATATTTGTACTGAGAGATTGATAATAAAATAAAATTTGTTTTCACATTCATGTATTTATAACTGAATTTACTTGAACAACATGATTTCAGAAGGTAAACGATCAACATAAATACTGCAAAAAATGCCTTCGTTTATCTCGGAAATAGGAAATTTTGTTGTCAATTTTTAAAATAAATTATTTTTGTTTTGGAGTAATTGACGTGGTCGTATTGTATATCTGATGAATATATAAATGTGTTTTATGATTGAATTTGAATATGATGTAACAGAGCAAATTCTTGCATTCACGTAAAGAAAACGGTTTTTATTAGATAAACGGACAATAACAAAATATGTTTTGCCATGCAAAAGACTATAAACGTGGAATGTCTTAGAGTTATACACGAGATATGAATTTTTAAAATGTTCCATTAGGAAACGGGACAAGATATACATAATGGAATCAATTATTACTCGAACTCAATTATTGACGATTCAATTGTTTTTTCTTCACTTTTTATTATTTTCTTTGACAATTCAGGCTCGATCGATGTCTTGCTTTTATACAATGAAAATTCACAAAAAAAAACTCTGTTTTTAAGCTTTGTTCCTCTTTCACACCTTCAAAACCATGGATAACTCAAAATTTTTAACTAAACCAATAGCTAAACCGGTTTAATTTGGTTTGGTTATTGTCTTAGAGAGTGGTAACCGGAGCTAAATCTTCATATTAGTGTAAAATTATAAAAGCCAAATGTGTATCTTACTGTAGACTGTAGTGTACTTATTAATCGGGTTTCGAGCACTTCATTATTTAAACTTTGGAGATCCATTCCTCTTGAAAGAATCTGGTCTTTTTTTGTTCTTAATTATATACTATAAGAAACTCATGTATATCTGCAATTATATTACCAAGAAAGATTGTCCGTTGTGTTGGGAAGAAAGACAACCCTATAAACAAAGCAAAATGTTTCTTTATTCCAGAGCAAAAGTTTCAAGATTTGACCCCCAATGTTTGCCTATATTTATACATTTGGCCCAGTTAGATGTTTTTCCTTTTTATGTTCTTGTGAGTTGTGAGGTCGCAGATTAACCACGTTGCCGTTGTCAAAAAAAAAACAGATTAACCACGTTGCTTGCGTGTAAAGAGAGGTTGGGGGATTATCAAAATTCAATGAAAAATAAAATATTTTAAAGAAGGACTCGCGACAGTGAATCGTTTCTTTCAGCAGTCGTTTTTGTTTTTATACTAAAAGGCCGAGAATTTATGAGGCTGAGAGTCAGAGAGAGAGAGGTTCTGCTTTTTTCGAGTTAAGAAAGAGGAGAGAAACTGTGTGTTTGGTCTGTTTTTGTTGTGTGGTTCTGTTTCCATATCGAAAAGATCATTTCTGGGTGGCCTCTCAGATACTTCTTATCTTCTTCTTCCTCTCACTAAACCTTGCGGTAAAGAAGCTTCCTTCCCTTTTTTGGTCTCTTTTTATGATCGCAGATTCCAGTGTTTTTAATCTTTTGGGTGCTTTTCTTTCTCTAATCAAGTTCTTGAGTGTTCCTCTGTTCTTGGCGAATGTGTGACTTGTGATCAACGATCTTAAAGCAATGAGCTGTTGAACCCGAAATGGTTGCAGTTAGAGTTTGGAATCCAGAGAAGTCGTCATCTGTTACTTGTTCTTGGTTTCTGTTTCTGGTGATTACTAATGGAAGGTTCTTCAAACTCCAACTCAAAGGGATTCAATAACTCTGGTGTTTCAGACAGGAACACAAATGTTGATGACTATGTCAGCAGAAGCTTGTTCGGTAGCACTACTCACAAATCCAGCGAAGAAGATTCTTTAGGGATCAAAGACGATGACCCTTTTGTTAGATCCTTGGAATGGGGTGATGTTAGCTTAAGACAGTGGCTAGATAAGCCTGAGAGATGTGTAGATGTCTTCGAGTGCTTGCACGTTTTCAGACAAATCGTGGAGATTGTAAACGCTGCTCACTCTCAAGGCATTGTTGTTCACAATGTCAGGCCTTCTTGCTTCGTCATGTCTTCGTTTAACCACGTTTCCTTCATCGAATCCGCTTCTTGCTCCGACTCCGGCTCTGATTCCTTAGAGGACGGTCCAATTAGCCACAAGGAAACTGCTGTAGAAGAGAAAGGAGACTACAACAAGATCTTGGAGAGACAGATCGAGAAGCTAGAGGAAGAAAAGAAGCAACCTTTTCCGATGAAACATGTCTTAGCAATGGAGACAAGTTGGTACACAAGCCCTGAAGAGGATTTTGGCTCTCCGAGTACTTGCGCTTCAGATGTCTACCGTCTCGGCGTCCTTCTTTTCGAGGTTTGTGGTAAAGACATCAACATTGTGTTCTGCTTTTGGATTCAAAGTTTCTGTTTTTATGTTGTTGAAAAATGAAAGTTAGTTAGTCCCTTTGCAGCTGTTTTGCCCTGTGGCATCAAGAGAAGAGAAGTCAAGAACAATGTCTAGTCTAAGACATCGTGTTCTTCCGAGTCAGATACTGCTCAAATGTCCAAAAGAAGCTTCTTTCTGCTTGTGGTTACTGCATCCGGAGCCAAGTTGTCGACCATCAATGAGGTTTAGATTGTCTTTTTTAACCTTCACGTTCTTAGTTTTTGTGCATTGTTTAGTCTCCCAACAGTTTGTCTTTATGGTGGCAGTGACTTGCTTCAAAGCGAGTTTATAACCGAACCAAGAGATAACTTGGAAGAACGTGAAGCAGCGATAGAGCTTAGAGATAGAATCGATGAACAAGAGTCTTTACTCGAGTTCTTGCTACTGATTCAACAGAGAAAAGATGAGTCTGCGTATAGATTGCGTGACACGGTTTCGCTTCTTTCTTCAGACATTGAGCAAGTGTCAAAGAGACAGTTGATCTTGAAGCAAAAGGGTGATTTCATCATCAAAGATGATCATCAATCTGCTCTGATGACAAAGGAAGAGCCTTTGGCCTCAAGAAAACGGTTTAGACAACTGATTCCTCCAGTTGAAACCGACCTTGAAGAAGCTGATGAAGAAGAGAGTCAAGAAAGCACACTTCTTGAAAGCTCGCGGCTGATGAGAAACTTCAAGAAGCTAGAATCTGTCTACTTCCTTACAAGGCGAAGGCAAATGAAAGCTGCTGCTGCTGCTTCAGGGAAGGCATTGACTAGACATTCTCCGTTAAGCAGTGAAAACGGAAGAGGAGGCTCAATGATTGTCTCAGAGAAGAGCTCAGTAACCAACCGTGCAGCTCCCAAAGATTTCTACAGCAATGATCCGAGACTAGGCGGGTGGATAGATCCGTTTCTTGAGGGTTTATGCAGATATTTATCATTCAGTAAGCTGAGAGTGAAAGCTGATCTGAAGCAAGGAGATTTGTTGAACTCTTCTAACCTCGTCTGCGCACTTTCATTCGACCGAGATGCAGAGTTTTTCGCCACTGCTGGTGTCAACAAGAAAATCAAGATATTCGAATGTGACTCCATCGTGAACAACAACAGAGACATTCACTATCCGGTTGTGGAATTGGCTAGCCGTTCAAAGCTAAGTAGCTTATGTTGGAACAGCTACATCAAGAGCCAGATTGCATCAAGTAACTTTGAAGGCGTGGTTCAGGTTAGTTTTATAGATTCTGCTTCTAACCAAGAAACTGTTTGGGATGATTGATGTATTGCTTTCTGTTTTTCAGATATGGGATGTTGCAAGAAGCGAGCTGGTTGCAGAGATGAAGGAGCACAAGAAGAGAGTATGGTCCATTGACATTTCATCAGCAGATCCTACTTTGCTTGCTAGTGGAAGCGATGATGGAACCGTTAAGCTATGGAGTATCAATCAGGCAATTCTAATTTGAAATGTCGGCTATTGAAAACTGAAAACTAAGACATCTTCATGATTCTCAGGATGTTGTGATTTAAGAGTCTTTGTCTTGTTTTTCAGGGAGTTAGCATTGGAACCATCAAGACAAAAGCCAATGTGTGTTGTGTCCAGTTTCCATCAGACTCAGGAAGGTCTTTAGCATTCGGTTCTGCAGATCACAAAGTGTATTACTATGATCTTCGAAACCCCAAGATTCCTCTCTGCACAATGATTGGTCATAGCAAGACAGTGAGTTATGTCAAGTTTGTAGATTCATCCACTCTTGTGTCCTCTTCCACTGATAACACACTGAAGCTTTGGGACTTATCAATGACTGCTTCTGGTGTTAACGAAACCCCTCTTCACTCATTCGCTGGACACACTAATTTAAAGGTAAACGAAAGAAAAATCTCAAGAAATTCTGCTTTCAGACTCGGTTTCTGATGCTCTGTGTTCTTGCAGAACTTTGTTGGATTATCTGTCTCTGATGGGTACATAGCTACAGGCTCAGAGACTAATGAGGTAAGTGAAGGGTTTGTAAAAAAAGGAATCTTTTGACAGAGATTGTCACTTAAAACCTAATTAATTGAGCTTCTTCTTTGTTTTGGATCCATGACAGGTTTTCGTGTACCACAAGGCATTTCCAATGCCGGTGATGTCTTACATGTTCAGCAACACGGACTCTGCGTCTGGTCTCGAAGTGGACGATGCCTCACAGTTCATATCATCCATCTGCTGGCGAGGTCAGTCGTCTACGTTAGTCGCTGCTAACTCCAATGGCAACATCAAGATTCTGGAGATGATAGCTTGAGAGCCTTCAGAGATCTCTGCTTCTTCTTTCTTCACAAGAGATCTGTTTTGTTTGTTGGGGTACTATAGGGTAAACAAATTGTTACCAAAAGAATAGGAAAAAATGGGAACATTGTGTATAGAATTTCATTAGAAAAAAAAGGGAGGATACAAATATTGGATCTTTGTATTTGTATACTACATGTTATACATGAAACTCAACAAAAAAAAAGATTATAATTTTTATTTGATTTGTGACTTCAAACAAGTAAAAAAACTAATCCCAATATGAGACGTGGAACACAAGGCATCTACTCAATCAAAACAATGTCTAATTGTCTTTCTAAACCAAACTAAAAGCCCTGATGCAAGATTCTCTGAAACCCTATATATGTGTATATATTATGTCGCAAGAACAGTCTCACTCGCCCTGAATTCGGATCAAAATGGATCTATTTACACTGATTAAGTCCTGTTTTAGCCTGGTTGACTAACCTGTCCACAAGTCCGTGAAGCCTCTGAGCACCAGGACTAGCCTTAATCTTAGCCACGTCACCAACCTGAGAACACTTTGGTTTCCCACTGCACCACCCACCAGGAGTAAAACCATCTCTATCATTCCTCCGTCTAAGCAGCTCCTTGTCGATCACGTCAAGCACTTTGTCCTCTCCTCTGAACTTCCTAGCGAACGCAGCACCGCTCGCTACCATCTTCGCCGTGTCGTTGAGCGACAGCACGTGCGGGTGCTGCTGCGGCGGAGTGTCCCAGGAGATGTAGTGGAGGTCGTGGTTCAGCGTGGTTTTCGAGAACTCGGGCGCGTTGCAAATCACCGTCTGGAAGTAACCTTCCGGCGATGAAACGAAGTTGGTGTAGTACATTAGGAGGGTTCTTGGTAAATTGTCCCATCCCCATATGCAATACTCTACAAACGAGCGTGACAAAGCCATCCAAGCTGATCCTGCAACCAAAAAGTTTCAAGCTTTATTGTGCAAGAAGGAGCATTGATCCTTTATACAGCAACAACACAAAGGAAAGTTTCAAGCTTTAATGAAAGTTTCAAGCTTTGAGCTTCAAAGACAGCTTAGAGGACTGACCAGTGAATAACTTGAATGCAGTTGGTAAACTTCGACGAGGAGTGACCCAGTAAATGTCTGATTTGTTCAACAAGTAGAGTCCAGGATCAATCATTAATGGCATTGCTCGCTTCTCCCTTTCACAAAGGAAACAAACACAAATTCAGTACACAAGAAGATAAGATTCAACCAAGTAAAGAAACTCAAGAACCTGAAAAAGCCTCACTCTTTCCAACCAAGTTCACTTGTGTGTTCGATAAAGTTGACGTTCCGGTCCAAAGTGGAAAACGTATGAAGCAGATCTTGAAAACACAACGATTATCGACAGTAAGTTAACCAAACACAGCACTGAAATGTTGATGAACACTGAGAAAAGAAAGTTACCATCTTGAGTGACGAGAGGATAATCTGAAGCGCTGAGATTAATAAACCAATCCCAGTTGGCGCTTCTCTTAAGAAGGACAGCACAAGCGTGAAGTGTATTTGCCACCATTGTTGGTCCTCTATACGTCACAAGATTAGCTTTAGTTATCATATAGACGTTGCCTGTTTTTGAATACATAGGGTCCTTATCAATCCGAGAAGCCAGCTGTAATCTCTCATCAACCGGCGATTCAAGGTCCAAGTGAACAACGTAATGGTTTCTCGGATGGTACACTGCTCTAAGCGTCCTCCAAAGCTTCTCCACATCTCCTTTAGACCCTGAAACAAGGTATGCGAAACGTGGAAGCTTGTCTTCTTCGCGAGACGAAACATGGGATTGTCTAGCGACTTTGGACTCTGCAAAATCGAATCTTGTCTGGTTGCTGACGAGACGGGAAGGGACGATGGAGGAGAAGATGCCGTTGATTGTTCGGAGAGATGAGACTAGTCCCATGTTGAAAGAGGTTGCAAGGAGAAAAACGCAGACAAGAGATGTGATCACTAGAGGAAAAACCCATCTCTTCTCCACGTTTAGATACCCCATTGAAGCAAAGCTCTGATCATGAGAGACCAAACAAGAACCGGTTAAAGCAGAAAGCTTTAATCTTTTCAGGATTCAGCAACAATCTTGAAGAACCTATCAAAACAAGCAAAGCACAAAGGTTGAGTTTTTGAGAGCCAAAAATAGAAGGGAAGAAGATACTAAAACACAACAGCCGACACATTTTAAGTTGCCAGATTCTCACGGAATCATCAAGCTTGAGATTTACGCTTTATATAAAAGATAATTTGATTCAGACGACAAGGCTCTTAGAATCAGGATTCGTTATCAATCGGACATCTCAGCAGCTAGATTAAGCAACTACTAAAACTGACATTATATTATTATCCCAATTTAATCATATCCTGTTCTTCTTCTTCTACACCACCGACACAATCACAAATCTCGGAGATGAGATTTAGATCTAGAGCACTAAAGGAACATACTTTACTCATCCCTAACCGATAACAAAAAAGTCGAAAAAAACAAATCTAGATCGAGAAACGAAAACCCACATAACTGAAATACAGACAGATTCATAAGATGAAGAAACCTGGTTGGATTCTGATTGTTCAAAGAAGCTGTTGAATCTCGAAGCTTTGTTTCTGCTACTTTGTGCTCAAGAACACGGGACACTCTTGTTTCTAGTAAAGTTATATAGAGATGAAGACAGACAGTGAATTCAATAGTATCAAATAAGAAAAAATAAAAAAAAGTTCCGATTTTTAATCTCGAAATTAAGCTGGAAATTTCCAACAGAGAGTGTATTATACACTTTGTTCGAAATTATCCGATTCGTGGAAATTTCTCCGATCTTTTGTTCTTTGGGCTCTAAATTTCGTTACTTTTGATTGTCTCTGTTCCTTAATTTCTGGAATCTATACGATTTTTAATTAAACGCAGAGAAAGAAAGAAACCGTTTGGCTGACACGTTTTTGGATACTGGGGACCTCTTCACAAGTATTCTCTACATGAAAGATCGTGCGAGTTTATAAATTTGTGGTGGTAATCAATGGCTGAAAATGAACCAATCAAGATCCAACGGATGAATTTAAAATGTATCTGTGGAAGTGCGTGTAGCTGATTTAACTCTTCGCCTTTTTCAATCAAAACATATTTGTAACATATTAATTGCGTACCCATTGTAACAGACACGTATGGTCGTGATAGCAACATACTACACTAATTAAGGATGTTTTATTTACGTGAGCGTAATTATTTTGTAGGGGTTAAAAATACAAAAGAGATCAGAATTTGTTTCATAGTCATAAGAATTCTTATATAGCATTATATACGAGAATCGTTGCTTTCCTTCTTTTGAAGGTTTTGCTTTCACACATGGTAGCTGAATATTATTGGCATTTGAATACGACTTTATAATCAAAAATGTTATAATTATGTTGCGTTAATTACGTGTTAACAAATAACGCGCTCAACTATTTAGCCAGGCGCGTGGAGTGATCACGAGATCACCGTGGAGCCTTAATGGTTTTCTAATAACTCAGAATCTCTGTATATCTGGACTGAGGCCCAAACTAGACTTTCGATGAATTGAGCCTTGTCTTTCACTTCATTTCTTACGGAATTTGTTTTTTTTTTTCAAGAAAGGCCAAATTGTTCCTGAACTGGAACTCTGAAGGGCAAAATATTTTGCGAGTGGAATACAGAAGTTAAAAGACGATGTAGAGAAGAAAATAAGGAAATAGGAGAATTCACATAGCCTTAAATTTTATGCTATGGAAAATTTGCTTTCCAGAGCTGAAAGGCCTGATTAGTTGTGGTTGTACCTTTGATTTTTTTCTGTAGAATTTATGTTGTAGTTTTTTTTGCTGTGGCTGTAGATTTTAGTGCTGTAGAATTTTTATTATAAGTAATTTATTATAAAATATTATAAATATAGCATTAAAAATAAATAAAAGAGATATAGGAAAGAAACATTATAAAAGGAATATAGAGAATGAGATTAAGGAATGAGAAGAGAGAGAAATTTCAGAGTCTTTAAACTTGTGCTTTGAAAAATATGCTCTGTAGAGCCAAAATATTTCTATATTTAAAATTATGACTTTGGACTTAAAAAATGAAATCAAAGCTTGATTGGTTTAACATTAGTGCTCTAGAAAAAATTATTGCTCCGCAAAGCACTCAGAACACTTACCAATCACGTCTGAAATCGTTCATTTTTTAAAATTGTTGCTCTGAGTTTTTAAAACAAAACCAAAGTTTGATTAATTTGACATTAATGTTGTATAAATAAACAATGCTTTGTAGAGCATTTAAAACTCTTACCAATCACTCCATAAATCTTTCTGAAACACTCATACATTGCCAACCTACGGTAAAACCAAGAACACACATTTTACCAAAAAAAGACAAGAATAAACATAGTATGAGAAATATGAAACAAAGAGTTACAAATACCATTTGCTTTATAAGAATCGCTTAAACAATCTTTACAGAACTGATTATCAGGATTATACAACATTACAACATTAATTCCAGACTAACTGATTCCTAATTTATTCAAAGCTCAGACAACACTCTTTGTTCACTCACTAAAAACTTAACTCTCTATAAGTTTCTTGATTTGTTTCTCTTTTTGGAGGGCTAATATAAACTAGGTATCCCTCCTGTAATATATATATCACAACATGTTTATTGTTGTGAATATACACTTTTCGTTAACAATATATCTTCATATAATTTGGACCTGATCTTGAAGATCTTTCTTGCTCCTTATTCCAAATTATTCCATGCATCAGTCAGCTATGTCCATGTCAGTTTGAGTTCTTTGAGTGTATTTGAACTTGATATTTTTAAAAGATGTATAATATATATGTTTATTTTGTAAACTTCCAAAACACATAGCAATCGCCTAGCCCCGATTAGGCATTCTAGCCGCTAGGCATTGGCTCACCGCCCGTTTAGGACTATTTTTTGGTCCAGTATTTTCATTAACAAAAAAAGCCCACTAAGGAGACTGACACTAATATATGCTAAACTCTCGAAACAATTTATAAGTTTAGTTTAAACTAATAAACCACTTCTGAAAGCAATTATATTAAGAAATGAAAGCGTCACATGTTAACATACGAAACGATAAAGAGAACAAATTTATTATGACGCCAAAAATTCACGAGTTATTTCTGTAATGTTTGTCGATAAAAAATAATAATGTCATGTGTTAACATATGAGATGACAAAGGGAACCAACTAATTGCGGCATAAAAAATCCAAGTTTTTTCTTCGTAATCTTCGCTGATGCAAATAAAAAAAAAACTTATTGCATTCATCTATAAATGACTATTTTTCACCTCAATCTCATCTCTAAAAAGCTAAGCAAAAGACAACAAAGTTCACAAGACTGCAGAAATATTACTTTTACATTAAAAGAGAGTTTAGTTGACGAATAAAAGACAATCGATTAAATTCGAAATAAACCTTTAAAAACTTGTGTAAAGATTAAAAAAAAAAAGAGCTTATCCGGAAAACTATTACCTAAAACAAGATAAGATTAAGAAAATACAGTGTCACATGTTAACATACGAAACGACAAAGGGAACAAACTAAATGCGGCGACAAAAATCCACAAGTTTTTTCTCCGTAATCTTCGTCGATGCATAAATTTTTAAAAAAATATCACATATTAATATACAAAACGACTAAGGAACAAACTAATTGCGGCGCCAAAAATCCATGAGTTTTCTCCATAATCTTCGCCGATGCAAATCCAAAAAAAAACTTTATTCCAGCTGTCTATAGATAGTTTTCATCATCTCAACTCGATCTCCAAGAAGCTCCGGAAAAGACAACAAACTCCACATAAAAGACAGCGAAAAGTTGACAATAAAAGTCGATCAACTGCATCCAAAATTAAACTTTCAAAAACTTGTGCAAGGAAGACAAAATTATCCGGAAAACTATTACATGAAACAAGATAAGATTAAGAAAACAAAGTGTCACGTGTTAACATGCAAAACGACAAAGGGAACAAGCTAATTGCGGCGCCAAAAATCAATGAATTTTCTCCGTAATCTTCGCTGATACAAATCCAAAAAAACTTTATTTTAGCCATCTATAAATGACTATTTATCACCTCAATCTCATCTCAAAAAATATACGCAAAAGATAACAGAGTTCACATAAAAGACTGCATAAATATTATTTTTGCATTAAAAGAGAGTTTAGTTGACAAATAAAAGACAATCGATTGAATTCGAAATAACCCTTTTAAAACTTGTGTAAAGATAAAAAAGAGCTTATCCGGAAAACTATTACCTAAAACAAGATAAGATTAAGAAAAGACAGTGTCGTGTTAACATACGAAACGACAAAGGGAACAAAATGCGGTGAAAAAAATCCAAGAGTTTTCTCCGTAATCTTCGTCAATGCATAAATTTAAGAAAAAGGTATAACATATTAATATACAAAACGACTAAAGGAACAAACTAATTGCGACGCCAAAAATCCATGAGTTTTCTCCATAATCTTCGCCAATGCAAATCGAAAAAAAAACTTTATTGTAGCTGTCTATAGATAGTTTTCCTCATCACAACTCGAACTCCAAGAAGCTCTGGAAAAGACAACAAAGTCCACATAAAAGACAGCGAAAAGTTGACAATAAAAGTCGATCAACTAAATCCAAAATTAAACTTTCAAAAACTTGTGCAAGGAAAACAAAAATTATCTGGAAAACTATTACATGAAACAAGATAAGATTAAGAAAAGAAAGTGTCACGTGTTAACATGCAAAACGACAAAGGGAACAAGCTAATTGCGGCGGCAAAAATCAATGAGTTTTCTCCGTAATCTTCGCTGATGCAAATCCAAAAAAACTTTATTGCAGCCATCTATAAATGACTATTTATCACCTCAATCTCATCTGCAAAATCCTACGCAAAGACAACAAAGTTCACATAAAAGACTGCAGAAATATTATTTTTGCATCAAAAGAGAGTTTAGTTGACGAATAAAAGACAAACGATTGAATTCGAAATAAACCTTTA